ATAATGGAAATTATTAATTATTGTATAATATTTGATTTTTTTAAGACAATAAAATCAATCTCCTTTATTCTAGAAGAGATAAGGTTTCTATTTTCTTTTTTTTCCTAACCATTTTAAAAATGCTCGAGTAAATTAAAAAGTGATTGACGTAAATAGAATAATATGATATATAAAAGTGTATTTATAGAAATTTTAATCAATAAAGATTAATAAATGGAAGTAATGAATAATAAGCATAGAAAAAATACTTTTATTAAGATAAAAGTATTTGAAAAGTATAAATAATAAATTTTAGAGTAGAGATTAAAAAAGTTATGAGTTTAATAATGAAGTAAATGAGAATAGAAAGAGAAATGATAAAATATTGATGATTATTATGATATAATTCATTCAGATTGAACAATAATTTTGGGACATTGATTTGCAATTTCTAAATATTGCTCTGTAATTCCTTTTTTTTATTTATCTGAAAATTCATCCCAACTGATGTATTCTTTACCCTATTTTCCAACAATGACAACTTCATCTCCTAATTAGATTTAATTATCTAAATCTTAATCAGTGATATCAATAACAAGCATATTCATAGAAGTTTTTCCAATAATAGGGAATCTTTTTCCTCTAATTAAGACAAAGTGTTTATTTAGACAACCATATTATGGGAATCCATAATCATAACCAACTCTAATAGTAGCTGTAGTTGAATCTTTATCTGATCTAGTCCTTTAGATACCATTATATCCAATTGGACTATTAGGAGGGACATCTCTTAGAATGATAACAACACTAGTTCTCCATTTATGGAAAATAGGTTTAATTACACCTCTAGGATCTTAGAATTAATCTTTATCTTCTCCATAAGCAATAGATCCAGCTCTAACCATATCAAATTAAGTATATTTCTTTTTAACCAAAGCTGCTGAATTAGCTACATGTTTAATTACATTAGACTCTAGAGTTAGTTATGATATAAAATCAATAAATAAATCTACTTAAGCTCTAGTAGCAATTTCATCATTAGGAGGAGCTTCATATTCTCTAGCAAGATGTGTCATAATTCCTACTACTTTTAGATTAGTGACTTCTTAAGTAAGTTTAACATCAGAAACCTTTCTGAAACCCATTCTTCCCATAGCAGTCTCAATATTTAGATGTATTTTAACAATTATTTCTCTTCCAAGTTTTTAGGATAATTCATTTATAATTTTAGAATAATATTGAGCTTATTCTAATGATCCAACAACTTCTTCTACATCCCATTAATTTATTATAGATTCAGTTAATTCTTCTTTTGTAGCTGGTGCAATTCTGAGCAATCTAACATGATTAATATTATGTTCTTTAAACCATTTATTCATGATTCTAAATTCACAATTATCTATAGCACTGATATATTCAACTCCTGATCTTACAACTGGATCCATCATTACTTCAATTCCATGTCCATATGCATCAGCTTTCATTACAGCACAGATCTTCACTTTATCACCTGTTGAAACTCTCAATTCTTTAATGTTGTGAATATAAACCTCAGGGTCCATTTCTATTACACATGCATCTGGAGCTACATAATTTTAATCCATTGATATTTATATATTAATTTATATATCTTTTTTTATTTGATTTATATTTTCAGATTATTTGTAATTATTTTATATAAATGTCTTTAACTTTAAATTTAGGCTATGTTCCAACAGAAATAACTAACATTAAAGGAGAATTAAAAATATTATTTTAACACTCTTTTAATTTACTCATTTTAAATGGAAAATTTCTTTAGGATATTAATACTCATAACTATTCCATTAATCATTCAGTTAAATATAATACTTTTGCCTCACTTTATTAACCTATTAAAGTCACTTATTCTAAAAAATATGATATTTACTTCATTTTATTTGATGATTGGCAAATTTATATTCTCTCATCCAATCTAATCTTTTTTAATAAAATTTCTGTCATTACTTCATATCCTCTTGCTATTCATTTTATAGATGAATCCATTTCCTTATATGTGGTTTAAGATAGTAAAATAGAACAAATCTTTATGGAAATTGAGAAAACTTCATTATAAATTAAAGTAACATTTTTGAGCAAATTAAGTTTTACTAACTCTAATAAATATTTTATTGGATTCTCATTATAACATTCATTAATATTTCTTTGGGAAAAAGAAACTTTAAAAGTGTATAATCAAAATTATCAATTGATAACAGAAAAATTAAATATTACAAATAAAAAAAATTGTATCACTTGCTTATTGTATTTTCCAACATTTTATTATATTGTCTGTGGTACAAAAGATTGCAAAATATATACATGGACTTTAAATAATCAAAGCTAACCTATTAATATTTTTGATATTGAATATGGATCCCATATTGAATTATTGCACAATGATAAAAATGATGAAAATTTGTTTTGGGCCTCTTCAAATAGTGAAATATCTCTATTTTCTATTTAAACATGGCAATGTTTATAAGTATTTAAAATAGGTGTATAATTTAAAAATTTATTTACAATCAATCAATATAGATTATTTGCTAGTTTTCATTAAAGTCTTTATATTTTAACAAGGTAATTAGAACAACGTTTAATATGTTAGCATAATTCTGAAATTAGATGTTAAATTGAAGGAATTTCAGATCCTTAATTTCTATTTGAAAATAATAGTCTAATACAAATGTAAAACCCTAAAAAATTTAATACTCATTACATTAAAACAAAATAAACTATTATACAAGCGCATTATGTTTCACCAGCTTATTATTTTTTAACAGAAACCAGTGATATCCTATAATTTTTGGATTAAAATATTAATATTGTGATGTGTGGTGATCGCTTACATAATAGTGAAGGGGCTTTGGTAAAAAATAAAATTATCAATCTTAAATTTATTCAAATTGATACTAATCTAGTATTTTTATTTATATATATTTAACAAGGATAAATATTATTATATCAACTCCCTAATTTTAATAGAAGTATTTCTGAACTAAATTATAATAGATGTTCTATTAAACTTTCCACTATTATTAAAGTCTTAAACAATGATATATACATTTTAACTATTGATGAAAATAATGTGTTTAAGTTGTTAAAAATGAAAGGAAACAATCTTTAATTGCTAAAATAATTAACTTTTAAAATAGAAATTAAGAAAATGCATTCTCTTTAAAATAATATTTTTATCCTTACTAGCTAAGGAGAATTAAGTAAATTTAAATATCAAAACGATGATTTTAAATAAAAAATTTTTGATATTGAGGGAAATGAATATTGTTATAATGATTTTTAAGTATATTTAGAACCAAAAATTATAATTGGATGTTAAGCTAAGATGCTTGTAATAATGACATTTAAAAAGATTATTTTAAGATAAATAAATATTGATTGTATTTTATTAAACTTTGGATATTTTAACAAAAACTTAATACTTTGTTTATAAAATGAATTAAGTGTGATTGAAGATCAGAGATTGTTATTTAATAATGACTTTTTAAAGGAAATCAATTCTAATAGAAAAATAATAACATATTAAGGCTTTGAAATCTTTGAAAAAGATAAGGATAGTATAGTATCTTCAAAAAGGGAGAAAAGTATGAAATTGTTGAAAAATGACAGCACAATTCTAAGTAAAAAGTAAATTAAAATATAATCAAATAATACATAGATGATTTTGATTACTTAGAAATAAATAATCTAATAAAACTAATAAATAACATAGTCTTCATTTTATAATGCTAATGATTCAACTTAAAGAGGACGAATAAAATCTAGAAATTAATAATAATAAGATAATTAAAATTATGGAAACAATATTAATATGACAGGCACACGATCTAGGCCTTGGACATAAAATAATTTTAATAAACCAAATCAAGTTGTTTTGTAATAGAGTTCATCAGTTGAAAATAACGAAATAAAGGAATTAAATGCTTTATATCAACCAGCTATTCCTTTATTAAAACCAACAAAAAAGAATACTTTGGCTGAGCAATTTCTTGATAGTAGGTTAAAAAAAAAGAAATTTAAAACAAGAAGAGATTTAACAATGAACAGGATAATCTAAAGAAACATCAGAATATTATCATTTTGTTGATGTCAAATTACTTTTGAATAAAAATATTATTATTATTTATATATTATTTCAAGTTGTTTAATTAATTTTTAAATTCTTCATTACTTCTATGTCTTATTAAGTTAATAACTAATATGATTTTATTAGTCTTTAACAAGATTATTCATTCAATATATATCTATTAATTAGAATTTTTTAGATTTACTCAAACCTAAAAGTGATTAAATTTAGTTTACTTATCAATTATCTTTTTTGATGCTTTTGTGTTTTCCAGATTAATAGATGAATATAAAACTAAAAAAGTGGTTCTTAGAATAATCATAAACATTATAAGAATTCCATCTTAAGAATATTCTTATTTGATAATGTATTTATAGATTTTTTTGGAAAGTTATTAAATTGTTATAGAGATTACTTTTTTTGCTAAATCTGTCGTATACTATTTCTCAATCAGATTTGGATTAATGATTTAATTTATAGTTGAATTGGCTTTATAGTAAAAGTTATTAATTTTTTTGGCAAACTCATGTTAACTTTAAAGAAAAATAATTTAGTGGTTTTGGTAGAAATTAACTTTGGAAATTTATTTAAAAAAGTCTGCAGTTTATTTATCATCAAATAAATATTCCTTAAAAATTTTTTGATATATTTCTTCTGAACATGAATTGGATAATGGTTCTAAAAATTTAATTAAAGTATTTTATTTAAGTTATTTAATTAATATTTCGTATTTTTTGAATTATTTTTTTAACGCTTTTAATCCAAGATAATAAGTCAATAAAAACTTTACCTATAATTTATCATAGTTTACATACATAATCTTTATCCTCAATTTATTTAATTATCAAATAATATTATTCACATAAATCTAGGAATTATTTAAATATACAAGTATAAGTTTATTAAATGGAATCAATAAGAGTTTGATTAGTAATTAAAGAATATTTTTAATATTGACTATTCCAAACAATCTAAAATTCTTCGACAAGATTTAGAAAAAGATGAATATTCTTTTGTTAGATTTTATTTTCATATTCATTGAAAATACTTTAATTAAACAAATCAATTTCCCATTCTAATATTTTATTAAATATATTCTCCTCAAAAAGGATAAGTAGAACAACTTCAAATATTTGATTACATTTCTAATCAAAACAAATAAACCAAAATTATTCAATAGATTAACAAAAATTATCTAATTCTTCTAAAAATAACAAAGCTAGATTTGGTTTATATATAAATTCTTCCTTGTCTCTTTTTATTCTCTAATTATTAATAATAAATACCTTTGTTATATTATGTAAGATATAATGTTGAATCATTAAAGTAGCAAAAGTTTGAATGATTTCTTCTAATTCAAAATTTTAATAATTTTAGATTTATTGTTAATAATTAATATCAAGTTTAAAGAGTTTTTTAATTGATTTTTCAAAATTTTCATATAAATAATTAAAAAACCATGAACTATTGTTAATATTTGAGGTTGTTTATATTGAATCAATGAAATGATAATCAAAATTTTAATTGAGTCTAATAAAAATTGAAGATAGAAATTTTGGTTCAATTATTGACATATGCTTAATAAGTTTAGAATAAACTGTCAATTCATGAATTGAGTTAATTTTTTAAGGATTTTTTGGATTTTCTGAATTTTTTGGTTTTTCTGGATTTTCTGGATTTTTAGGAATTTTAGGAAATCCAATTGAATTCAAAGTATTAATAATAGATTATTAATATTTATTAGAAATCATTTCAATGATTGCTTTTTTATTACTTGCAACATATTAAACAATATTTTAATCTTTATTGATGATATCAATATTATTGGTGATTATTTCTTAAATTTAATCAACAAAATGAATAAGTTGATAGATATCTGATGATTCTAGAATTTGTTATACTTTATTGAATTATTATTGTAAAGTAGCAGATACTTGAATTTGTTGACGAAAGGTGGCAAATAAATTAGAATCTTGAATGAGTTGTAAATTTTGAAGAATAAGTTCTTATGTATATTTATCTTAAATTTAGTTAATTGATTGTTGGAATAGTTATGTTTATTGTTTATATTTAATTAAGGAATCACTTTCTTTTTAGAGTATATATTTGATATTGGGATCATTAATTTGAAGATTCCAGATCATGAGATAATAATAATTAAATAATAATAATGAGTATAAACACGTATAAATTGTATAAATATAAATTATTAAATCACATAAAATTGAGAATTTGATTAAGATCTTTTTCACTATTAATTAGAATATCAAAAGCTAATTTAAAATCAGCTTAAATTAACTAAGGTTTCAAATATTTAAGAATGGCAATAGCAAAATTGATAATAAAATCATGTATATTATGATTATTCAACATTAGATCCCATATTTAAAAGAGTTAATCTAGTTAGAATTCACGAGTTAAACAAGTAATAATCCATCTATAACCAAACATATAAGGATGAATTCCAAGATTATATAAATATTTATATAGATTTGGTTCTTTATATTGGAATAAAGTTTCAAATTATAATAGTAATCCTCTGATTCCTGTATTAGTGAAATCAAGTGTGGATATATATACATCTTTAAGTTAAGCCATAATATTAGTAAAACAAAAGAATGTGTCTGCTTCATTTTTAATGATCAAATATAATGGAGCAAGTAAATCACTCATTCCTTACATATATTTAATGGCTGGATTAAGTTTACCATAAATATATAAGATTCTAGTTAGAATATCAGAATGAATTGGAGCAGTATTACTTTATTGTTTTCTTCTTTTATATTAATCTGTGAAGAAATATTATGAAAATTTAGAGTTGATTTTCTCTTTTAATATTGATTATTTGGGTAAAGTTCGACTAAAAAATATAGTTTATAAAAAGATACGGAACATCTTTTTCAATTTATTCAAATAACTGCTCATTTTGAATATATTCATTATAATCCATACAAGAGCTTACAACTTGAGTTTTAATAGTTGTAAATTCACTAAAAGTAAGAAATTTCTGATCAGAGTCTACATTGTTCAAAATAGTAAAGATATCTAGAATTTCTTTTTTGATGAATTCATCTAAATACAAATTGTAGAGATTCTATTATTTTCTAAGGAATGGCAATTATTGAGTTTAGTCTTATGGTAAATAATTTAAATAAATCATCCACATAATGGCTCTAGGTGAGTATTATTACATTTAAATAAAATATTACTAAATATTTAATTGAGATAAAATATAAATAAACATTTAATTCTCTATTACTCTGTTATAGAATTTGGTTTATCATTCTTTTTTTTATATTTTGAATAAATATCTTTATTTTCAAGATTTGAGGTATTTATATGATTAGAAGAAAGATTAGAAACAAATAGTAGGATATTAATAATTGTATGAATATTTAATAAATTAATATATTATAATAAATATGCACGAAGAGACAAACTCATTTACTAGTAGTATATTATCTGATAATGCAATGATGAGTGAATAAGATGCTTAAATGATAGTTCAAAGTTATAATTCAACAATTCGTATATTTATGTATATATAAGAGAATCACTTGTTAAAGAGAATGATGTATTATAAAAGAAATTAGATGAGTATGTATAAAATGAGAAAGAGGAAGAATAAAAATTATAGCAAACAAAACATCAATATGAGAAATAAATAACAAGAATGGAATAATTAAAATAATAATAATTATTGATAGATTAAGAAAGAGAGTACATATTCAATAGTAAATTATTCGAATAATAAAAATAATTGGTTCCTAATGCAATAAATTTTATATATGAGTTTTTACACTAAGATTAAAAATAACCATCTTAAACTAATATAATCCATAATTAAGGAATGGATACTTAAAATTCATTAATGCAATTTGATGAAGAATTATCTCCTAGAATAGAATAAAATGATCCATAATTACTAAAAGATTTGAATAGATAAAAAGAAGAGCTTGGAAATTAAAAAAATCAATTAATATCATAAATATTAGAATCAATAGCTAAATATGCAGAATTATAATTATAGAAATGCTCTAAAAAAGAATGTCAATAATGTCATCTTTTATATAATCCTAGAACCAATTATATTGTATAATAATATATTATATTGAATAGGATTCTTGTTTATTTCATAGTGGTAAATTAAAGTTCTATTCTTGTAAAAAATGTGGAGCAGATGATTACTATACTTGTTGTAATAAATGTATTAGATGTAGTGAAGGATGTAAAACTAATTACCATTAACCAAAACCATGATATTATATATATTATTCAAATAATCGAATCATCCATTTTACCAGAACTAGAAAATCCTTTTGTTAACTTCTAATTTATTTAACTTTCCATCTTTGATGAATTATCAAGTTATATAAAAATCCTTTTCTCATAAATAGCTTTAAATAATGCTATACCTGATGATACTAATCCACAACCTATTATTATTATAATATTATTTTAATACTAGCCACAAATACTGGATCTAAATATTAATAACCTGCCATTCTTAAAGATTTTGTTAACATAAAAAATCGAAGAACAGATAATATTAATTCCAATATCTCAAATCTTCTTTTCCTTCTTAATTTTATTAAAGAGTTTTATAATTTCTTTGATGTCTCTTAAGTCATTATTTTTGACATCTCTAACAATATTCTATTCTCCTTACTATCCTTAATTTATTTATTTTTACTTTTCTCTAAATATTATTAATATTATTAATCTCAAAATGTTGATAATTATTCTCATTTAAGAAAAAGAATTTTTCCTTTATTTCCAACGGGCTTCTATTTCTTTTTATAATACTTTACTAACATTTTATATTCATATTATCATACCTCTAAGCTAAAATTGCAATTATCCATAAAAAGTTATCACTTACATAGTACATGAAACTTGAATAATGTCCAGAAATAGCTAATATTTTAAATAAGAGTGGCTTATTCTATTTTAAAAGTCTTTATATCCCTTTTATTTCATCTAAAAAAAATAAAAGTCTAAATATTTTACGACTTTAGGAAATACTCTACATTAATCATAATCTTAATTACATCTTTGAATTTTTCAGCAACTACAAAACATTTCAAATCATTTTATGAAACTAATTATTATACATAAAGTAAATTTGAATGTTTAGTACAACTATGATAAAAATCAAATGTATATTATAATAATGCCATAAATTTATCTCTTCCCTTTGAAGTGCTTAAAAATTATGAAACATATCTTGATAAACTAGTTGCATTAAGAGCCAATCTTTTTGGCGCTTAATTCATATGATTCTTAAGATTTATGATACTAGTTGAATGTCGAATATGATTAGTTTTCATGTTTTGTTATTATAAATTATAAATATTAAATTTATTAATAAATAGTATGCAAACATTCGAATACAGCGATGAAGAAGTAGATTAAGATACTATAAAAGAAAGATTAGATAAACTTCATGATTTACCATTGAAATTTAAACATAAAACAGTTTGTCTTAGAAGTCTTAGTGGAATCAATTCTCGTAAATCGTAGACTTGTATTAAATTGAGAAATAGAAGATAGGAATCAAGTTCGGAGTCTTCTTGTGATGATTCTTCTGAAATATAACTATCAGAATTTGATATATCAGATGAGAACAAAAAAGCAAACATTCTTTGTCAATATAAGAATAGTTTTTTTAATGAAAAAATAAAATAATTTAATGAAATAAAATCAAAGAAATTTTGGTAAGGTAATTAAATAAGCAAGATAAAAATAAATAAAGATGATTCATCTATTAAATTAAACAAGTCACCCTCAATATAAAAATAATAATAATCACCTATATCTGAGAGTAATCATAATACTCTAAGTTTTTAAAAAAAGAAGGATATTACAGAACACTCAGTTGATTAATCATTTAAATAAGTTAATTCTCCATTATTGTTCTATTTAAATAATGTTCATTAAAATAGTATTAATAACAATAATAGTTCTAATTTTATAAACAATAGATCATGTTAATAATCATTAAATAATAGTTAATATACTATTGATGTTCCATGTAATGAATCATTTGCTCAATAATCTACAATAAAATTAAATGAAAAAGAAATTTTAAATCAAATTGTTGAAGCTGTTTTTACTAGAAATATTTAAATATTAACAAAAATAGTATTGTTATTATAAAAAGAATATAGAACAGATATTTTAAATATGAAAGATATAAATGGAAATACACCTCTTTTATTAGCTATAAAACTTTAGTAATAATAGAATCAATTCTCAATTATTCGATTATTATTATCAAATGGTTCTGATCCCACTATTAAAGATATTGATGGATGGAGTCCAATTGAAGAAACTGTGGCTTAAAAAGATTTATTAACTACATCATTATTATTTGATTATTTAGTTTCTAAGAAATTATTTGATATGTAATAAGAAAGAAATTAAATTGATTAAGAACTCTTTAAAATTAATGATTTCTATCTCGAAATGAAATGGGAATTTAAATCTAGTATTATTCCTTTCATCTCTAAATTTACTCCAAATGATACTTTCAAAATTTATAAAAGAGGTATTTTAATATTTATTATAAGGTTCTTCTTTGAGATTGGATTCTACTTTTGCAGGAACTAAAAATTATAAAACTAAAAGAAGAGATCTTACAGTATTCTATAATCCTTTAATGGGATCAGTTTAAAGAAAAGAAAATAGTTCAAATTGTAAATTTGTTACTATTTTAAATAGAGCCAAAAAAATCTATTATTATCCTATTGTAATATTATAAAATTAAATTAGCAAGAAATAGATCCTGAAGAAAAAAATCAAATTCTTATGGATTTATTAAATTGTGAAAGTGTTAATGGTGAAATGAAAGTTAATGAATGTGAACTTATTAAAAGCAAGAATTTCTTTGGAAATTATATTAGCTAAAAAATTAATAGTTGGATTTGTTAGAAATATGAATTTAGAATACAAACATCATAACATTTTAATAAAAAACATTAATAAAATTATTGTAATTTGAATTTAGATTAATATTTAAATTAATCCTTAGATTAAAATCCAACAAGTGCAAGATTTAATTTTGAATAAATAACAAATTAAATTGTAGGTGATTAATTATTTATTAATTCTCCATCTTTTAAATAAGAAAATGAATAAGTCTAAAAATAAAAATAAAATAATAACAAAAAATAAATTGATAAAAATGATAAAAGTATAATAAATATTAATATTCTAGAATAATCAGACTCTTGCTTACTTTATATCAGTTAAGCATTTCCATTAAATTTTTAACAATTTCTTCCTATAATAAAAATGCTTGCGAATGGAAATGAATTCATTTCAACTTTGTAAACAGTTCTATCAAATCAAAGTGTTAAAGAATTACTTAACGATAAAGGTTTTCCAGTTAGAATAGAAATACCAATAAATTTTACTATAGATGCTGTTGTCACATTTTAAGCATTTAAAAAAATAGACCCAGATGATCTAGAAATCAAGAAATTATTTTAAATTCCAGAAGATTATTAATTTGTTTCGAGGAAAGATGCTACTAAAGTTATGAAGAGAGGAAAAAAAAGATTATTTCTTGCAAATTTATTTTTATGATTTAAATTATATTTATCATTTTTCATTAATTTAATAATATTTAAATAAATACTATCACCATCAATGTTATAATTATTTTACAAATAAAGCTAGTTTACTATTATCCAAATTTAAATCTAAAAATAAAGTTTTTGATGCTTGAATTTCTTTCCATAATTTATGTGTCATCTAATTTTTATAAATATGATGTTATCTCTTTAATTTAAATATAGTTGCCATAATTTTCCAATGAGCTTCTATTTATTTCATACAAATTGGGTAATTGAATAAATATTCTAATCTTTTTTATGTAATAATTGTTTTCAAAATCTTTTATATACTCATCATTAACAATGATATCTTTTTTTAACAATCATTTAGAAATTCTTCTATTCCCTGTATAATTGCAGCTTCTTCTCCAGGAAATAACCATCTTAATTTACCTGATTTATAAACTTAATTATAATTCCTCTCAATTTTAAATCTTGAAGATTCTAAATATAAAGATGTATCATCTGAAGTAGCGTATTTTTCTAGTAATTTTTTAGGTATATTTTTTGTTATTTTTTCAGTTTCTTCCCACTTTATATTATATTAATTAATTTCTGAGACATATTCTTTAACCAAATTAATTTAATTTGCCAAAGAAATGCTTTTTTAAGATACACAAGAGTGCATAGATGATTCAATATTATTATTTGGCAAATTTATAGATTTATTTAAATGATTATTTATAACGCTTTATTAAGTACTTTGTAATAATTCTATGTTTTTTACATCTAATTAAATATCTACATTTTCAGCTGTTTTCATTCTATTTTCTTAACGATTAACAAATAACAAAGCTGTTTAAGCTAAAGAATTAATTTAATATGTATTTGATCTTTTTCTCTCATATGGTTAATTTGTTACATTCTTTTCCTTACTTTTTGATTTTGAACATAAACTAGTCTTCTTTATCTTATTTATAGATTTCATATCTCTTAATTAAGATATTGTTAGATTTAAAACTTATGGTTATTCAAATAAATAACCAAGGTCTTCAGTTGATTAAGAGTATTTCTATGCACTATATTAATTTCTTAAAATTCTTGGTTTATGGATTATTTGATTCATTATAAAATTTTACGAGTATTTTGGAGGACAATTTAATGATGCATGTTAATTCTTTGTATAAAAATCAGGACATCTAAGTTAATCAATAAATATTTAATTACAATTCATTTTAATGAATTATGATGAAGAATTACTTAATTTTTATAAAGATGAATTAGTGTGTTTAAAAGAAATAAACATGTCATTATAAGAATAGAAGCAGAAATTAATTCAAGTATCACGATCTATTATTCTTAGTAAATTGAAGATTTTGAAAAACAGAATACCATTCTCAAAGAAAATAATGATAACTTGAGTGAAATGTTTACTTAATATAAGGAATATACATCCACACAAATAAGAGATCTTGAATTATAATTAGTTACTTTAAGTGTGGAAAGAGCAGATAGAGAATTATTAGTAGATGTATCAATATTATTTAAAAAAAGACTTTGAATTAAGAAATTAGATAACTAAAAAAGGCAAATTATGAAAAAGAACAAGCTTTGAAGGAATAGGAAAGTATGAAATTTGTAAATGATTAATGAATTACTTTAGGATTCTCCAGATAATTTAAGTTAATTAAGTTAAGATGAATAGAGTTAAAGAAGTTTTGAAATAAAACCAGAATAAGTTATTTATTTAAAAAGTATTCATATTTATTCTAAATTAGAATAATTTCATACTCCTTAAAAACATAATAAACCTGAAATTTAATCAATAATTGATAGTATACCCAAATCAGAATACACAATATTATATGAAGAAGAAATGAAGAAAATAAAAGTAAAATTTGATAGAACAATAAGGATATATCAAACAAACATTTTGAAATGAAGATTTGGCAAGATTAAGTAATGGTACTATTCAAAGAGAAATATAAAAATGAAAAGATTATAAATGGAAAATTAAGAGAACTTCTTAGAAATTCATATCCAGAATAACATAGAGGAAAAATATGGTCTTTTGTAAATTGGTCATTTATATTAGCTAATTGGTAATCAATTATAAATAAATAAATAACTTTATGAGAAACTTTATTAATCTATTCCTAACCATCCTTTAATCACTCCTGAATTAAAAAATTTAATTAATAAGTATTTTCATTGTTATTAAGTGATCTTTAGAGAACATTTACTATTATCAATGATTTTGAAAATTCAGATAAATTGAAAGATGAATTAAGAGAAATATTAACTATTTTTCATGTATTAATTATTTTTTATAATAATAAGATTTATAGACCAGATATGGGATATATATAAGGAATGACATATTTAGCATTTATGTTTTTAATTAGAATGCCAAAACAAAAAGCTTTGAAATGTTTAGCAAATATTTTATTTAAAAGTCAATTATTAAGAACATTCTATTAATTTAAAAGTCATTATTTAGAAGCTTATTTTTTATTATTTGATTCATTTTTATAAGAAAAACTACCAATATTAGCTAATAAATTTAATTAAATTAACTTACCAAAATAATCATTTTTAGTGGAATGGTTTTATACAGTATTTTCAAGAGCATTCAATTTAATAACATCAAGCAAAGTTTGGGATTATTTTTTATGTGAAGGAGATTTATTTTTAATAAGATTAACATTGTCAATATTATCTAACCTAGAACCAGAATTATTGAAATGTGAATATGAAGTAAATTTAAATTATATATTTAGGATATTTTAATATTAATAAGATAAAAAACATATTAAATAAAAATAGATGATTTATTTAAACATCTAAATAAATTCAAAATTGAAGAAAAGATCTTCCAAATCAGATTACAAAAATAATTAGATGATTTGTGAAAATAATTATATTTAAATGGAAAAAAAGTATATTTTTAATAATTTTATCAAAAATCTTATAATCAACATTTTCCTGATATAGATCTTAGAGTCTTAAAAAATTTACATGTAATAGGAGTTATATAAGTTATATTGGTTTATTAATGAGTTCTACTTTCTATTTCAGTTGAATTTACTAAATTATGGCTTCCGAAATGACTCTTTTAGTTCAATTACTTTCTTTCCCTTAATTTTACATATGTTGGGATTATTTGAGAACGTTACATTTAATATTACTTTAATAATTCTGATGAATTTTCTGTTTCAATAGTCTATCCCACTGTTGATTAAGAACAAGTTATAAAGATTGAATTTCTTTTTTTATCTCTTTTTTCATGTTAAATTTTCTTAAATTAATATTTTTTTAAGATTTATGTTATTAATTTTCTATTTTATGTCAGTTTTTATTAAGATAGACATTCTCTATCATTTTATTATTATCTCGCAAACCTTTCTCTAATTTATTACAAATTATTGTTATTTATAATAAATCTTAATTCAGATTCTTCTTCCGGCTCAAGAGATTTTCGTTTTTAATCATAATCAATATGTTATAAAAGAATTTCATTTTAAGATGCTTTAAAGTTTTTTTAAGATCTTACACATATTTATTTATAATTATTATTGAAAAATTACTCTTTGAATTAAGATTCATTATTTTAGTTATTATCAAGTGTACTCAAATACTAATCATGATTTTTAAGATTCTCAAAAATTAATAATTATCTCTTATTGATATAATCTCTATTAATAATAACTCTTTCTTTTAGACAATCCATAATATCAGGATGATTACCTTAAATAGCTTTGAAATCAGAATGTTCCATATAATATGCATTTGTATTATCAACAACTTCACAACAGTATTTTCTTTAAGGTAAATCTTCTAACAATTCTTCTTAACCTATTATACTACCATCTGATAATTAACTCAACTTATTCATATTAATAAAATAATACAATAATCTTTTATTTATGTTGCTATTTATTCTAATTTAACTTTTCATAAGAAATGGATAAATTCTTTTTTTTACCCATTAAAGTATCTTTATCAATATATTTATAAAGTTAAACTCTTCCAGTCACTATAATGAAAAAGAACTATGGTTCATCTCCAATTTACCATAAAATAGTTTTACTATGAAAAACAATTGGTCTTAAATATTATATGAATTTTGAAATATTAAATTTAAGAGTTCCTGGAAATATCTTCATAAAATAATCAATTGTATTTCTGGCTTATTAAATTGATTTTTGAAAAATAAGTTTAAAATCATTTCTTCTCATAGATATACAATATGCCTTTTCTGAATATACAATTATACTTGCTGATCTAGGTTTGTCTGATGTTAACGCAACATCTCCAAAGCTTTATCCTGAATAATATTAAAAAATCTAGTAATATTTTATAATTCTTACTTTCTAATATAAAAGTACTCCATCTTTATAATACCTTTCATCTTACATTTTAAGTATGTTATCAAAGTTTACAGTTTATAATCTTTTTTATATTTTAACAATTAACTCTATTTCTTCTGGTTTTTTTAATTGTTCCAAATCTCTATTGATATCATCTAAAGGTCGAGGTCCAAATACTCCAACTTCTCCCTTTAAAATTATGTACATTTTATCACCATATTCACCATAATGGAATATTGGCTATCCATAATCATATTGTTCAAATTAAAAATATTTAATAGCATTAGTAATGAATTCAGTTAATTTCATACCTTCTGGACAATTTTATTTAAAGAATTCAATAGTAGATAAGGAATCTATCACTGTTGCTATTAAATCATTATTTTCCATTTTCCCAAATTCTTAATAAAGTTTTAATGCTTAAGAAAGTTACTCTTCGTTTTCCTTCTTAATTCTTGCATGTCTTGCCGCCTAATCAAAAATGAGAGTTTTATTTTACTTAGACATTATAAAATTATTTTAATATTAATTAAAAATTCTGATTGTATATATAAGATTTAAAAAAATGGGAAATCATAGAAAATTAATAATAGAAAAGAATACAACATTTATCAATGATAATTTTTTCTAATTTTTTTCTTTTGTATTTAAGTAACCTCTCTATTCTTAGATTCATCTCCAATAAATTCTGTGTCCTTTGTATTAGTATCATTATGAAGCTCTATTCTCTCTTATTTTCCATTTATAAAATTCCGTATCATATTATACAAGCTGAATTGTCTTTCCATTTAAGTTTAAATCTAATCATATTGAAAACGAAGATCAGGATTAGAAAGTATTCGATAAGCTTCAGAGATTATTCTGAATTAAGCTGAATCAGGATTTTTATCCTGTACATATAGTGATAATTTACAGGATGATGTTGCTTTGCTAAATTACGATATGCTTGTTTTATTTGTTCTTGTGTCGACTTATTTGAAATACCCAGAATATTGTAATAATTCATTTATTAATTGTGAAAATATTTATTGCATGCCAATTAAAAATAAATTAGAATTGTTACGAACATTCTAAATCTTTTTATTGCCATTCATTAAATAATATTATTATCTTTTTCTTATATTGAATTACTATTAGTTCACTAAATCAAGTCTATATTTCAATATCTTTTATTATTTCTTCTTAATTAATCATAAATTTATTAAAATTAGAATAAAAATTTATTATCCTCAAATTTATTTTTTAAGAATTTTTAGTCTAATTATCATTCAAATATAAAGAAATTATTTATAAATATACCTTTAACTCTTTATTATTATTAATATTACTTTATTGAGATATTAAAAAACAATAAAAAATAATTTTCAATTATACTTAGGTAAAAATTTATTCATCCTTCATTTTTTATCTAGATCAGTATTATTGCTTTTTCTTAAATTCTACCAATTAAATTGAATAATTTAACTAACCCTTATTAAGTACTTATAATTTGGCTTTTTTAATATTTCTCCATAAAGCATAATGAATGGTTATTTTATTATTATACAAATATTTTCTATTTATAAAAAATCATTAAAAAAAATCTATGAAAAAGAAATGAGTTAATTATTAATTTATTTAAAAGATTAACATCATATTTAGATTGAATTATAATAGGCACTTGTTTAAAGTTTTAATTATATCATGAATGTCAATTTTTTTAGGATATTTTGTAAGCTCATTTATAAAATATGGAAATACAATTAATTATAATTTTGATTTGAGTGCAAGGAAAAGGTTATGTATCAAATAAAAATGATGATAAGTTTCTAATCTAATTCTACTTTATTAAAAATTTCTTATAATGTTAAAAAAATCAAATATTATAAGTATATTTAAAGTCAAATATTATAAAACAATTATGATAAAATCATACTTATATTAAATCTAAATAAGTTTATACAATTTTCATTATTTATTTAGACCAAAGAAAATGTTAAGATTTAAAATGAGTTTATTGAATTAATTAGAGTGTAATTTTTGATTCAAAAGAATAAAATCTTCCTGATAATTTTTATAAAGCCTTCTTCAAACTATATATATTATCTCAGAATTTTATTATTAATATAAAAGTAATTTATTAAAAAAAATTGATAAATGTTAAAAGAGAAACTGCAAGAAATAAAGGATTCAAATACAAATTTATATTAACATTTGAATAATGTATTAACAAAGATCTTGCTGGATAATCCAAAAGTATAAATTATTGATGACTTATTAAGAATGCTTTTGAATTATTTGAAGATTATTCATTTTAAGTAAAATCAAATGGATTTACATTTGAAAAATATAATGAATTTGATAATGCAGAAAGGACAAAANTAAGAATGTATTTTTAAACATAGATATTACAGAAGAAATGATAAGCATTGAGTAAATCTAATAAATTGAATTACTTTATGATTATCATGTAGAACAAAATATATTAGTGATATCTTTTGGTAAAAAATATTTGTACTATTTAAAAATAAAGCCATTTATGTTTTCCAAATAATTTGATTAATGGAATACTAAAAAAATTAAATTAAATATTTTTGAATAAGAAAAGGAAATATTTAAGAAAATTATTTATGATCATTAGGATCAAATTATTTACATAGTATCATTCATTTCAATTACATTTAGTTATCTGAAAGTGTTTAGTCAAAGTTCAAAATGCATTTAATAGATTTGAAAAACTTAGAGGATAACTTCAACAAAATTGATATGATGAAATTAAGAATGCCGTATTTCAAATATGGAATCTAAGCTATTGATTTTCTCATCCAAAAAAATCAAATAAATAACAATGTGATTCTTTTTTTGCTGAGAAATGGAGATGTAGCATGTATTTAGCCATTGTAGTATGGAGAAGGAGTTCTAAAGAAGACATTTATAATAGAATTGTTAGATATCATTTTAACACTATCATTTATTGGATTCTTTAGATATCTAAAACGATTATTACAAAAAATATATTCAAAAATTATATCTTGTTGTAGAAGAATTTGATAGAAATGGATTTGTATTAAATATATTATTTTGATAATTATTTATTTTTGAAAATTATACCTTTTGCAAGAGTGCAAATCTGAATGATAATAAATTATTAGTTATTAATATAAAAGTATTTTATTAAAAAAAATTGATAAATGTTAAAAGAGAAACTGCAAGAAATAAAGGATTCAAATACAAATTTATATTAACATTTGAATAATGTATTAACAAAGATCTTGCTGGATAATCCAAAAGTATAAATTATTGATGACTTATTAAGAATGCTTTTGAATTATTTGAAGATTATTCATTTTAAGTAAAATCAAATGGATTTACATTTGAAAAATATAATGAATTTGATAATGCAATAAGGACAAAGGTCACAATGGATTAGGGTATTTAATAAAAGACTTTAAAATTGGTAAATAAAATAAATCTTGGAACTGATGAAGAACCATAAGAAGCAACTTAAACAGGATATTTACCAAATTTAACAGAAGAAGCTTATTTATATGAATGGGCTGGAGTAGGAATTGATGAAAATTATAAAATATTTAAAGCATTGACAGTAATTAATAAATCATTATATAAATGATAGTTATTATCTGTTACAAAACAAGCATCAAAATTAAGATTTTGGGGTAAAATAATGGGAAGAGAGAAAGATTATTATATTGCTGAAGGTGTTGCTACAAGTGCTGTTGAAGATGGAGAATTACCACCTGAAGTTGAACCTAGAGGAACTGGAATCAATACTAAATCTTATTGGGCAACAACTGATTGTATTTATTTATTATCTAATTTAGTATTAAATGATAAAGATTGGATTGAATTACCATTAGTTACACCTTAATAAATTAATGTTGCTAGATAAATTAAATATATTTTTACTGGTAATCTAGAAGCTGATGTTATTACTAATCCTTATTTCTTTGGAAAAGAAAAACATTTATTAAAAGCATAAATTGTTAGAATCACATAATCTACTGTTATTATTCCAAAAGGATAATACATTTTAAGAGAAGGTGAACCAAGAGAAATTGATCCAGCACCTGAATATAAATTACCAGGATTTCATGATTTAAAAACTTTAAATGATTGGATACATTTTAATCAAAATATATTAAATGTAAATTCTATTTTTATTATATTATTTAAGTGTGGAAGATTAGTTCATTTAATTCCATCTGAACTACCAGAAGGTGTTGAACCAGAAGCTTATTAAAAATAAATTGAAGCTGCAGATCCTTTTGAAAATAGATTAAAACCTATTTAAAATGATAAATTACCTAATAATAAACCTGCTTGGAAAATTAGAGTTGTAGGAGATACAACTGATTATAATCCATTAGCCAAAGATATTAATAATAAAGTAAACAATGGTGTTATTATAATAAAATCTTTAGTTTGGCCAGGATTAGTCACAGTTTATTCTGTATCAATATATATTTAATTATTTTAGAATAAAGTATTATCATAATTATATTATGGTTATGGATTTAAAGCAACAACTAATCATTTTTATCCAAAATAACCATAATAAGTATAAACAGAATAGCCTGATCTCCCTGAATAACCAGAACCAAATTTCCCTGCTGAAGTACCTAAATAAGAATAAGAATGATCATTATTATTATTAAATATTATGGAATAAGAGGATACAACACCAATAAGTATCAATATTGCAGAATCTATTACATCAAAACATGTTTCATATCTCATCAAAGGAGAAGATAAAATTGGACAATTTGAAGCTTTACGTCGTTATAGTGACTTTCATATTCTTAGAATAACTTTATTATAAAGATGGCCAGGATGCTATGTTCCTCCAATTCCAGCAAAATAAGCTTTGGTATTAAATATATATAATATTATAGGGAAATAATGAATAAAAAGTTGTAGAGGATCGTAAAAGGTTCTTATAATATTTCCTAGAATAAGTAGCTAAGTTAAGACATATATACTTTTCTGATGAATTTTAAACATTTTTAAGAACTAAGAATACCGATATGGAGAAAGTAATTCAACTAATCTAATATTTATAGGCTTTATAAGGATTACCAAAATAATCTATATCAGAAGTGTATGAAAAATTTAAGAAAAATTTCCCTCATTTAAATGGAAAAGAAGTGACATCAGATCTAATATTGAAAGTGTCTAGCTTCTCTACTTATTTAAGCAAAAGTACTAAACAATTAGAAAGTCTTAAAGAATAAGTAAAATTATTAGCTGCAGCCAAAAAATAATATACAGATTAATTTAGTATTCATACTTTTTCATATTTTTAGATGTTATGACTTAAACAATTGTACCTGAATATGAAAAAAATATTCTTATTGAATATGTTAATCATAAAACAGAAAATTTAATTTTTACAAATTAGAATGACGTAAATGTCACTGCAAGAGAAATTGTATATTTTTTTATTATTTCAGAAAGATTAAAATGCTTAAACTAATAATTATGATTATTTAGTTGATTTATTAAGAATTGAATGTAGAGAAGTAGAAGCATTCCAAGAAACATTGAAATAAAAAGAATTTGTTGATAATTTGAAATCTTCAGCATAATAAAAATTAAGAGATTAAAATAGTGAATTAGTTAAATTATAGGCTGGAAAAACTACATTTAAATCCATGTTTTCTAAAGGATCAAATACTGAATAAGCATAAATTTTAGAAAAAAAAATATAAGATGTAATTAATAATTATATATATAATAGACATAAAATGAAATTAAAATATTAGAAGATCTTTGCATTATGATTACATCCATTTTATGCTTTGATGAAATTGATAGATTCAAAAAGAATAAATAAAACAAATATTATGAAATTTTGATTAAAGTTAGTCAATTGGAATAATAACTAAATGAATTAGTATTTATTATACACATAATCATAGTACATTAAATTCTGGTCTCAAGTTTCTAAAGGAACAGAAGCAGAAGTAGTTGTTTGAAAAATAAAAATATAAAAAATATAAAAAAATCATTATTTATAAAAATATATTCTGATAAATATTATTTTATAAGATTTCTTTTCAATCTTTATTTTTCGTATTAAAGCCATAGAATATTTATAAATGTTGAATAATATTAATATAATGCAAAAAATACAAACAGACATAAAATAAGGAAAATAAGAAGACTAAACTTTAAATGAATAATGTGAAATCTGTTATACAGAAATTAAAATAAAAGGTCTACTAGCTAAATGCAAACATTACTTTTGTTTTAATTGTGTTTTGAAATGGACTAAAAAATAGAAATCTTGTCCTAAATGTAGGTCTTAAGTTACTAAAATATGTAAATCGTGGAAAAGGAAAACTAACCGTCCTTTAAGTAAGTTTTTTATAAAATAACTATAGTTATCTACTTATCTAATTCTGAATCAGATAACAGTGATTCAGATCAAGATTATATTCCTATAGATACTTTAGTTGGAAAATATGGGCCTGAAGACTTTATTTGAAATTATTAATTTAAATATATTATAATATTTATTTAAGCGCTTTTTCAATTGCCTTCATTCATTTAATTTAATGGATGTTTAAACAAAAAATTAGAATTAATTAATATATTTTACTTTATATTGCATAAATTTGAATTATTATTTTAATTGATGTTTAAAATTTTAGAATGAGAAGAGTTTTAATTAAGATATTACAAATGTATGTTATATTGTTATTAAAATTTTAAAAATTTTACATTTTCTAATTTCTGGGATTTCTTTTCAGAAATGGGAAAAAAATATTAAGTTTATCTATTAAGGTATTTAATTTTTCATTATACGTAGTTATTTAATTTTATTGTAATTTAAACATGAATCATCGTATAGTAATGATGTAATTAACTTAGACTTAAAAGTGTAAGAGTTTTTGTTCAGCTATTGACATATATGGAGCATATCCAAGTTTAATGATATTTGGGAATCAAAAATATTCGAGTATGTTAGGAATTATCCTGACTTTAATAGCTTCAACATTAACTATTTTTTATTTAGTTCAAGAAGTCTAAGAATTAGTCTCAAAGTCGCTCCCTCAAACAATTTAATCTGAACATTTAGTTACAGAGACATCTGTAAAATTAATAAATAATAAAAGCCATATTCATTGACAAATCAGAATTTTACACTAACAATCTCTGTTGCTAATGTGAAATAAGACCCTTTGAAAACAATAGATAAATATTTTACAATTACAGTTCAAAATTGTTTAAGAACGAGAGAGCTTAATGCTACTACAAATTAAATAAATGTTTAAAATATGTATGTTTAAAATGCTATTTCAAGATGTGTAAATTATCCCACAGAAGCATGCACCCCTGATAATTTTGTTACAGATCTTTAAAAAGAATATTTTAGTAAAATTCGATTAGGAACAGTATAGTGTATAAAAAAAGAAGTTCTCGAATCTAATCCACCAGTAATAATTGTATTTATTTATATTCAGGTACTCTAAGGAATAGTTTCAGGAAATAAATATTCTTATATTACAATAAAATTTGCAGCTTGTAAGAATAGTACAGAAAAGGTAGATTGTGCTACAATGGATGAAATACAAAAGGAATTAGCAGATGGTTTTTATGTAGTACATTTGAGCGATACTTTAGTTCAAATGAGTAATCCCAAAAATATTCAATAAAATTTCATTAAAATGTAATTTACATCATTTTCTATATCTACATCTAAGACTATCTACTAAGGATTTAGAATTATTTAATCTATGACTGATTATGGAATATTAACTAATGATATTCAAGAGGATTTATTTTTAACTCAACAATATTTTTAGGAATCAACTGCAGGGTATAATTAAGATTATTTAGTAAATCATTATTTAATTCTTGATAATAAATATACAAATTATTAAAGATCTTATATCAAATTATTGACAATCTTAAGTAAAATTGGAGGATTATGGTAATTAATATTTGTGATTTTTGGAACAATAAGCAAACAATATATTCTGATGGAAATGAAAGTCACTTTAGCTAATAAATTATTTAGATTTCAATAAGTAGAAAATGATTTAACTTAAAGTTTAAAAAAGGATTTAAGTATAAAATAAAATTTAGATAAATATGTTGAAAAACCATAGGAAAAATTACCAAACAATATATCAAATATTCTACAATTCTTATTTGGGTGTAAAAAAGAAAGAATAAAATAATTGAATTAAGCAACTTTAAAAATTCAGAAAAGCTTAGATATTGTAGAAATTATGAAAAGATTTTAGGAATTAGAAAAGTTAAAATAAATTTTACTGACTGCTAATTAAAAAAATTTATTCGATCTGATACCCATCCCATTAATAAAAGGAGATAACCAAAATAAAAATGATACTGATTTTACATCAAGTAAAAAGATGACTTTTAGTACGAGCATACATCAAAACAATGATAATTTTGAAAAATTTGTTGAAGCATATAGATCATTTTTTTAAATTCAAGATATGCCTGATACAACTGAAAATATTGGATAAAAAATAATTAAATTCTTAGATCAAGACTTAATTAAACTATTTTACGATTATCATATGGATCTAGAATAAAGGTAAGCCTTTTTATTACTTTCGGAAGAGAGGAAATCTAAAATATTAGTTGATTAAAACTTTTAATTTTCTGATTCAAAATTAAGCCTTTCTCCTTGTAGTTCAAATTAGTCAGAAGTTCAAGCAGTTAAAATTTTCTTAAATAATTAATCTATTAAAAAAAAATATTGCAATTAAGAAGTTTGATTGTTATTTGGTTTATTCCAAAAAAATAGAAATTATTAACTATTTACATTGATATATAATTTCCAAATTATTATTTCATTAGGATGAATTTCATAATTAAAATTTTAGATTTATAACATCACTTTTATGATTACGATATCTTTTTTATTAATCATTAAGAAAATTTTTCAATCTTGATAGTAAATAATAAGATTAATTCTAAAAATAAATAAATTATATAAGATTTATATAATAATCATGGATTTAAGTTTTACTAAAATTATTTTTTCATTTTCCTTACATTTCCTAAAAAAACTTCTTTAGGAAATCTATTTTTATTTATAGTTTCTATTTATTTTCCAAATGTTTAAAGAAATGGATCTTTATTATTAAGATGCATAGGAGGTAAGAGTCTTTTTTTTTTGAGAGATTCATCAGAATATATGAAGAAATTATTTGATTAATATTCATTTTTTTAGAAAACACAATCATCTGTTGAATTATTAGAATCTTCCTTAATCAAATTTGGCTAACTATATGTGCATATTTAATCTTTATAATAAATACTAAAGGCTCTAGGTTTAGTTGCAACAGTTTATCTTTCTTGTTGCTAACTAAATTATCTTGATTTTTTAGTTTGATTTAATTAGTTATTTAACTATTCTTATCTTTAAATGAATGATGATATCTAATTTTTATCAAGAATTACCTAATATTGTTTGAGAACTAATTTAGATTGATAATTTAATATAGGGTTGGGATTTTCTTTAAAAATGTAGTTAGATTATTCTTAAAGATTTCTTAGGGTCTTATCATATGCATTCGGTTTATTTTACATAAGGATGAATATAATAAGAAATAATTAATTAGTTGGAATGAGTATTTAATAATAAAAATAGATGATGAAATAAGGAATGAATGTTTGTAATATTAATAATAAATATAATTTGTCGTAGAGTCGTAGTTGAAATAAAATTAAATGAAATAAAATAATAAATTATATATAATATATATAATGTCTTACAAATTCATTCTAAGCAATAAGAGTTAGTTTTCAAAGGATCGCAACGTGAATATAGATTATAGTCCAGTTTTTAATATGTATATTGATTATATATAGTTTTAGTTAGTTGTAATAAAAATTGAATATCTTTCCAATTTTCAATGACGATCATTAAGCCACAACACCTGGGTTTATCATAGAATATGAGAAAGTATAAATGATTTGTATGTAAATTTAGCCTGCGTATGAAAGCAATTTAAACTATCATTAACAATTATTTAATCAAAAAATTGAATAAATAAAAATAAAAAATAAATAATTGGTAGTATTCATAATAAGTATTTAAAGTTGATTCCAAAGCCAAAGCATCGTGTTTAGATATGTTCGGTTTGTAAGACTAAATATACAGATTACTTAACTGTATTAATAAAGAATTTAAATTTAATTAGCATACTTAATCAAATTAGCATAAAAAGTTGTTCTTAGCATCTCCTTATATAAAGAAGATTGAAAAGATATAAAGCGATTTGAATTAACAAATATCAAATTATAATTCTTAATCAACAGACACAGAGGATGCTTCATTATTAGAGTAAACTAATAGGAAGAAAATAAAAGTAGAGATCTCCTAAATGATTTCAAATTACTGAATGATACAAATGTATTATTGTAAAAATTTAATTCTATTATTATTATAGTTATTTTCTACTTTCTTCCATTCTTTGTCTATAAATTCTCTTTTACTTTTCTATCTAATGGAATATTTATAATCATTTACATACTCGAGTTTGATTTCTTCTTTGATAGGATTCTCAGTTTTAAATTCTAAAATCTTCATTCCTGATTTCTATTCAAATTCTTGAATTCATTCTACAGCAATCTAATACATGTATTTAATATTGCAATAAATATAATATCCACTAAATGCAAACAAAGTTCACTATAAATATGAAAGCTAACAGTTTTGGAAAATTATTTTATTTTTATTTTGAGAAATGTAAAAGAGTTTTATAATTTTTCATATAATTATTTAGTTTATAAATTAGTCTTAAATATATATAAATAAAATGATAATAACAAAGATTGTTAAGTACAATCATTACAAAAAATAAGGATGTTATAATGCTTCAGTGGTACTAATTCTTTTTGATGGACTAAAAACAAATATCTTTGATAATAAATCAATTAATAAGGGATCAGTTTTCTAATTCAAAACAATATTATTAAATATCATACTTAATTTTTTGGCTTATAAATCAGGAATATAAAATTAGCATCCCAATTCAGCTTTTTCTAATTCATTAGGAGTTCCCAATAATTTACAGATTTCTACTATTTAATCTACAGTATTCTATCCAAAAAATAATGATTTGCCTAATTCTAATTCAGCCAAGATACAACCAGCAGCCCAAATATCAATTTTAGTATTGTAAAATATCTGACCAAAAAGTAATTCAGGTGCTCTATAAGCTCTAGAACAAACATAACTCAAACTTTTAGATCCATCAATTTTTTTAGAACTTCCGAAATCCGCTAGATATATATTACCACTTTAATATAATATATTTGCTGGTTTAAGATCTCTATGCATAATATTTTATGATTCTAAATATTGTAATGCTTAAAATAATTATTTAGCCACTCTTTTTAATGGGACTCTTATAGCATTTTTTAAATTTCCTTAATATAAATCCATAACCAAATGTAAATACTTAGACTTATTTTCAATAGTAAAATAATGATCTCTTAAAGGTACAATATGTGGATGATGCATACTCATATGTATTTCCAATTCCCTATTAATCTATTTTGGATCTTGGAGTACTTTCTTCATTGCATAATAACCACCATGTAATTTATTTTCAACAATAAAAATTGTACTGTAACTACCCTATCCAATCTATTCCAATATTTAATATTTCTATGATGTATTAATGTTCTAATTATTAAGAGTCAAATATTTTGGTATTTGATATCTTTCTTGAGATATAGATAATTAATGTTTATCACTTGGAGTCACTTTTCTTTTTTTAGATTTATTTTAATTCAATTACATTTATATTTATTTTAATGTCTAAATAAAATTCAATTATTTTTTTATAGTTATTCTACTTAATAATTTTATGTCAAATTCTAATGGAACTCTGGTGGCTATTATGGTAATTCTTATCATTATAATCATTAGACGATAAAGATTTCATAAGATCTTACAGATAAATTATATATTTATGAGATGGATGATCCAAGAGATCTTGCAATTTTATTCGCTTCAAAACATGATTTACCAGGAAGATGTCTATTGAAATTAATAGATAATATAACCTAATTCAAATCTATAACCAAATAAAATAAGGCCAAACTTAAGACTAGTAATCATGTGTTATCATCAAATGACTCTAACTCTAACAATAAACATAACAGATTTCAAACATAACCCTCCTTTGATTCTAATGATGATAATCCAACAGAAGAAAGTTTTCATAATATAATATTTTTAGAATACTCTCATAATATTCACAGAAGCATTGGACTTCATAAATTTTAAGAAAACCCAAATAAAATTACATCTAATAAAAAAAACTCTAATCATGTATTATATATGATGTTATTTTTAATAGTAAATCAAATACTATGATCAAATGAATTACTCTAATTCTTAAGATAGAAAAATGTTTAAAGAATATTAAAATAATAACTAGAATTAATTAAATAAAATACTCAATGAATAATTAAGTATCACTTAGAAGACCGATCAAAAATATGTTTGGAGGACAATCCTAAGAAAATTGTTTTCAATTCTAGATCAGGAATAGAAAGGGTATTTAGTCACTGAGTAGGTAGATTTATCACAATTGAGTTATGAATTATTACAAATAGTCACTCCAGTCTTATTGATAATGGAAGAGAAAGGAGGTATTTTTACATTTGAAATGTTCTCACAAGAAATCACAACTTATTGTGTGAAGTGGAATTTAATTGACTTTTTACATAATTTACTAGTCAACTGAACATTATTATAATAAAATTAATTTATTGTATAAAAATATTCACTTCAATTCTAAAAGAGAAATTATTCCAAAAAAAATTAAAATTAATCAGAAATTTGTAAATTCTGAATAAAATCTTAACTGATCAGAGTATCAATTAACATAAATTATATTGGGCTTATTTTATGAAAAAGGGATAAAGGAAAGGTTCAGGAAAAAGGGCGTTATTAAACCATTAAATTTTGAACTGATAATAATATACATATTTTATTAATTTAATTGAGTTAATTAAATTCAGTATTTTATAAGTTTTCTAATATATTATAAAATCATAAATTCTGATTATAAATTTATAAGGAGCAGGAAGTTGAAAAATAATAGGTTAAGATAAGAATGGAGAGATAATTTCGAAATTATTTGAAAGTTGAATTATAATATATAGTACTATAATAATTAGAAAAGACACTTGTAATTATCAATAGAAAAATAATTAAATTTCATTGAAATAATAAAATCTTATCAAATTAGAAATAGTTGATAAATAGAGAGAATTATAACTTAATTATTATTATTTAATTAATATTATTGATGCAAGTAATGGTATCCTTTTTTGACGATGCTAAATTCTCAAAGTCTTTTTGGGAGAAAGCAGATATTTTAATAGAGGAATAAAAAATAGACTTTCAATCTGTTCTTTTTGAGAAAAGTAAAAAAACTGGTTTTTGGACAAGCAAAAACTATATAATTTATGAGAGTAAATTAGTGAAGTTGAGGGTATTTAAATAATTACAAAAATATAGCCTAATAAAAAAAATATTCATCATGTTGATTTGAGTACATCAAGAATAGAAAGGATAAAGTATAAAAATGATTAAGAAGTTGATGCTTTAAATAAGGTATAGTAATAAAATATGTAATTTTAGAAGAAATATGGTTTTCGAATAATTCATAATAAGAAATTTAGAGAATTGTATTCGAGATCTAAAGAGCTAAATTAATAAATTTGGGATTTTTTAAAAAAGTATTGTCTTCAATTGACATTTAAAGAAGAATATATAATTGAGAGAATGATAGGAAAAGGAAATTTTGCAAAAGTACTTAAATATATTATGATAGGTGTATCTTTGTACTAAAAAATTAGATAAATAGTAATATGCTGTAAAAGCATTTGAAAAAAGTAAGATGATGAATAATGAAACTGATAAAAAAGCATTGATAAAAGAAATGTCAATATTAAGAAAGTTGAACTACAAAGGATTAATAAGAATGTATGAAGTGTTTGAAGATGACACTCATATTTTTTTAGTTTAGGAATATTTGTAAGGAGGAGAATTATATCAATAAATAAAGAAGAACTAAAAATAATCTGAACAAACAGTGGCAATGATTTTAGCTACTTTACTGGATTCTTTGGATTATTTACATAAAAAGAATATTCTTCATAGAGATCTTAAACCAGAAAATATGTTATTACGTAAAAAAGGAGTTTTGGAAGATGTTGTAATAGCAGATTTTGGATTGGCTGATTTTTATGATCCATTAGGTAATTATATGTTTTAGAGATGTGGAACCCCTGGATTCGTTGCTCCAGAGGTATTATAAGATAAACATTATGATTCGAAAGTAGATATATTTAGTGTTGGTTGTTTAATGTTTTTATTAATTGCTGGTAAATCTCCTTTTAAAGGTTCTACATATGATGAAGTTGTTATGAGAAATTACCATTGTAAAATTGATTATGCATCAATTGAAAAAATTATTAGTTGTTCAGGTATTTCCTATGATTTAATAATAATAAGGATTATAATTATTAAAATTATTACTGCATCCTCGACCTTCATAAAGACCATCTCCAAGAGATGCTTTAAGACATGAATGGTTTATGATCAACTTAGAATAACAAAGATATTCAGAGCTTAATAAATAAGAAGAAACTATAAATGATACTAAAGAGACCATCAAATCAAGTATAACAGATGCAGGTAGTTGTGGATTTATGAAAAACTTTATTGGCCCTTCATATTTAGATAAACCTGAATTTATGACTCCATAATAAACTTGTATTGGAGGTAAGAAAAAAGATAATCATCTATTCACACCCTAAATTGCAATGATGCAATAAATTTAAGAATAATTTAATGAAGAATAAATGTCTATCAGAAATTTAGATGATGATTTTACAGATATGATCTTCGATGATGAATCACCATAATCTCATAAATTACCTTAATACTAATTGGTTGGCAAACTCAAATAAGCTGTTGATTCGAATAATTCTTCTTATTATGCATCTCCTATAATTAAGGTATATATTTGTTTATTCATCTTCCTTATTAGAAAACTCCGGAAAGTCTTACCAAGGATATCAATCCTAAAGTGATGACAATCAAAGAGAAAATTTATGAGTAATAGACCTAGCCTAAAATTGCAAGCAAAATCAAGAATAATTTGAAAAATCTTGAGCAATTATGAATTGCTGACTAAAATGATTTAAATTTTATTAAAATAATTTATTAAAATATTTTTAGTTCTATTTCAAATCTATTTATCATCTCTCATAAATAAACAAACTGTAGCTATAAAAATATATCCGATTTTGTAATTCTACTGTTAGAGAAATATTCTTAAATCATTATCAAATCATAGAATAAATTTAACGAACATGATAATTGTCTTATGATTATTAATACTTAGATAAGGTTGTTTAAATATTAGATTTATGATACTCAATTATGGATAATCAACTAAAAAATAAGTAATAAACCTTTATAAATTAATTTTTGGTACAAAAATGGAAAATAACGATAAAATAATCAAGAGAAAGAAAAACAATGAATTTATTATAAATATACCTGAACAATTTAATAGAGATACATATTTAAAAATGACAATTGGATTTATATTTGATATTCATGCTATATAAAGGAGAATCCTGAAATACTTTTTGACATTATTGAGCATTTGCTGTAGACAATAGATAGGGCATCATTCAAATTAAGAATTTTTTATTGATTTATTCTTCATATTGTTATTAATAGAGTAAAAGAATTGATTATAGAATAGGTAGTTTAATTTTAGAATGAGATGTAGCAATCCATTCTAAACTTTTTTATAAATATCACTATTGTTTTAAGCAAAAGCTTAATAAAAAACTTTTAGTTAATTGACAAGTTAAACTTATATGAACAAAAGGAATTTAGACTTATTCATTAATTATTAAATTACTTTAATTTTTATTTAAAATATAATGAATTCAGAACCTTCCATTCGAACAATCAGTGTTAAATATACAGTTGTGTTTTGTGTTATCATTGGCTTCTTATTTTTATTTTCCTAAATACTTGATAACTTATTCTATGATTATACTGTTATAGAAACTGAAATTGTCTTTATTAAAAGAGTTGGTATTTTTAATCCATTATAATAGATTAAACGAATAATGAAATGATTATTGAATTAAATGAAGTTACTGAATAGTCTAATTCATTGGTTCTCACTTTACAAAACAACATGTAAAGTACCATTGAATAGATTTATAAAAAAATCAATTATCAAATTAATGAAGAAGAAGATTTCTCTTAACAATAATTTAATAATCAATATCGACAATCATTCAATCTCATATCGTAATCACAATTTTTAAAATATAAAATGAATAATTCTATAGATTCCATTTATCTATTAAATGTTAAAAATACTATTAATACTGATCTGGCATAAGTTGGTATTAATTCTCATAAATAATTTATAGATATTACTATTTATTCTGATCTTGGAACTAACTTTTTTGATTTATCTCAAGCTATAACACTTAATAACTTTTGGAACGAAGAATTTTCATTAAACTTGAAAAACAAAATTGTAATACAATATATTGAAGAATTTCATTATATACTCTTTATCTTGTATGACTATAATACTAACGATTATTAAATTGCAATATTAAATGATTATATTTTAAAAATCATACATACTTCAAAGCGCCTCATATCAAATATTGCAACCAAAAATCACCATATCATATTTAATTATTAAAATGATAGAGATATTCATTTCTATGATTGTAATCAATTTATATTTATTTAAGTGTAGTTAATTCATAAAAAATTACTAAAATTCAATAGTTCCAAATTACCAATGTCTTATATTTTTAAGTGATGAAATTATTTTTCCTAAATGAAACCACAATCGTTGTATTTTATTTAGAGTATATCTACTAATTTACACTTAGAATTACTAATGATAAATACAGAATAATTGGCATGGCTTTAAATGAATTTAAGAATGTATTTTTAAACATAGATATTACAGAAGAAATGATAAGCATTGAGTAAATCTAATAAATTGAATTACTTTATGATTATCATGTAGAACAAAATATATTAGTGATATCTTTTGGTAAAAAATATTTGTACTATTTAAAAATAAAGCCATTTATGTTTTCCAAATAATTTGATTAATGGAATACTAAAAAAATTAAATTAAATATTTTTGAATAAGAAAAGGAAATATTTAAGAAAATTATTTATGATCATTAGGATCAAATTATTTACATAGTATCATTCATTTCAATTACATTTAGTTATCTGAAAGTGTTTAGTCAAAGTTCAAAATGCATTTAATAGATTTGAAAAACTTAGAGGATAACTTCAACAAAATTGATATGATGAAATTAAGAATGCCGTATTTCAAATATGGAATCTAAGCTATTGATTTTCTCATCCAAAAAAATCAAATAAATAACAATGTGATTCTTTTTTTGCTGAGAAATGGAGATGTAGCATGTATTTAGCCATTGTAGTATGGAGAAGGAGTTCTAAAGAAGACATTTATAATAGAATTGTTAGATATCATTTTAACACTATCATTTATTGGATTCTTTAGATATCTAAAACGATTATTACAAAAAATATATTCAAAAATTATATCTTGTTGTAGAAGAATTTGATAGAAATGGATTTGTATTAAATATATTATTTTGATAATTATTTATTTTTGAAAATTATACCTTTTGCAAGAGTGCAAATCTGAATGATAATAAATTATTAGTTATTAATATAAAAGTATTTTATTAAAAAAAATTGATAAATGTTAAAAGAGAAACTGCAAGAAATAAAGGATTCAAATACAAATTTATATTAACATTTGAATAATGTATTAACAAAGATCTTGCTGGATAATCCAAAAGTATAAATTATTGATGACTTATTAAGAATGCTTTTGAATTATTTGAAGATTATTCATTTTAAGTAAAATCAAATGGATTTACATTTGAAAAATATAATGAATTTGATAATGCAATAAGGACAAAGNTTATATTTTTAAGTGATGAAATTATTTTTCCTAAATGAAACCACAATCGTTGTATTTTATTTAGAGTATATCTACTAATTTACACTTAGAATTACTAATGATAAATACAGAATAATTGGCATGGCTTTAAATGAATTTAAGAATGTATTTTTAAACATAGATATTACAGAAGAAATGATAAGCATTGAGTAAATCTAATAAATTGAATTACTTTATGATTATCATGTAGAACAAAATATATTAGTGATATCTTTTGGTAAAAAATATTTGTACTATTTAAAAATAAAGCCATTTATGTTTTCCAAATAATTTGATTAATGGAATACTAAAAAAATTAAATTAAATATTTTTGAATAAGAAAAGGAAATATTTAAGAAAATTATTTATGATCATTAGGATCAAATTATTTACATAGTATCATTCATTTCAATTACATTTAGTTATCTGAAAGTGTTTAGTCAAAGTTCAAAATGCATTTAATAGATTTGAAAAACTTAGAGGATAACTTCAACAAAATTGATATGATGAAATTAAGAATGCCGTATTTCAAATATGGAATCTAAGCTATTGATTTTCTCATCCAAAAAAATCAAATAAATAACAATGTGATTCTTTTTTTGCTGAGAAATGGAGATGTAGCATGTATTTAGCCATTGTAGTATGGAGAAGGAGTTCTAAAGAAGACATTTATAATAGAATTGTTAGATATCATTTTAACACTATCATTTATTGGATTCTTTAGATATCTAAAACGATTATTACAAAAAATATATTCAAAAATTATATCTTGTTGTAGAAGAATTTGATAGAAATGGATTTGTATTAAATATATTATTTTGATAATTATTTATTTTTGAAAATTATACCTTTTGCAAGAGTGCAAATCTGAATGATAATAAATTATTAGTTATTAATATAAAAGTATTTTATTAAAAAAAATTGATAAATGTTAAAAGAGAAACTGCAAGAAATAAAGGATTCAAATACAAATTTATATTAACATTTGAATAATGTATTAACAAAGATCTTGCTGGATAATCCAAAAGTATAAATTATTGATGACTTATTAAGAATGCTTTTGAATTATTTGAAGATTATTCATTTTAAGTAAAATCAAATGGATTTACATTTGAAAAATATAATGAATTTGATAATGCAATAAGGACAAAGGTCACAATGGATTAGGGTATTTAATAAAAGACTTTAAAATTGGTAAATAAAATAAATCTTGGAACTGATGAAGAACCATAAGAAGCAACTTAAACAGGATATTTACCAAATTTAACAGAAGAAGCTTATTTATATGAATGGGCTGGAGTAGGAATTGATGAAAATTATAAAATATTTAAAGCATTGACAGTAATTAATAAATCATTATATAAATGATAGTTATTATCTGTTACAAAACAAGCATCAAAATTAAGATTTTGGGGTAAAATAATGGGAAGAGAGAAAGATTATTATATTGCTGAAGGTGTTGCTACAAGTGCTGTTGAAGATGGAGAATTACCACCTGAAGTTGAACCTAGAGGAACTGGAATCAATACTAAATCTTATTGGGCAACAACTGATTGTATTTATTTATTATCTAATTTAGTATTAAATGATAAAGATTGGATTGAATTACCATTAGTTACACCTTAATAAATTAATGTTGCTAGATAAATTAAATATATTTTTACTGGTAATCTAGAAGCTGATGTTATTACTAATCCTTATTTCTTTGGAAAAGAAAAACATTTATTAAAAGCATAAATTGTTAGAATCACATAATCTACTGTTATTATTCCAAAAGGATAATACATTTTAAGAGAAGGTGAACCAAGAGAAATTGATCCAGCACCTGAATATAAATTACCAGGATTTCATGATTTAAAAACTTTAAATGATTGGATACATTTTAATCAAAATATATTAAATGTAAATTCTATTTTTATTATATTATTTAAGTGTGGAAGATTAGTTCATTTAATTCCATCTGAACTACCAGAAGGTGTTGAACCAGAAGCTTATTAAAAATAAATTGAAGCTGCAGATCCTTTTGAAAATAGATTAAAACCTATTTAAAATGATAAATTACCTAATAATAAACCTGCTTGGAAAATTAGAGTTGTAGGAGATACAACTGATTATAATCCATTAGCCAAAGATATTAATAATAAAGTAAACAATGGTGTTATTATAATAAAATCTTTAGTTTGGCCAGGATTAGTCACAGTTTATTCTGTATCAATATATATTTAATTATTTTAGAATAAAGTATTATCATAATTATATTATGGTTATGGATTTAAAGCAACAACTAATCATTTTTATCCAAAATAACCATAATAAGTNGGTAAATAAAATAAATCTTGGAACTGATGAAGAACCATAAGAAGCAACTTAAACAGGATATTTACCAAATTTAACAGAAGAAGCTTATTTATATGAATGGGCTGGAGTAGGAATTGATGAAAATTATAAAATATTTAAAGCATTGACAGTAATTAATAAATCATTATATAAATGATAGTTATTATCTGTTACAAAACAAGCATCAAAATTAAGATTTTGGGGTAAAATAATGGGAAGAGAGAAAGATTATTATATTGCTGAAGGTGTTGCTACAAGTGCTGTTGAAGATGGAGAATTACCACCTGAAGTTGAACCTAGAGGAACTGGAATCAATACTAAATCTTATTGGGCAACAACTGATTGTATTTATTTATTATCTAATTTAGTATTAAATGATAAAGATTGGATTGAATTACCATTAGTTACACCTTAATAAATTAATGTTGCTAGATAAATTAAATATATTTTTACTGGTAATCTAGAAGCTGATGTTATTACTAATCCTTATTTCTTTGGAAAAGAAAAACATTTATTAAAAGCATAAATTGTTAGAATCACATAATCTACTGTTATTATTCCAAAAGGATAATACATTTTAAGAGAAGGTGAACCAAGAGAAATTGATCCAGCACCTGAATATAAATTACCAGGATTTCATGATTTAAAAACTTTAAATGATTGGATACATTTTAATCAAAATATATTAAATGTAAATTCTATTTTTATTATATTATTTAAGTGTGGAAGATTAGTTCATTTAATTCCATCTGAACTACCAGAAGGTGTTGAACCAGAAGCTTATTAAAAATAAATTGAAGCTGCAGATCCTTTTGAAAATAGATTAAAACCTATTTAAAATGATAAATTACCTAATAATAAACCTGCTTGGAAAATTAGAGTTGTAGGAGATACAACTGATTATAATCCATTAGCCAAAGATATTAATAATAAAGTAAACAATGGTGTTATTATAATAAAATCTTTAGTTTGGCCAGGATTAGTCACAGTTTATTCTGTATCAATATATATTTAATTATTTTAGAATAAAGTATTATCATAATTATATTATGGTTATGGATTTAAAGCAACAACTAATCATTTTTATCCAAAATAACCATAATAAGTGTAAACAGAATAGCCTGATCTCCCTGAATAACCAGAACCAAATTTCCCTGCCGAAGTACCTAAATAAGAATAAGAATGATCATTATTATTATTAAATATTATGGAAATTATAGAATTTTTTTTACCTTACTATTTAATAGAATTCGTTAAATTCTAACTTAGTATAAGCAAAATTTTTGAGAAACTATTTTAGAAAGCTTATATTCACAACTGGTATCTAGTTCTTAATTTTAATTCTCTCTCTATTTCTACAAAAATTGTATATTATAAAAAAATCAATCTTATTCATCTTCTGAACCCATAAACAACGCTAAAAAGAATAGTGATGATAATAATTGAGTAAATCTTAAATGATGAGACATTTCATCTGTTTTTTTGGGGTCAATAAAAGTATAGGTTTTTTGCTTTTCAATACTTTCTTTTTTCCAAATTCGATTGATTTTAGTAAAACCAGCTCTGCATTATGGACATGAAAGACTTTATTTTGCCCATATATTGATACATTAGAAGCAAAATTTATGTTGACATGATTCTATTATTCCCTTGAAAAATAAAATATTAGATTACTTGATCAAGTATAGGAGAATAGCAAATTATGCATTCTAAATTTGGTTCAGATTTTTCAAAATACCTATTTAAATCTGATTTATTATTTTATTATTCCTTTCTTATTTTGGATTTTTTCCTAAGGCTAGGATTTTTTAAAGCTTATTGTTCTTGCAATATCTATTTACCCATAATTCTTTTAATTAAAGAATTAAGTTGAGAAATAACTTAAAAGATTAGATTTAATAGAAATTCTCATAAAAATTTTCTGCTAGAATTTTATATCTGTTAAAATATATTATTTTAAACAAATTTTAATTATAATTATAATTTATTGAAGAGTTTAATTTTTCTAAACATTCTAGGCTGGATTAATATAAAATAATTTCTCTTTCTCCTATTTAGCGTAATTTATAGACTAATTTCTTGGTTTTTGAATTGCATCTTTCTAATTTTTTCTATATCTTATAATACTATTCATTAATTTTTAAAAAATCATTTTATAATTGCTGAATTTTTTCTATATATTTATTTTTTGTATTGTTATCTGGCTAAAGGAAAAAATTAAAATTATTATTTAAGAAATATCTCTTGAAATTCTCTCCTTATCTTTTTCATAATTTTCATATAATACTTGAAGTTATAAATGATTTTATCTTAAAATTTTCATAAATGAATTTTAACTTAACTTTAAATAAATATACAATGATTTAGAATCTAAAAATTCTTGGTTCTCTCAAATAATTTGTTGATTTTAGATTCAAACGACATGAGGATGTATTTGAGAAAGTTTATAATTATTTTTATATATGTCATAATTACTCATCATTGGCTTTTTTTATTGGCCTATCAATATATAGAAAAGGATTATATTTATCTTTTGCTATCAATGTCAAACAAGTTGAAATAATATCTGGCTTATTAATAATATTTTAAAGAGGTGCAACCAGATTGATGGAGGAGATTTTTTAGCCCAAAATATACAATTCACCATCTTAGATAAAATTCTTTTTGGAAATTTTTGGTGCTTCTTCATCTACTATACTCAAACTTTCAAATTTTCTTTTTAAAAAAGCTATATCACTCATTTATACTTATATTAAAATATTTATTAAATGTTAACATTATTGCCACAAAATTACTTCATAAATAAATTCTCTATTAACTCAATCCCCTTTGTCAATACAAAAATATGGAAAAATTATCTAAACTTTCTAAATTTTACTAATTCAAAGAAATTTTATATAGAAGATTTATTTTAAAAGATCATGTGAATAGTACCATTTATTTTATATATGTTAGAAAAAATTAATGAATACAGCTATTTCCTGAATTGTTTTTGAATTAAGTATAAGTATTCATCTAATTGTTTAACCTTTTGAAAAAGATTAATAATTTTATTTTTCTAATTAATTTAAAAAAGGAAAGATAAATAAATGAAACATGCCTAATTTTATTATCAAATTCTTATTTATGTATAGATGCTTTAAAAAAATAAAAAATAAAGTCACTAATAAAGGAATATGAAAAAATAAAATTACAATAGAGATTTAATTAATTGTTCATAATACTATTGAAATTTTTTTAATTTCATTATCACTGAGGAATTTCTAATTTTTTAAAACAAGCAGAAAAACGAATAGTTGATTGAATAAAATATGATGATATTATCACAATATAAATAATAATTTTCATTCTACTATTTCTTAATTTTAAGCATGTTGATTCATTAAATATAATGCATATTAGGCAATTACTTTTTACAATTCTTCTTTAATTTCTTAAGTCTGCATTTATTAATAAGCTTCTTTCCAATAATTTAACTTTACATTAATTGTTAAAAATGAATTCCAAGAATTCTCTTATGCAATTTTATTAATTGAATTGTTCATTTCAGTTATACTATGAACTTTAATTTCATATTTATCAACATTGGTTTATAAATTGAATTTATAAAGTTTATCATATAAAGGCCTAATTTATTTTTTTTATTCAATTTATTTTTTTTAATTCTAAGAGGAATATCTTTGATATTTTTATGATATTTCAATATGTTAGTTTAATTTAATTGGAAATGATTCACTTCTACTTGATTTAATTCTATGATCAAATAAAGATTTGGTTCCATTTGAACCAGCTTAAGTTGAATTATTTTATTCATCTTTTTAAATTTATGAAACCTATTTAGAAAGAATTAGTTATTAAGATTCATCAATTTTAGGTTCATTCTATTATTCGTATTAATTAGGGGATAATTTAGATGGTTTTTTTTCTGAAATTTTTTTTTTCTTTTTTTCTATAGATTGTCCTCTTTCTTCAACTTTTTCAATTTGTTATTGTTATTATTATTTCTTTTTTTTTCCTGAATGTTAAATTATTTCTTTTTTTTAACCCTTCATTTTATTGGTAATGGTATTGACTGGTGGAATTTGATTTATTTAAGTCTTTTCTTAGGTTTAAGGAGATGATAATTAAGATTCAGTTGTACCCCAAGTCTTTCTTTTATTTTTAATCAATTTTCTAATCCCTTCTCCCCATAGAGCAGATGCTTAAAAAAATACTGAAAGAAATCTGAATAATTATAAAATCTACTTTACCTATTTATGTTCACTAATTATCTGATAATTGCTTCAAATAATTAAATCATATCTTTTTATTTTCTTACAGAATCTACATATATATCTGATACAGCTTAAGTTAGATTACTGTATTCTGAATTTAATATTAGGTAATCATTAATAATCATTAAGTCTAAAATATGAAGAAAAACTATAACTATTGTTCCTACGCATTTTTGTAAAATGAATTTCTTATTAATTACGTTCAATATTTCAGTATGAAGTAAATTAATGACTAATCCAACCAAATATAAAGTAATTGATGCTCTTATAAACTAAAAATTAGTTTAAACTTATTTACTTCAGGATAAAAACTGCCAAAGTTGTGATTATAAAGTGAAGATGAGATTTATTAAGCTTATTGTAATTATTTTTGAGAAGTAAGGCCATATTGTTAAAGTGAATTTTAATTTTTTGCTTTTTAATCTCCTCTCAGAGATGCAAACAATAAAATGTTTATTCCTATCTAACATGTCTTTATTGTCACTACTTTGAGTTCATCCAAACGTAGACGTAATGATAAGTAGATGTTCTTCACTTTAGAACTCATAAGTATTAATTAATTACGTTTTTCTAATTTCTTAATATAACATTATTTTTATCAATATCATTACTTCACGATGCAAACAATAAACTGTCATCACAAAATTCATCTAAAAATTAGTTTTTCATTCTAAGATAACTTCTAAGAACTCAGAGAAAATAAATAAAAGATATACTCATACTTAAATGATTAAATTATATATAGACACTTTATTTTGATTACAATATTGCAAAAAAGGAAATACTATTTACAAACATTAAGAAATTGCAAGATTTTTTCAATTTCAAAATTTTCTACTTACAAAATACATGTCTTATATTGTTTATTTCTCAAATAATTTATTTAGCATAGAAGAAAAAAAATAGATTTTCTCTAAGTAAACTACTTATATAATTTATTGCTCTTTTTATCTATGTATTCCAATCAAAAAAAAGATATATTTGATATTTTTATCTGTTGAGAAACATTGATAAAAAGATATTTATATAACATTAATAGATGGAATTGCCAGCTTAATCATCTTCTATAATTTTTCGATATGATTTTTGAGTCTCATAAATGAGATACTAATTTTAATTAGAATAAATTTATGTTAATAAAATATTTCTTCTATCTTTTTATGCTAAGATATGTAAATTTAATTTTCTCAATCACTTATTGTACATAGGATATTCTTGTTATTGAGTCAAATTAAAGGAAATCATTACAGGGTTTATTTATCTTAATAAAGAAATTATGGATTAACCGAATTTTATGTCAGATTTATAATTCCTGCTTCTCATGAGTATGTTAAAATAAATAAAACTATACATGTAGTTTAGATTTATTAAGGGTTAATGTATTTTTTCAAAGCTTTTTATAATTATGAATTTTAGATTATAAGTTTTTTTATATAAAATTTGGTTTAAATACCTGGTGTTGAAAATGTATTTTTTTAATATATTTTTTTTTTAAGATTTTAGTATACAAATGAACACTCATACAATTACTTACCCAAAACCTTTAATTCGCATTTTGCAACATTCAAAATAAGATTCTTGGAGTGTTTCGTCAACACAATCTTATGAATCTCATATGACAGAAATCGAAAGACCTTAAAATCCTATGATCAAGAATTTTGTGGACAATCAAGATGATGATCTAGAGAGCTTCTTTGATCAACTAGAATGAATAAATCTTTTCTTATGATTTGTCTTATTTTGTGTAATATATTAACTGAATAAATATTTAATTACAACTTAAATGTATTTGTTCTAAAGGATTCCTTTAGATGCTTTAGGTGGATTTATATTGTTTGTTTTTGTTAATATAGATTTGAATTTATAGCTGGAAACTTTGTTTTATAAAAATTCATATCTAATTATTATGATGATTTAAATGTAAAAAAGTAATTCATCAGTAGTAGAGAAGCAAGAAAATTAGATTATAATAGTTCACTGAAAATCTTTAATGAGTTTTAAATAATATATAGTAAGAAATTCTTGAGATTATAATTGAAAAAATATATTATAAGACTTGATAAATTTAATAATCAAAATGGCTACTACAAGCTATTTTAGTTTTACAAATGATGAAAGAAAAATGATAAGTAAAATGCTTTAATTGTCTTCAAATCAATATGCATACTTAGAGAAAGAATTGGATTCTCTTCTTGATTCATGTAAAATGTGTGAAGATCATTAACTTCCTTATAAATTTTACAATGATTAAAAATTCTTTTGTCCAAAATGTTTAGATTAAGAAAAGCCTAAAAATTTTCATTACATTGAAGAAAATGATCAAGATTTAATTAATAAATTGGAATAGTAATTAAAACAATACGAGAATTTTAAAGTAATGAATAAGTAATTAGAAAGATTCCATAAATTGATTTTGAGACAAAAACTAATTTAGTGAGAAGTTAGTAATTGTAAGCAAACGAGAGTATAGATTATGGTAAAATAAATAAGGAATATATGATAAAGAATTAGAATAATTTAAATAATTATAATTCATGTGTTTTGAAGAGAGAATAGAATTAAAATTATAGTGAACCAGAAGAAATAGGAAATATGTAATAATTGAAAGAAACTTTATAAAAAAGAAGAAAATTCTTAGAGGTTTAGGAATTTATATCTCATATTTAAATAGAGAATAATAGAAGGGCACATGATGAAATGCATAATACTGATGTTTTTATGAGACCAACATTTTAATGGGAATAATAATAAGATAATACAGAGGCTTTTACTTAAATTTTAAAGCAGTTTCTTGGAGGTTAACAATGATTTATCATTAAAAATCAGGAAAATCATCATCAGCTAATGGATCAATTAATCTTGCACTTTATCCTGTTAAGATATGTTTAATAACACTTTCATTTTCTGCAATTTTTCTTTCATATTCTTTTCTGAATTCTGGAAAATGATATAATAGTATTTCTTCATAAACCATATCTATAATTATTTTAATTCAATGGTGATACCTTTTAATTATTCTGTTGTTAACTCATATAATTCAAATTCAAATTCTTTATCACTAACAGGTTAACGAAAAGGCTCATCTTCTGGTGAATGAAGATCTTCAAAATATGGATGAGCTAAAGCTTCATCAGCTGTAATTCTTTTACTAAAATCAATTTCTAAAAGTTTTTCTAATAAATCATATCCTTATGGAGATATTCCTTTAATAATTTTATCTAGTGGAACTTTCTAAAATTATCCTAAATGAACAATAGCTTCTAACATCTTTTATTAAAGGAAAGGATCTTTATAAGTTTTAATTTCTGATTTATTTGGAGTACCCATAGTTTCAAATATTAATTTTAATTAAGATTCTGCAGAAGCTCCTCTCCATAGAGCTTTACCACGTACAATTTCAGCAAATATGCAACCTACTGACCACATATCAACAGCTTTAGTATATTATTTTAAACCCAAAAGTAATTCAGGTGCTCTATAATATCGAGTTTCAACATAATCTGTCATAACATTTGGATTCTATCCATTAAGTCCTTAACTTAGTAAAGCTCTACTTAAACCAAAATCACAGACTTTTAACATACAATCTTCTTTATTTAATAGGATATTTCTTGGTTTTAAATCTCTATGTAAAATATTAGCAGAATGCATATATTTAATTCCCCTTAAGATTTGATATAAAAATAATTTATAATGATCTTCTGTTAATTTAGCATGTTCTCGTTCTAAAACTTTACGTAAATCTGTATCTAATAATTCTGTAACCAAATAACTATAATAATAAATTTAAATTACATGTCATTCATTGATACTCTTGATTTTGGTAATGCTATTGTAATTAAATTAACAATCTAAGTAATATATTTAAGAATTACATTTTCGTGTTTTAGATTTCTTAATATTTTCAATTCTCTCAATGTACGTTTAGCATAAAAACGATGTTGAAATGTTTTCTCTATTTTCTTTATTGCTACTTTCTTAGGTCCTTCTGGAGGAGCCTTCAAATCATCTGCCTATAAAACCACTCCATAAGCTCCACTTCCCAATTAATTTGTTGGATTATATCTTTTATCCAATATGAAATTGTGATCCCCTACTTTAAATACATTAGCTGTATAATTTTTTTGTGTATATTAAGCATATTATTCCTTAATGTCCATATAATTATTACTTATAATTAAAATTATATTAATGATTATTACTTTAATTTATTTGGAATCCTTTATTAATCCTTAATTGAAAAGGACTATCAATTTTATTATATATATTAAATCATTATTATAACTAAAAATGAGATTTTTGATAAGTCTATCTACATATTGGACAATTGTTTATTTAAGACATTGAATATCTCTCAAAAGAATTTAAACAATTTGCATGAAACATATGTGAACAACTCAATAAAAATACCTTTGCATTCACCATACTCTATAAACATATTGTACAATCTACTTCCCTTCTTTCTAAAGCTATCTTCTTTATACTAATCCAATCTACTTTTACTATTGGTTATAATTTAGCCATCTATTCATTATTATGTTTCATTTAATATATCTTATTTAAATTGTTTTCCATTTACTCTTACTTTATTTACATATTTTCACCCAATTAATATATCTCTTTCTGTACTTAATTACCTTACTATTAAATTGTCTTTGACATTCTTGTTGAAATTCTTGATAATTTATAAAATAACAATTTTCTCTTTAGTAAACTATTTTCCGGCCTGTATTACATTTTAATCATCTTCTCATAAAACTATTTTCTGCATCTAAATTATCGAAATAATGCTTATATTTTAATTATTGATTAGATCTTATATTATTTATTAGCCGCTATAAATTACTTCTTCTCATAATCCTATCTTCTACATATTGGACATTATTTTGTTTAAGATACTCTTTCAAAACTTTCTAAACATGTCTTATGATAAATGTGACTGCAACTCAAAATTACATGTTATTGCATTCTAAATTTCTCTAAACATATAGGACATACACAATTCTATATATCTTCCCTTTTAAGAGACTGTTCCTCAATCTAAGCCCATTCCTCTTAATTTAAAGGTTTAGGTGGAGATGGTACTAATCCTAATTTTTAAGCTAATGACAATTATTTTTAATTAATCTTAGGCAACTTAAAAAGTTATCTACTTAAATGATCTTATAATGCTGCTGCATTTATACAGAAATTATCTTATCGTGTATTCTAACTACTCTTTTATTTCTTATACTTTTTCATATCAATAATTTAAATTATATTATCAGTTATCAATTGCATATACTTTTTCTCTATTTCTAGTTTTCCTCTCTTTATAATTATCTCGTATATAACTAGGAGTATAATTTATAAATTTTATCCTCTAAAGGGGAGCTCTCTAAAAACATCTCAATATTATAAATATCAAACTAAAACAAACTAAGATTCCAGCTATAAAGTATTCTATCATTTAAGAACAATATTTTATATACTACTTATATATATAATTTATTATTAATGTTATTTATAAAAAAATCAAATTTAAACCACAACTTCTTGCTATAATTTCTTATTCACTTTCTTCACAGATTTATTTATGTGAAATCTCTCAATATGTTTCTTCATTTATTTATGATTCTTAAATAATTATTTACATTATGAACATTGAATTTATTATTATTTTTCATCTCCTTATTTTAAACTTCTCTTTATCTTTTTTGTTTAATTTGAAATTGGATTATCTTTTTTTCTATCCATCTCATCTCCTTCTTCATCAACTATGCTAAGTTATTTACTAAAAATTACTTAATCTCAATAGGTGTATCTGATCTAGATTCTACCTATCCTTATTAATTTTTTTCCTAACTTTACAATACTGCTGAACCACAATCAATTTCAATTCTCTCTTAATCTTTATTTATCAATATTTATTTTTCTTCATTTATTATTTCCTCCCCTTTAGCTAACTTATCACATCTCTCAGATAAACTAGCGCATTGCTAGTATAATTGAGCCAAAGCATTTAAATGAGTTGTCAAAGGAACGTATTACATTATTTATTGACTCTCCTACAATCAAATTAATCATCCTTTTATTAATTGATATCCTTATAATTTTTTTCGTGAAATATATTATTTAAATAACTTCTATTTCATTATATTATATTCTATTCTTATTGTAAAAACTTTATAAAAATTTTTATTATTTATATCCTCCACTAGAAATTAACTACGTCAACAAATCATTCATTCAAATTATAATTCCTTTTTTTCTCTATAACTATACTTTTATTTTCTTATAATTGACTATATTATTAATAAAGAAACCCTTAGAATATTGATCAAAGAAAATTCACTTATTAACAAGGTATAAACAATAATTTACAATTTTTATCTATGATGACCAAGTAAAAAGCTCTAACTCTTAATTTGATTAACATTCGTATTTTCTTTAAATTTCTTTTGGAACACCTATTTATTTCTAGATCCTAATCATGCTAAATTTATTTTGAGAGCAGTTCTCCAAAGTCTTATAGTCTTACAAAAATAATAATTCAATAGAAAAAAATTTTTGGGATTTTTATATTTTGACTCTATTAAGAGGATGAATTAAAAAATAGAATAATTTTTCTGAAATACATTTTTATTTCAATTTTATAAATTATATTAATATTTCAAGGTAATATTTTGGGATAGAATTATGTCTTGAGTTTGAGATAAAAGTTATCAAATTTAAAGGTTAAATAAATTTATTCATAGATTTACAAAGAACACTTTTCTTTACAAAATAAATTGAATTTATTTTAATAATACTATATTAGAATTCTTCCTATTTCAATAATGTTAGCTAATCAGTTTAAATAACAATAATAGATAGCTTTTATATAAAATGCTTAAATAGTTATTATTAGATATAATACTGAATTCTTAAGTATATTAAGTAATACTTAAAAAATAAATTAATAATTATTTAAGAGTGAAATAATTATTAAATGAATAAATTTTATAGATTTGAGTGTTTTTATAATAAATAAAAAGCAATCCTTTGTGGAATATAAATATCAGATTGGTTATTGTAATCATTAAACATACCGGCTTACTCACGGGTTCGTTTGTGAGTAACAACAGTATGTTTTAAGGCCGATAACGAATGTTTTCATCATACAAAGAGTGGGTGGGATTTGTATATTGGGAAGAAAAAATAAATATTTAAAATTATGGGTTCTTTGAAAATTATAATTATTATATATGATTTAGTGTTGAGTTATAAATTAGAGATTATGGAGATTATAATTATTTGCGTGAAGGAAAATAACTAAAAACAGTTATTAATAATAATAAAAATAAATGGGAAATAATTGTAAAGGGCAATGTGGTGGATGCTATAAGAGAGACTAGGAAATTGTCGTAATGATAAGTGGCTATAATAGAAAAGTGAGCAGCAACAAATATTATCAGAGAAGCCAATAGAATCTTCTAGTAAGCGAAGTTCGAAAAATAATGTTTAACAGAATACAATATAGATGGGATGCAAGAGTGAATAATCACAAAAGCCTTAAACAAAAAGTGTAGTTGATATGGTAGAAGACAAATAGAGAAAGACAAAGGCAATAGTGAAAATATAATCTCATTGGAGAGGATATAGAGTGAGAAAGGAAGTATATTCAATGATAAAGAGTTAAACAAGTGTAAGTAGTTAAGTGAGTAAATCAACAGGAAGTTATTTTGATAGATTGGGAAATGATTCGAAATCATAGAAGTAATAAAGAGTTGATTCAATAGATTAACAAAATTGTATAATGGACAATGGTTAGGTAATGAGAGACATGGATATGGATGTTAGAAATGGCCAGATGGAGCAACATATGAAGGAGAATGGTAACATAATAAAGCGAATGGGAAAGGAATATTTAGACATGCAGATAAAATAGAATATGATGGATATTGGAGAAATAATAAAGCATGTGGATATGGAACATTGAAATCACCTAGTGGAGCATATTATGAAGGAGAATGGGAAGATGATTTATAACATGGATTTGGAAAAGAAAAATGGGCTGATGGATCATTTTATGAAGGTTAATATGTTAAAGGAATGAAATGTGGAAAAGGTAAATATGTATGGAGTGATAACAGTTATTATGAAGGAGAATGGTTAAATAATAAAATACATGGATAAGGAGTATATCATTGGATTGATGGAAGAGGATATATTGGATAATGGAAAAATGGAATGATGAATGGGCAAGGAGAATATAGTTGGATTGATGGTCGTAAATATATAGGAAATTATTTAAATGATTAAAAACATGGTTATGGAGTCTATCGCTGGGTTGATGGTAAAGAATATAGAGGAGAATGGTTATTTGGATAATAAAATGGAGAAGGTACTTATATTACTGTTGACGGAAAAACTAGAAAAGGAATATGGTCAGATGGAAAATTAACTAAATGGATTAAATGATCATTTTTTAATTTTATTTTAACGTTTATTATAATAAACATGAATAATGATGAAAATACACCCTAAAATATATGTCAAGATTTTGTTACTAAAAAATGGACTCATAAACAAAATTAATCATTTACTAGATATTCAATTATATAGAGTTCTATCAATTCAGTTTTTGAAAGGTCTCAACAATTTTCTAATTTCAATTTATCAAATGGATAGTATTGGGGATAACTGAAAATCAATAAACCTCATGGAATAGGTTCATGTCATTTTGATAATGGAGATTTCTATTATGGTGAATGGAAGAACAATTTAATACATGGATTTGGAGTCTACTTTTTTAATGTTGGAGGTTATATTAAAGGAGAATTTAAGGAAGGATAAGCTGAAGGAAAATGCGAACTCTCTTATTAAAACGGATAGTTATATTAAGGATCTTTTAAGTTAGGAAAACAGAATGGAATTGGTATTAAAATTGGTAGAAGAGGAAAAGAAGTAGTTTAATATAAAGATGATATTCGAGTATGTTTGAATGAAGAACCTTAATCGATTGAGGATATTTAATTAATTTTAAAGAATCATTTACCATAAATATATATTCATAATGATAGAATAGTTTATGGATTACAATGTGATCTAACTGGTTTGGGAGTGATTTAGTATAATAATGGTAGATTAGATATTGGATGGTTTTAAAATGGATTTCTAAATGGAAAGGGCAAGATAATTTTTAAGAGTGGAGACATATATGATGGTTAATTGAAAAATGGATTCTTTTAAGGCGAAGGTATGTAAATATGAATTTAATATATAGGTTTTTATTTAAATTATAATTCTAAATAGTTAACAGAAGGATAATTTGAAAGAAATCAAATTTTAACAATAAAGAAATAATTTTATGAGTATCCTCCATATAAAAATAATGAGGATTTGTAAATTGTGGATTAAAGAATCTTGATAAAAAATATTCATTTGAAAACAAGATTTATGATTGGTTCCAGTAGATAATAAAATTCTACTGAGAAAAAGGTTAATAAGATACAAAATTAGAAATAAAATATGTTTTAACCTGGTTAGAGAATATAGAAGAGTGAAGGTGGATAACATGAAGAAGTAATAGATAATCTTTTGGCTCAAGTTTAATCGCCATAATAACGAAAAAATTTAGAATAGATAATTAGTTAAGTGACATCTCCATAAAGGATTAGATGATAGATTTTGCAGTCAGAATGATAATATTTGTATATGAGTATATGAATATAAAAGATTAGAGTATATATTAATTTGACTTATTAAATGTAACAATCAAAATTAAATAAATCATCATTGTAACAACAATCAATAAAGGTTTATGTGAGAGTACGACCTTTATTGAAAAAAGAGTTAGGATAAGAATGCATAATAAAAACTGATTAGGTAGTGATTGTTATTTAAGAAATAGTAAAAATATGTAGTGATAGAGTAATCTACTCATATATTGAAGTAGGAATATGATTAAGTATTTGATGAGAAGGTGTCTTAAGCAGAAATATTCAAATACATAAGTCCAACAATTAATAAGGCATTATAAGGATATAACACAACGATAATGGCATATGGTTAAACAGGAAGTGGTATAATTATGGTTGTTAAACAGGTAAAACTCATACAATGTTTGGGAGTGATTGGGAGTATTCACTTAATATTAGTTTGGGACATTAATCGACATTCATAGATGATTTACAAATAGATCAGAATCATGCAGGTATGATACCCAGAACTATTTACACTTTATTTAATAATTTATAATAGGGTTATTATGTTTATTGTTCATTCTTATAGATATATAATGAAAAGATTTATGATTTGTTATAAGATCATAAGGTTCCATAAGCATTATAAATACATGAATCTAAAACAGAAGGAATTTATGTAGGTATTATATAATTTGAGATAATAGAATAATTGACTGAATATGCAGTGAATAATTTGTATGATTGTTTAACATTAATGAAGAGAGGGGAGAAGAACAGAATGATTAGATAAACAACTATGAATTTAAAATCAAGCAGAAGTCATACTATATTTTAATTATTGATTGAAACTAGTAAAGCTGATTAAGGTGGTTAATTATTGAGATCTAAAATTAATTTATGTGATTTAGCTGGATCAGAAAAGATTAATAAATAAGAATCTATGAGTAATGCTCATTTGAATGAATTGAAAAGCATTAATTAATCACTCACCACTTTAGGAAAAGTAATATAAAACTTATCTCAAAATAATAAAAATATTAATAAATTACCAATACCTTATAGAGAATCAAAAATAACTAGATTATTATAAGATAGTCTTGGAGGGAATACATTAACTAACATATTTGTTAATGTTGCTCCAAATATCTATAATATTGATGAAACTGCAAATTCATTGAAGTTTGCTCAAAGAGCTCGAAATATCACTTAAATAGTTTAAGCAAATTCAATTAATGCAACAGATTAAGAATTGGTTAATAAATTATTAAAAGAAGTATATGATATTGAATTAATATTAGATTGACTATTTGAAATAATTACTGAATATGAAGAGAAAAGGATTAAATAGTAATGATATGCATTTTAAATTTATGAAAATATAGGAAGAGAATGAAAGATTAAGATAGGCTAATTTATCGGTTAATGAAGTTGAAAAATTAATGTAAGAAAATAGAAAAATGAGAGAAGAATTATAGAAATTATAATCATAATCTCATGAAAATTCAGAAAGTTCTCAATTAATGAAACATGGATCTGAAGAAGCATTTTCAGCATCAGAATTAGATAAATAATATAATACATATTAATAGACTAAACTCTCGAATAATGGTCTATTAATAGTAAGTAATCCAAGCATGTAAAAAACAGAAGTGACTGTTCGTTATAAGGATAGAGGAAATAAAATGTAAACTAAATTAGGATATGTTGAAGCAAGTGATTAAATGTTATAAAGGGAAAAAAGATTAATGAGTGAAAGAAAAAGAGTTATTGAAAGATTAGAACTTTTAGAATAATTATAATTTAAGAACGGTCTTAATTCATCTTTACCATTAAATGATAAAATTCCAAAAGCCTCTAAAAAAAACTCTTATTATTTATTAAATAGGACTGTGGAAGAAGAAAGAACAAGTCTACCAAAATTAAAGATTGCAGAAAGGAAACTAATTCAATGATTAATTAATTATGAATAAATAAACTAAAATTTATGCATATAAACCTTAAATCAATGTTTATGTGAATAATATACCTGATTTTAAAGCTCTTATTGAAGAAAAGTTCATGAAAAGTCAAATGAATAAAAATTATGTCTTTCCAAGAATCAAAGATGACTTATCTGAATACCGTTGTGAAGTAATCAAAACACTTCCAATTAGAAGAAGAACAAATACAGAACCTAATTAAGATGAATTAAAGAAAACATCTCAACCTAAATCTGCTGAAAAAGTTGAAACCAAATAATTAATACTTAAAGGATCATTAACTGAGAGAAAAAGTGTTAAAAGAACAATTCCATAAGCTTAATTACTTGCTGATTAAATTATCAAATAATTTGAATTATATAAAAGAAATAAAAGATTGTAAAGTGCAGGAAAATCCTTGAGTAGAATAAGAAATTTATTGCAAAAATAATATATGTGAAAATGAAATGTACTTAATATTATTTTAATTAATCAATATATGCAAGAAGTTCAACCTCCTAGAGAATCTTTAGTGAAATATGAAAATCCTATAGAAGTCAGTAATGTAAATGAAGCCACCAGAGGACTTTAAGGAAAAAAGAAAGCTTAATTATCTCCTTTAGAATCAAAACCAAACACAGAAGTAATATAATCAATTTCAAATAATAAAGGATATTTTGAATGCTATTTTACCGCCTATTGAGTGGGATCATGAAGGGAAACACTATATTTAATATGTATCACATGTAGCAGCAACAAGAGAAGATGTTGGCAATTTATAAAAACTTTTAGATGAAAGATTATTAGCTAGATAAGCAAGGTATTTTATATTCAATAACATTATTCTAGAGAAACAGGTATTTGTCCAATAAGAGAAGAATTGTTAAGTCAATGTTTTGATGAAATCATTAGACAAGTTACAATTGACTGTTCAGAAAGAGGTATTCATTTATATTTATCACTTAGGGCTACTTTTAATGAGAGTGAGAGATGAACTTAAAATGACCATTGCAGCATATTAAACATTGTACAATTCTTCTGTTACTTTTGGAATGAGGAAACAACTTTAAGCAGAAATGGGTAAAAGTGAATTAGAAGAAAAAATTGTTTAGTTGGAACAAAGAAAATAAAAGTTAGAAGAAAAAGTATTCATTTCATTTATTTAGAGAATCGATTTACTAAATAAGAAGGATTCACTTGATAAAAAGATTAAAGAAAGAAACTAAATTGAAGAATAAAAGAGAAAATAAGAAATTGAATTCCTTAAATATTAAGGATAACATTTAGAAGCCTTCCTTAAATCTGTACAACCAGAATTGAAATGAATAATGTCTATATATATATATTGATCATTTTTTATGATAAAGCAATGCAAATATATAACCAATCGTTGTTAGAACTATTAAGAAACTCACAATCCCATACATTCTCTATTTTTATCTCTTATTATAATCATAAATTGCTTTTAGTGTAATTTCTGCTTCTTTTGATTGATTATTAACTGCAACTTCCTCTCCTTATTTAAATTCCTAAAATTTAGTTTTCATTATTTTATAAATATAGAACTCAATATATAAATGAATTATTACAATATAAAAAATGAAATATTGGACATATAAATTACAAAACCCTTCTCTACAACTATGTATGATAAAAATTTTATTCGATTTTAGAGACTTTGATTTGAATTAAGATCTTCTAACTTTACATTTTATTTGAAGATTATCATTGTGACTATTTAATATTACAATAATATCAAGAAACTTAATGATAGGCGAACCAAAAAGAACCAAACAATAAAAAAAAATAAAAAAATTAGATAATAATAAACAAAAAAATTGATTTGATTTAGAATCAATAACATAAATCTTCTTTAATTTAATTTAATTAATTAGAATAGATTCATTTTGTTGAGAATTAAAAACAAGAATTAATTTTATTTGTTTAGTTGAATAAATGAGAGTATTAAATAAATATTTCTTCATTACTAAAATGATAGATTTAAAATAATAAATTGAATTAAAAATAAATTTTGATTATTTCAATAATTTTAACATAAATTATTAATATATATATTTATTAATAAAACTCATTTGATCTAAATTTGATTTTGAAATTTTGAAATTTACTACTCAATATCTTTTATTTATAATAATTATTTTTTTTTCTTAATTTAAGCCTCTTCAACACTCTTTTATTATAATAAATCAATTCTTTCAAAATTTTAAAGTTCTTTTTTAATGTTTTATGCAATTTTTTAATATTTATCATCTTATTTATTCATGTTCTTTAAAAATGCATCTATTTTATCAGAATTAGGTTTTTCATTTCCAGTCATTACCATTCTAGGAACAATTAATCCTGGCATTTTTCGAATATAATTCCAATCAATTCCATTAAAAAATGGATGATCCTTAATTTCTTAGATATTTAAATGTCCAATTCTCTTTGTAAAATCTGGATCCATTAATTTTTTAATTAAATCTGCAGCATTTTAAGATATACAGTCTTCTTCATCTCCAATTTATGGCCATTCCATTCTTAAATTCAATATATTATCAAATAATCTATCAACAGTAGTATCATTGAAAGGAGGAACACCAACTAACATTTCATACATAATAACACCTAAACTCCAATAATCTGTACTATAATTATCAGAAGATACTCCTTTAATTATTTCAGGTGAAATATAATCAGGAGTACCAACTATTGTTTTAGTTTCATTAGATTATTTTTTATGGGTTTTATTAATATTGTATTATGGTTCATAATTTACATTAAAATTTTGAATCATATCACCAACAATTCCTTTAATTTTAAAATGTTATTATCTCTATAATTATTTTTTCAATTTTGTATTCATACCCTAAGCAGATAATCCAAAATCAGCCAATTTAGCATGACCTTAACAATCCAATAGTATGTTATCAGGTTTAAGATCTCTATGTACAATATTGTTTTTTCTTAAATATTCTAAAGCTAAAACTATTTCAGCCACATAAAATTGAACATAAGATTCATCAAGTGCTCCATAAACTTTGAGAATATTGGAAAAATCTCCTCCTACCATATATTCTTAAACAAAACAATAGTAATGATCATGAACAAAAGAATAATAAGCTTTAACAACAAAATCTCCAGTTAATATTTCAAATATATTACGCTCAGCTTTCAGTGTTTCTAATGAAGAATTTGCACAATCTATAATTTTAATTGCATACAAATCTTGAGATGTTTTCTTTTTACAAAGTAATACACCTCCAAAAGCACCTTATCCTAATGGTTTTATAATATCAAAATCAGCCATCCTTACTGTATTATTATTTTAACTCTCTTTGAAAGTGACAACCTCAGTATCAGAATTATATCCTTTTTCTTTAAATATTTCTTTCTATATATTCATATCAACATCATCATCTTCAATTACTTCAGTTTTTAAGATCTACTTAGAATTAAAATCATCTTCATCTTCTTCTTCTTCTTCATTTTATTTCTCCATTTTAAATTTACTCAATTTTTAAATCTAATTTTATCTACTTGGAACATCTGGAGTTAGGCGTACAGATTTATCTTTCTCACCAAAAAGATTTCTTATTGCTTTCCCTTTTGTTTGAAGAGAATTTTACTTCATCAAAGGATTTTGATTTAACTAATTTGAAAATTTTGAATGTATGAAAGAGATAGAATTAGCCTTATTTAAAAAATTCTTTTTTATTGAATCAATTTAAGATTCTGTTTCTTTATTTTGTATTTATTGAATCTTTTTTAAATGTTCGATTCTATTTTTTAATGAATTTTAAGCATCAATAATTATTTATTTACTCTACTAATGAGTTATATTTAACAAAGCCATTGATAATTCTGATACTAATAACATATTAGCTAAAATGAATAAAATAAATAAGATACATTTTAATTCTTCATTTTCGGGTTAATTGAAAATCTTTTCTGCATGTTGATATATGGATGATAAAGCCTAATTTATCGATCCTAATTCTTCTTCTTTAACATCATCTTATTTGAGTAACTTTTTAGTTTAATTTTTCAATTCTTTCATTCTGAAATTTAATAAAAAAATTACAATTTCATGCCTTATTTAACTTAAATATCATGCTTGACTTGATAGGCTTTTTCCGAAATTGAAGCAAGTATCAAATTTTCTTGAACTAATAATTTTTTAATGTTTGCCTTTTCTAAACAACCTTAACTATGTTATTACATTGTATTCATATTAATTTCTTAGTCACAAATTCTACAAACTGAAAGATTGTCTTTTAAGATTTAATCTTTCCTCTTTTATAAATGTCTATATAAGAAACATATAATTTACTAGATTTGTTTATTCATGAAAAGTTAAAAGACCTTTAGATGTGAATAATTCATATCCATCAATAATTTATTTAAGACAATTACACATTAATGGATTAAAGATTCTAATTATCTATTTTTAATAATAAGAACTATTCTTACTTAACGCTCATATTCCATTGCTTTTATGGTTGTTACAATCTAAGTTTGGATTAAGATTGATTTAAAATAGGTATGGAGGAATACTGTTAAACCATTTCTTGTATATGATGTTCTAAACTTTCACAATCTTGTTTTTCTAGATTAGATTCAATCTGATTCAATTTTGACACCATATCATTTAAATATATGAGCAATCTGGATGTTGCTGAGGACTTATTTCTAAATTTGCAATAATTACTTTACTAAATGAAATGCTGGTTGTCTTTAAATTCTATTGTAATTAGTAAAGCAAGTGTCTCTTCTGAAGGAAATCTAAAGGAGAATCATCTACTATAATTTTCTTGTAAAGCAATTCTACTTAATCATGAAAATCATATTAAGACTTTCTTCGTATTTTATTTTGTTTCATTATTAATAATTATTGTATTAATTTACATCATTTATTTATAGAGACTAATTATAAATTCTCTCATAAAGAACTCATCTTAATAATAAATTTTATTAACATTATGATAATATCTGGACCTAGTTAATTGTACTAATCCATCAAATTATTGGGTTCTGGTTCCTTTGGATCTGTTTATTTAGTCAAGGAACTTAATACAAAATAAGAATACGCATGTAAAATTGTAAATATTGTACTCTCTATTTCTCAGATATCTAAACTGCATATATCAAAATACGATGCCCTTTAATTGATATAAAATGAAATTAGAATTCATGCTTCTTGCAATCATCAAAACATAGTGAAACTTTATTCCTATTGGGAAGATTGTACAAACATTTATATTCTTCTTGAATATTGCAGTAAAGGACATCTAGTTGATCCCAAAACTCCCTTCAATGATGATGATGTCTTTCAAGTATTTCATTAAATACTTAGTGGAGTTAATTATTTGCATCAAAATAACATTATTCATCGAGATTTGAAAGTAACTTTATCATCCTAGTCAAGTTTGAAAATATTCTAATACATGAAGATGGTACATTAAAATTGTGTGATTTTGGTTGGGCAATCAAAGTTGAATAACTACCAGTTCCTAATGTTATGTGCGGAACAACTGATTACATGCCGCCAGAAGTTGTATCGAAATCCCCACTTGATTTTAAATTAGATACTTGGTCGTTAGGAGTTCTTTTATATGTATTAAATTATTANTGGATTAAAGATTCTAATTATCTATTTTTAATAATAAGAACTATTCTTACTTAACGCTCATATTCCATTGCTTTTATGGTTGTTACAATCTAAGTTTGGATTAAGATTGATTTAAAATAGGTATGGAGGAATACTGTTAAACCATTTCTTGTATATGATGTTCTAAACTTTCACAATCTTGTTTTTCTAGATTAGATTCAATCTGATTCAATTTTGACACCATATCATTTAAATATATGAGCAATCTGGATGTTGCTGAGGACTTATTTCTAAATTTGCAATAATTACTTTACTAAATGAAATGCTGGTTGTCTTTAAATTCTATTGTAATTAGTAAAGCAAGTGTCTCTTCTGAAGGAAATCTAAAGGAGAATCATCTACTATAATTTTCTTGTAAAGCAATTCTACTTAATCATGAAAATCATATTAAGACTTTCTTCGTATTTTATTTTGTTTCATTATTAATAATTATTGTATTAATTTACATCATTTATTTATAGAGACTAATTATAAATTCTCTCATAAAGAACTCATCTTAATAATAAATTTTATTAACATTATGATAATATCTGGACCTAGTTAATTGTACTAATCCATCAAATTATTGGGTTCTGGTTCCTTTGGATCTGTTTATTTAGTCAAGGAACTTAATACAAAATAAGAATACGCATGTAAAATTGTAAATATTGTACTCTCTATTTCTCAGATATCTAAACTGCATATATCAAAATACGATGCCCTTTAATTGATATAAAATGAAATTAGAATTCATGCTTCTTGCAATCATCAAAACATAGTGAAACTTTATTCCTATTGGGAAGATTGTACAAACATTTATATTCTTCTTGAATATTGCAGTAAAGGACATCTAGTTGATCCCAAAACTCCCTTCAATGATGATGATGTCTTTCAAGTATTTCATTAAATACTTAGTGGAGTTAATTATTTGCATCAAAATAACATTATTCATCGAGATTTGAAAGTAACTTTATCATCCTAGTCAAGTTTGAAAATATTCTAATACATGAAGATGGTACATTAAAATTGTGTGATTTTGGTTGGGCAATCAAAGTTGAATAACTACCAGTTCCTAATGTTATGTGCGGAACAACTGATTACATGCCGCCAGAAGTTGTATCGAAATCCCCACTTGATTTTAAATTAGATACTTGGTCGTTAGGAGTTCTTTTATATGTATTAAATTATTATATCAAGGTATTATTGTATGGTTAATTCCCTTTCTTAGGTAATAATCAAGAACAATTGATAAGAAACATTTTATTTGAATAATTGATAATCCCAAATAGAAATGATACAAATGAAGATCTCATTAATTTAATTTAAGCCTTATTAATTAAAAATTCATAATTTAGACCAAGTATTGAATAAATCTATTTGTGTAAATGGATGAAATTTAACATGAAATTACACAATATTTTTAATCATTATGAAAATGAATAACTTAAGTTGAGAGTTAAATAAAAAAATATTACTTTAAAAGTAGTTCATAATACTCAATAGTAATGTTCATTTTTATAATTAGTTACACACCAAATAAAAAGATGGTATGTTCTCATTATATAGAATCTAAAAATGATTTAGACCACAATCCAACTTAATTTGGAAAAACTCATAATAGTTGTAGGACAATCAAATCCATATAAACTAATCCTTCTCCATTAATTAATTAGTAAATCGATAAATTTTTTAATTTTTTAGAAAACTAAAAAAAATTCTGAACATGTTTCATTTTACTATAGCAATATATTATGTATAAGGTTTCACATATTAAAATTATACTTCTTAATATATATCATTTAACTCTCTTTTAAAATTATTCATCTTCCCAGTCCATTTCATCCCATTTTGGTTGGGTGTCAGTTTTTTTAATTGGAGCTTGTTAAATTGGGAGTTGATTGATCTTATTATTTTATTGTAATAATTGGGCAACTGATTTTAAATTTTCATCATCATTTTATAAATCATACTGTATGTAATATCCAATTAGATGAACAATTCCATTTCCCTTTGCTTCAAGTTTAGTTTTTTATGATTCGGGAGTGATTTTAATTCTAAGAGGCATTTGGGAGATATTCTATGGAGCAATATAATGATACTTGATTCAATGAGGCTATGACTATTCCATTCATAAATACATTAAGTTAGGTTCCTTTAACTAAAACTGCTTATGATAAAACGAATTAATTGTGATCATCTACCTTCTAAATAGTTTAGGTTTCACCTGCAGATAATTATATGCCATAAAACATATTTATTAATAAATATTTTAATACTAAAATATAAAAAATCATTTTGTTAATTATCTACCAATAAGTCATTTTCTAAATTTATTATAGCCACCATTGATATTTTTAAGTTCGAAATCAAGCATAGGATATGGAGCATATTCTTAAATATTTGATTGTAGTTACTTTTTTCGATTGCCATAACAAGTTTCTATTATATTGATTGATTTCTGGCTGCAATTTAATACAGTGCTTTTAGAAGAGTGTTATTTAGTCTCTATTAATTAAATAATATTATTTTTTGGGATAAGTTTAGTAAAGTGAAGTGGAATGTAATTCTTACAATAAGATTTCTGTATGTTTATGTTATTTAGGATTCGGAAAATATTATTAAATTAGTTCTTAAATGGTTATAAAAATTAAATGTTTACGTGTAAATAATATTAATTATGATAGCGAATATGATAACAATATTAGTTTCTTCCCTATCATTAACATTCATAGGTTTATTATACTCAGAAATAGTTACCTATAAATAATAAAAGGATGTTGAAATATTTATTGGTTTCTTGAATAAGTTTATATCATAAAATTATTATAATCATCCTTCGATTTAAAGATAAGTAACTAATTATTTCTAAATAGTTCAATTCACTTCTTGTGTAACCTTATAATGAATATTGCATAAAATCCGATACATACAAATATTATCATCCTGATTCTATAATGAATGATACTTATACATTTAGAGAATCAATGGGTCTTGTAAAGTAGGCACTTCAACAACACTTTTTTGATGTATTGCCTAATGTCACACTTTTCAAAAGGAACAAACGAAGTAAGTGAAATATATTTTTAGTACCTCACTAATATTAACTCCCTTATTAATTAACCCTGCCATATACTTATTATGATTAATTACTCTTTAACTTTAAAGTAGGATAAAGTATATTATTTCGTTATTCAGAATAGGTTCATTGTGTCTTTTCTAAAATTATAATCACTTACCTTAAAGATCCTCTTTATCACACAAAGATCAATTGATGACAAATCAGTTGAACTATTTAAATGATATCAGAAATAAAGGCCTTGATGAGGATTGCATAGTAAGAAAATTCTAATTACTTAGACCAATGCTACCTTTTTGCCTAAAACCTATAGACTATTTGAGGAATCTGAGTGCAAGGAGTTTTTCTCTCATTTGAATTCATTAGAGTATCAAGAGAAGGTGAACAAAGAAGGTCCTTAATTTATAGTGAAGATGGGATTGGAAGTTCATAGAGGAAGAGGCATAACTATGTTATTTCCATAAGAAACTGAAGAGTTGAAAAATAGATTTTAGAATGGTGAAATTTGTGGTCAAATAAAAACATACAAAGTAGCTTAATAATATATTGGAAATCCATTATTATATAAGGGACATAAGATAGAATTTAGAGTATATTGGATTATAGCATCAACAAATCCATTAATTGCTTATGCTTATGATAAAACACTTATTCGAAGATGTATTCATCCATATGATAAATTCTCAACTCTGAAAGAGGCTCATGTTTGTAATACAGCTATTGTTAAGAAAACTTTGGCAAAAATTTTAAATGAATAATAAGAGATAGATGAAAATGATGATGATGATATTGATGAAGTAAGTAGTTTGGATAATAATACAAATATTGATAGTAAAAATAATAATATTATTGATCCTAAAAATAGGAATAATAATTTAAATTCAGATTAAACTAATGTCTAAGATTTATATATAGATTGGAAACTTGATTATTTATAAGATTTATTGTTGAAGAGTGGTAAAATAAAGAATAAGAAATGGTTAAAATAAGAATTACTTCCTTAGGTTGATAGAATGATTATTCATGCAATAAGAAGTGCTTAGCATACATTTTCAAGAGATAGCAAATTAGGAGAATTCTTCGCTGCTGATTTTCTTCTATCAGATGATCTTTAGCTTTACTTAATGGAAATCAATTTTAATCCATAGACTCTGAAAACTACTGAGGAAAGAGTTATATAACATACAAAAATGGTATAGGATATGGTGGAAATATCTAATGCATATTTAAGAAGTAGATATATAAGATTTCGAAAGATTATTGATAGAGTAATGGATAAATTAAAAAATGGGAAATAAAAATTATAGGAAATTATAAATCCAAAAATTGGTTAGGAGATTCATAAGGCTTATTATAGTAGATTAGAACCTAAGATGAAGATAAGTTAAAAGAATCTTTTTAGATTGATAATGGATGATGGTTTAGTAGGAACATCAAAATATAAAGAACTTTTATAAGAGAAATGTATGAAATGATATTTGATTGGATTGTATTTATATTTTAAATTAGAAGAAGACTTATAGAAAAATAATATTATTAGAGTTTCATAAAAATGTTTTTTTTGTTCTTTTACCGTTGAAATTAAAAAATTAAAAAAATAAACAACAGAATGTTGGTCTAACAACAATAAAGATAGATGACAATGGCACCTATTCCAGGTAATGCAAGAAAGGTTATTGAAAACTTCAGTTATGCATTAACAGATGCAATAGGGAAGGGTTTTAGTTCAATAGTTTATAGAGGTAGAAATGATGAAACAAATGAGATTGTTGCTATAAAAGTGATTGATAAAAAGGGACTTAAAACACCATTACATTATTAACTTTTAAGATCAGAAGTTGAAGCATTATCCTAATTAAACTCAAACAATATTATGAGATTATATAAGGTTTATTACACAGAGAATAATACTTATTTAATAACAGAATATTGTGATTCAGGAGATTTGGGATCTCTTTTGAGTAAATAAGGAATATAAAAGGAAGGATAATTATAAAAACTATTCTTTGGAATAATATAAGGGTATAAATAGATGAAATAAAAGGGTAAAATATAAATTTAGATAATAGGAATTGTACATAGAGATTTAAAACCAGCTAATATATTATTGAAAGGATAAGTTCCTAAAATAGCAGACTTTGGGTTTGCAACAACTCCATAGACAGTATCTACAATGCCAAATGTAAATGTAGGATCACCATTGTATATGAGTCCTTAAGCATTTAAGAATAGATATTCTGAAAAATCTGATATTTGGGCTTTAGGTGTAAGTTTATTTGAATTGTTATTTGGATAAGTTCCTTGGTAAGCAGCAAGTGAAAGAGAATTAGCTTAAAAGATGGCAACAGTTCCTGTGAGTTTTCCAGGATATGTATCTGATGAATGTCGAGATTTTATTTAGAGATGTTTAATAGTGGATGAAAATAGAAGAGCAACAGTTGAAGAATTAGAAAGACATTAATGGTTATAAAAATAAGACTTATAAGTAATTTAAGGAAATGGATTTTCAAGTATGTTTAGAGGAAATCATGGTTGTTCTTAATCTAATTAATTATAATTTCAAAATATTTAAAGTAATGGTTGTTTAAGTACTGCATCTCCTTTAGGGGAAACTTAAAATAAATAATTGATATAAATACAACCAAGAGAAAGCAATTATGGTAAAGAAAATAATACTTCATCTATTTCTAAATAATCTAATACCCCTATTTAATAATAATAATAATAACCTTTAAGGTCAATAAAAAGAGTTTAAGAATCAAGAAAAGAATCATTAATGAATTAATCTATGAATCAAGAATAATATACTAGTAAAAGAGAAGATGAATGGAATGATAATAAGAAAAATGATTATATAATCGTAGCTTAAATGAACTTTTGTAGATATTTATATAGAGTTGCAGCTTTGATTGATAAATATAGATTTGTTGCTACATCTTATTTAAGAGAAAAGCTATTATTTTTGGTTAATAAAAATATCATGATTAAAATGAATAATCTTAAAGAACTCATTGATGGTCATAATACACTTATTTTAGATAAATTCTAATAATATATTTCAAATCCTTAATTTGGTAAATTGAGTGCTGCTATCAATTAATATAATCAAAAATATACCTTATAATTCAATACTGTTTGGTTATCATTATAGAATCCAGAATAAAAATAATTATTAGTTGTAGATAAAAAGTTTGATGCTGTTTTTGATGATAATTTTACTGAATATGAATCTTTCTATATTATACTCAATTCCATTCTTAGAAGTGCAATTAAAGAAATTGAATACTAACTTGAATAGCAGATAACCTTCTAAGATCCACAATAATTATTACCAATTGATATTGAAGGAGGTGTAATATTATTAGATTATTTGATTACTTACTTTTAATTGGCATCCCTCATTTAAGAATGTTTTGAAGATCCGTATGGATTTGCTGTAGATTCTAAAATTGAATAAATTGCTGATGGTAAACCTGTAAGATTGACTTTCGGACATTATTTAGAAATCAGAAATAAGATTAAATAACTTGATATTTGATATATACTTTATATTAACTATTATTTTATACTCTTGTATTTTTTATTTATTTATTTATAGAGATGTAATCCCAAAATAATTAATATCTCTAATTTGTTGGTAAACCACATATTTCTGCTGTCATTGCAGGTGGAAGAAGAAGAGTGAATTATACATTCGAAGACAAAAGTGAACTTGTTGAGGAATATGATATCAATAATCATGAATTAATTTGTAAATTTTGAATATTAAGAATAAATCAGCTAGAAAATGGAAAAGGTTATCCAATATTAAAGAATCATAATGGATTTATGAAGTTGGAGAAGCTCCAATTGATCAATAAAGCGAATTGAAATTGTCCAATACTAATGTAAGTATTTCAAATGATAACAAAGCCTATTTTTGTTAGAAAAGACACTCCACAACATTTCTAATATAGAGTTCGTAATCTAACATATCCAGAAGATGTTTATTAAGTAGAGATTGATGAAAAATCTCAAGAAATTGTTATAAGAACAACAAATAAAAAATATTATAAAAGATTTGCTATTCCTGATATTAGGAGAGCTAATCTTAAACTTGAATAAGGAAAGGCTACTCATGTTTACAAAAACAATACTCTCATTGTGTCTGTATAATTATAAATTTTACTATTAGTATCCTAAACCAGATCAAATACTTGAGAGAGAATATTAAATTAGATAAGAATTTGATAAATTAAACAAGAAAAAACCAAAAGAAGGGGATTTAGAGTGTGTATAACAATGATATATATATATTTAATTATTTTAAAATACATTTTCTGCTAATATTTGATCATTATTATTTATTAAATAATAAATTAAAAAGCTCGTTTATATCTAATTTTTTATGTTTGTTTTACTGCAATATTTCATCTGATGAATTAAAATTTATAAAATTTACTGAATTTTTAAGATCCTCAAGTGTTTATAAGTTACACTATTCATATGACTCAGACTACTTCTCCAACTAGATTGGAATTTCAATAGTTGGACCAAATTGAATTTCTTCATCTATTCTGTTACAACATAATCTCCATCTTGTTATATATTATTCTTCTTTAATGAAAGGTATTTCGAATGAAATTTATTAAATATCTTCTGCACCAGCCTACAAGGGTTTAACATAAGATTTGATATCTTGAAACTCTTTAGGTGAAATGCATTTAAAATAAGTTTAATTAGGCCAATCTATTCTGCCATCATTTTTTAATTTAAAGGAAAAAATTTTAATTTATCCATGTTCGTCTTTTGTTTAACAATTAAATTAAAAAATCATTTAGTAACTATATTTACGTTGATGATAATCTAAAAATTATTCTAATGTTTTGATTTTAAGATTTTATTTTATATCCTCGAATCTACTTTACAATTTATTCTTTATAAGCTTATCAATTAGATTGATATCATCTTATTATACTTAAACAACTTATTTTCCACTGCAAAGGTTACAACTTTATTTATTGCAACAAGGAATTGCCTTATTTTTTGATGAAATAAATGTATCATAATATTAGTAAGACATGATTATAATATATTTTTATTATTTTTAATATGAATACAACATCTCAATTTTTTCATATTCATCTTCATTCTTATCTTTCATAATCATCTTCGACTTTCTTATTTTTCATACGATAAACAACATATGCCACTCCTCCTAATAATGCTATACCACCTACAACGATCAAAATAATCCACCATAATTTAGAACTAATATAAATTTTACATTTTACCTCTCTGAAGGTTCTTCAGGATCTGGACCAGGAGGATCAGGACCAGGGGGATCTGGATCTCCAGTTATTTTCAATTCAAACGTTACTTCAGACTTACTGAAATCATTTCTAATCTCAATTTTAACTTTCTCTGATTTTAATAGAGAATCTGCTGCTTAAATGAAAGTTAATTCTGGTTCTTCCCTTATTACATATTATTCTGTTTTACTATTTGGAGAACTACCATACAACTTATCATTTCTAAAGAATAATGCAAAATCTAAAGGGTTCAATGTTGAAGCATCATATATAAAACTTGAACTTCCTAATGCAGTTGTTGGTTTAGTTTATTCTGATCTTTAATAAACTGCAATTAAAAACTTATCTTCGTTTTAATAAGGAATTGCTACATAATTCTTAGAAACTGCTACATTTCTTACATTATTCCAATTACCATAACGATTTAATAAGAATTAAGTCTCTAAACCTTTGTAAGTCAAATGACTTTATCCTTCTTTAACAGCCAATTATATTTTCAATCCATAATGAACAACATTGCTTGTTTAAATGAAAACATTCATTGTATTAGCATCAAATGGGTTTAATTCTTTTACTAACAAATATTAAGTAGAGTTCAAAGCGTATTATTTTATTTTTTATAATTCTGAAGATAAATTAATATATTCTAAATCAAATGTGGTTAAATTTGAATTTTTAAAGTAAAAATCTAAAAAGAAAATACCTTCTCCACTAGTAATAAGTACTTTATAGTATTGAATACCATCAACTTGATTGACTGGAGTAATAAGGAAATCATTAGGTTTAAATGTTAAGATGTCTTCATAGTAAATTTAAATTTAATTTAAGTTAATAACATATTCTTCTTCTAAAGCCCAATCTTTTTCAAAATCCATGTTAATTTTGGAAATAGAAAATGTTTAATCATCCAAGACAGCAAGATAATCATTTGAAAGTAGTTCAATTTTTTTAGTTTATGAATTTAATGTTAAGACTTATCCAACAGGGAACCAGCCTGTGAGACTAATTCCACTTGAGGCATAGACTGTATATACCTATCCATCGTGACATAAACTCAAAATATAATTATCAGAGGAAGTGGATTAGAAACAGGAATAAGGTTCAGTAGGAAATTCAAATGAAATAGTCTCTTTTAGAGTATCGTCATCATTTAAGAAGATTAAAGCATCAGTAGCTTATACAAGATTCTTATTGACGGATCTTATATGAAAATTACCCAAAAACTAAACATTTGCAATTTCTACTGTTTATGAAATATAAATTCCAGTTTTATTTTTGACTTTTGTACATTATTCACAAATAACTTAGAATTCTGAGATTTAACCACTATACCAATCATTTTTTAATTTTTTTTATTTAGGAGTGTAATCTTTATGATCAATTTCAATAGAGCTTTCTTTAAATTTGCTTTAATCAGCATAAATTTTGGTTTAAGTATTGATGACAGTGATTGATTATTTAAGAGGGATTTTAGGTACTCCTTCAAAATTGGAAATAAGTAGAGAAATTTAAACTGAGGCAGCAAATTAAGGATCATCAATAGAGGGTTCAATGATTAAGACAGGATTAGTTAACATAGAATAGATATCAGCATTAGTTTTAGTTTAGATATAAACATACATTTGAGATAAAGTTCCTTGAGTTGATATTAATTGTGGATCTTGTACAGGTAATACTTTAAAGAGTGCTTCATGTTAAAGTGTATTAGGTTGAATAACTAAAAGGAAATTGTTATTTGTATCATCATTTATTTCTTAAGGTTTGGTTTTAGCAATTACAAAGAGATAACCAGTATCTGAACAGAAATCACCTAAAAGTGGTTCGGTTAATTCGAAATCATATAATTAGACTACTTTTGTTTAGAAAATGTTATTCAATCTATCAAAGTCATATTCAACAATTTGTTTTGTAATAATGAAGAATGTCTCAGCTCCAATAGCAATTTCAATGTTATCTGAATCATCTATAGGAATTGATTTTATAAAGGTATATGATGTATGAAAATCTAAAAGAGTGACATGATTTTGATGGACAACAAAAAGAAGATTTTCTCTTATTTTTCTATTACCAAAGATTTTTTTAGGTGCCCATGTATCTTTGTAACCTTGTGATTACAATAATTATAAATCAACAGATTTAACAAATTCTCCATGTGTATCATAAGCATTAACGGTACCATTTTATAAAAGATAGAGATAATTTTTTAAGAAGAGAATACTGACTCCATTTTAAAATGGTATGGTTTTGATATCTTTAACTTAATCATCAGAATAAACTTTAAGATAGACATTGTTATTATCTACATAAGCAAAATGGAATTTAGGATATCCACATTCCCACATTTGGAATGTTGATTTAGTTAATTTAGTACCAACACTCACATTATCAAAAACTTTTTGTTAAGTAGCATGATCATTGAAGATAGAATCATGAGTAGCTTTGAGAATGGTTAATTTTCCATCTTTATTTTATTAAGCTAAGAAGAAATATGATGATTGTGTTCCAACTAAAACATCATGGAATTATAAATCATTAGATAATGGTTAAGGGAAATTTAATTTCCAATAAGTTCTTAAATTAACATTAACAGCGGTTCCATCTGCTTGTAATTCAACAATTTATTCATATTATTCATTAGGACCACTTGTTAAAACATTTAATTAAAATGGTTCAGTATCTTCAGTAATTTGATTAGGGAATGGATTAAGAGTATCTTTGTATTAATACAATTATTTATCATCACTTTCAATGATTTGATAAGTAAGTTAAACTTTACAAATTTGATCAGCACTTTCTGCTATAACTTCAATCATCATCTTTTCTTAAACTTGATTAGAACCATTATATTAAAGATATCCTTAAGATAGAGTATATCTTTAAGCTTAAGTTAAAGTTAATACAATCATATCTGGTAAGAATGGATTAATCATAACATAACTATCTTTAGGAATCTATTGCATTTGTAAAAGATCTTTAGATTTAGCATCAATATCAAAAAGATATGTTGCATTATCTTATCTAACAATAATGAACTCTTATGATAAATCAACATTAGCTGGGAATGTATAATGAATACCACCAGGTAAATTATATTCACCTATTAATTGTTCTTCTACAATTAATTCTACAAATCCATATCCTAATACTACTATATTTTCAGAATATGTTCCATCTCTTCTCAAAAATATATTTCTATCAAATGCATAAGCAAAACCCATTCCTGTATCAATAGATTTCTTCAATTTAAATTAACCATTTGGAATGAAATTCACAACAAATATACCATATTAAGCATCTAATAAATATATATCTCCATTCTCAATTACCTTCATATCCACTATATTAAATTCAAAATCATGTTATTTATCTAATAACCAAGACATTGTTAATCCATCTAATACATATCCTGTATTTGAAGGTTAACCTTTCTCATTTAAAAAGAACACTTCCAACAAAGAATCTCCACCTAATGATCCATCTTTTGTTAATGAATATGATGGAGTTACTCTAATCAAATATCCATATTCCTTTCCTCCTTATCCTTTCACTTTATATGATCCTAATAAATGATGATTTCCTATTATCCAAGGATCTTCTACTAAATATTCAAATGAATCTCCACCATTTACATAATATAATACATTTTTCACTTTTCCTTCTACCATTTTTGAACAACCAACTATAAATGTATCATCAGCTATATATTCCAAATCATAACAATCTAATTCCTCTTTTATATTATTCAAGCTTATGACTTCATCAAATTTTGGACTTTTCATATTCTCACCAGCCTCACTATTTTTATTATTATTTCAAATACCCTTTTGCTATTCCTAAACTTATCTTTGTTGGTCCCTTGTTTAAAAATACAAATTTATTCACCCAATATTTATTCGATTTCAATGCTCTTGATGATATAATCTTTTAGGCAACTAATCTTTATTTTATTCTATATACCTTCACTATATGGTTCAGAACCACCTGTATTCTCTACTGGAGCTATTATATTAAATTCCTTCTATGTAGTATCACTTAGGGAGAATTTCAATCCTGCACCCTTAAAGAACTCATCCATTAAATTCCATTATAACTTCTCATCTTATGTAGCATAAACTGTCAATGAATCCATCCTTTAGCTGCATTTCTAAAAACTAGGAATCACCTGTATTGCAACAAAAATCAATGATGAAATCAAAATCATAAATTAAAATATCTACATTGACTCAAATCCTAATTACTTAATTACTAAACAATTTTATTAATGTATAATATATACTATTCAATACAGACTTTATTAAATTATATATATTTTCAATATTTTATTAACATAATATACTTTCCAATTACTTTTTTTTTTTATTTATTTCCTACTCCTTTTCTTATCAAAATTTAAGTATTTCTTTCATATTTATTTTACTAATCTAAGATGAAAAATATATATATATATTATTCACTTTAAAAAAATAAATTATTTGCATTATCAATCATCATGTATCTCATCCAATTAAAATTAATTTATTTGATAAAATTCTTCTTCTTACTTTAATAATTATTATTGTTTTTTATTTTCTCGACATATTTTTCTTATAAACCCCATTTTTTCATTTTTTTTATCTTCCAAATTAACTAAAAATGATTGAATTCAAATTACCTAAATTTTAAGCCTTTCTCAATAAATAATAATAATCCTCTAAAGTCTTTCTTGGGCATCCAACTAATTCAGCTGCTTGATCCAATGTAATTCTTACTTTTCTCCCATCAACTACTCTAATCTCAGTTTAATAAACTTATCTAATAAAAACTCTATAAAATTTGAAACCTCCACAATTTAACTAAATTCATAGCTTCACACACATATCTTTCCTTTGTTCTGGCTCTAGGTTATTATTGCTATTATTATTATTATTACATTAATTTTTATATTTATACAATTTAATATATAACTAATATTGTAATTCATTAAATTCCTACTTAATTTTTAGGACTTTTTAGTAATAATTATTTTTTCTATTGTTCAATATCTTTTGCTAACTTTTATTATTATTAAAATAACTTTTCTTTATCATCTTTAAATTATTGTGCTTTTTCTAATTTATCTTATAATTTTTTATTTTTTGTTTCGACAATTTCCTTAAGCATTTCTGCAGCCTTCTTTTTATGTTCCTTTATTTATTCTTCCTTTCTTAATCTTTCTTATTCTTATTTTAATTTTGATAATGATTAAGTTTCAGTTATAGATTTAATATGCTCTTCATTTTTTAACTTTAATTTCTCCTAAAATGTTTCATTCTTATTATTCAAAATATTACCATTCCTTGATTTAATCTATTTATTAAATAATTAATACATTTCTTCTATGATTATTTTTTTCTTTTTCAAATAACTCTATCTTATCTTCAGCCTATTTCATTCTTTCCTAAATCTAATTTATTTTTTCTTCTACTTATTATACTTTTAATTGTGCTTTTTCACTTTTCTCAGACATAATTTTTTTATAATTTTACTAATTGAATATATTGAAATATCTATACCATAACTTTTTTTAACTTTTCTAATTTTTCCTTCTTCTTCAATTCCAACATTTCCTATTTAACTTATTAATTAATTTCAATTTCATCTAATTTCTTTTAATATTAATCTATTTTCTATAATTTCTCTTGATAATATGCATTTTTTTCTTCCTCATTTCTCTATTTAATTTTTTTAATTTATTTTTTTTTTGCAAGTTTCAATTCATTTAATAGTTATTCTTTTTTATCATTTAATTCTTTCAAAATTTCCTCTTATTCTTTCTAATTTTTGTCTAATTATATTTTTTTAATTAGAATTTCTTCTTATTATGTTTTAACAATTCCCTCTGCTATCCTAATATTTATTTCTTCTATTACTTTTTAACAGTTGATTTCTTATTATTTCTATCAGTTAAGATTGCTTCTTAATTATTTTTATTAACATTAAGTTACTCCATGACTTTATCTTTTAATAAATCATTCTATTCTAATTCTTTTAAACGTCCTTATTCAATCTTTTATATTTAAATCAATTTCTCTTTTTCCTTCTCCTTTTTTTTCATTTCTATCTAAGATTTATATTAATTCTTTTTTTACCAATAATTTCTTCTCTTTCAAAGCTTATTCTACTTACTATTATTTAGATTTAGTTTGTTCTAATAGAGAGAATTTACGTTTTTCTTATTCTGCTTTTTATTGTTCATACAATTTTAATTATTCTAATTCTCGTTCCTTGATTATAATTAGAAGTATACTTATTTTTTCTTCATTTTATTTAATAACTTATCTTCCTAGATTGCAATATATTCATTTTCATCTATTAATAGAGATTGAATTTATACATTAAGCACCATCAGTTGCTTTTTTTAATTTCATCTATAAAATAATTTTATATTAATGTAAGAAATATATAAAAATAATAGTTAAGTTAAAATTGAATTGATTTTAGTAAGAAGTGCTTGTGTTTTACTTTGGAAAAATTGAATAATATAAAATTGAATAAAATAAATGATGGATAATAGTTATGACTATTGGTTTTCAAAATATGATTCAGAATCCTTTGAAAAAGATTTCGTAAAAGTTCCATACAATGAATTCCTAAATCAATTGGTATATTAATGAATCATCTTTGTTTAGATTGTTAATCCAGATTTCAATCTTTTACCAAATGAACCTAAATTGTCATTGGATAATGGTCATAAAGCATTGTAGTAAACTTTGTAAACAAATCATTAAATAATTTCAACATTCTTTTTACCTATGTTAGATAACTCAAGAGAGAACTTTCTAAGATGGGTGAAAAGTGTGATTGCATTTATTGATTGTGAAAAGATGTATTCAATCATGTTTTGGAATTTGAGTAACATACCTAACTTCCTTGAATATCGATTATATGCAAGCTTTATTAGACTCTACAAATTTTTAATTAGTTTGAACTAAAATGTGATCCAGACCAAATCTCTTACAACTGAATAGATTAGATTATCAAATAATGTCACTATCAAAACTCTGGCAGAAAGATATAAAGATGCCTTATATGTAAGTTTGGATGAATTGATTAAATTGTAAAGATAAATGCTTAAAGTCTTAAAACCACTTGTAAGTTAAAAACCTACACTATTAGGTAAAATTTACTATTTCATCTATCATATGTATGATAAACCTATTATATAATTACGAAAAGACCTTGATTTACAATTTGGTTAATTAGAATATTAATGGGTTAAGAAAATACTTGCAGAAAATTAATTAGCCATCAAATACATTGATGCTTATTTAAATGATGATAAATAAACATATTCCAATAAAGATTAATTTTTATTTGAAGATTCTCAAATCATTAAATAACTATTAACATCTAATAAATAAGAAAATCTATATAAGGTTGATCCTCAAGATAAAGCTTTATTAGAAAATTCTAAGAAAATTTAATTTCTCAATAATTTAGATAACAAATGCAAAAGAAGAAATCATGATGAAAAACCTTCTGTCTTTGTTTAAAATTATAGTTTTGTTTCTGAATCTATGAAATCTTCAGGAGAAAATAAATCTAAAACTTATGTTAATGATGAAGCACCTAAACAATAAAAATAAAATTCTACTCAATCTACTCTAACAACAGAATAATCTATGTTTGTTCATTATTCAACTAACAATCCAAATCATATGCATAATTCAGTCTTAGGATTTTTAGCAAATGATTTTATTCATATAGAAAAATAACATCAATAAGAATTAAAAACCAATTCATTACCCAAAAGAATTTAACATGATGATTCTATTAAATTAAATGATGATTTAGTTGAATTTATATCTAAAGCTGATTCTTAAATTGTTGCAATAAAAGATGAAGATATTACACTTGAAGATAATTATAGAAGAAAAAGATATAGAATTAAAATCAATAAAAAAATGGAAGAAAATGAATCACCTGATATTTATAGAAAATAAACAATGAATAGTCTCAATTAATAAGAAAATAATGAAGAAGAATTAAGAAAAGTTAGAGCCAGAAGACTTTTAGAAGAATAAAATTAATTTTTTTATGAAAAACTTAGATATGCTGGAAATTAAGATAATGAATTACCTACTGTTAAAGATAAAGATCTATTTAGTAATTATATCATATTAATTTAATAGGATATTCTTTTGAAGATTCAATGAGTGAAGATTAGGAATCTGATGAAGAAATTAAAAATAAATAAGAATAATTTAAATAGAATAAAGTAATTGTACCTAAAAATTATTCATAAAATACTTAAGGAATAATATTTGAAAAATTTAGACAATATTCTGGAGACTCCATAAAAGTAGGAAACAATAAAAAAAAATATTTTTTGAATCGATTATTTCATATGGATGAAAATTCACTCAGAATATCAGGAAAATCTTTAGCTTTAGATTTTGAAGAAAGAAAATGGTAAATATGTATCATTAAAAATTAAGGGAATTATTAAAATAAGCTGTATTATCAAAAATGTTTATGAAAGAAGAAAACTATGCTTTAGATTTTGATGAACCTACAACCTTAGTCATTAATAGAGAATATAATTATAAATAGAAATTAAAAAACAATTATGATAAATACTAAAACTTTTGAATGCATCAATTATATTAAATATAAATATAATTATTATCCTCTGTAATTATAAATAATGAGTTTTAGTCTTTTTTAATTCAATTATTGTTATTTTTAAACAAAAATATTTATGATAATAGTTTTATAAATAATCCTTTTTCCTTAATTGAAGCAAAACTACTCCATTTTTGTTTTTATACTATTCATTTGTATTTTATCTTATACTTTATTTTTTTTATCTTTGATAGAATCATCTAAAACAAACCTTTGCAATTAATCAATATCTATAGATTTTTGTTTCTCTATCTAATTTTCAAAAGATTGTTTGTACAAAATAATAAAATTCACAATTATTCTTCCTATATTTATATGTATNATTTTATTCATATAGAAAAATAACATCAATAAGAATTAAAAACCAATTCATTACCCAAAAGAATTTAACATGATGATTCTATTAAATTAAATGATGATTTAGTTGAATTTATATCTAAAGCTGATTCTTAAATTGTTGCAATAAAAGATGAAGATATTACACTTGAAGATAATTATAGAAGAAAAAGATATAGAATTAAAATCAATAAAAAAATGGAAGAAAATGAATCACCTGATATTTATAGAAAATAAACAATGAATAGTCTCAATTAATAAGAAAATAATGAAGAAGAATTAAGAAAAGTTAGAGCCAGAAGACTTTTAGAAGAATAAAATTAATTTTTTTATGAAAAACTTAGATATGCTGGAAATTAAGATAATGAATTACCTACTGTTAAAGATAAAGATCTATTTAGTAATTATATCATATTAATTTAATAGGATATTCTTTTGAAGATTCAATGAGTGAAGATTAGGAATCTGATGAAGAAATTAAAAATAAATAAGAATAATTTAAATAGAATAAAGTAATTGTACCTAAAAATTATTCATAAAATACTTAAGGAATAATATTTGAAAAATTTAGACAATATTCTGGAGACTCCATAAAAGTAGGAAACAATAAAAAAAAATATTTTTTGAATCGATTATTTCATATGGATGAAAATTCACTCAGAATATCAGGAAAATCTTTAGCTTTAGATTTTGAAGAAAGAAAATGGTAAATATGTATCATTAAAAATTAAGGGAATTATTAAAATAAGCTGTATTATCAAAAATGTTTATGAAAGAAGAAAACTATGCTTTAGATTTTGATGAACCTACAACCTTAGTCATTAATAGAGAATATAATTATAAATAGAAATTAAAAAACAATTATGATAAATACTAAAACTTTTGAATGCATCAATTATATTAAATATAAATATAATTATTATCCTCTGTAATTATAAATAATGAGTTTTAGTCTTTTTTAATTCAATTATTGTTATTTTTAAACAAAAATATTTATGATAATAGTTTTATAAATAATCCTTTTTCCTTAATTGAAGCAAAACTACTCCATTTTTGTTTTTATACTATTCATTTGTATTTTATCTTATACTTTATTTTTTTTATCTTTGATAGAATCATCTAAAACAAACCTTTGCAATTAATCAATATCTATAGATTTTTGTTTCTCTATCTAATTTTCAAAAGATTGTTTGTACAAAATAATAAAATTCACAATTATTCTTCCTATATTTATATGTATCATCAACTTAAACAAATATATTCTTAATAAAAATCTATTCTAATTTTTTTTTAGGCAATCTCTTAGTTATCAAAGATCTTTAATACAATCTTTACTCATTTTTTGGTTCAGTATGTGCTTTATAACCCCCCTCTTAAATAAAACTGATAACAAAAACTTAAAATTATTGAGGTTAAAATCTTTTCTTATGGAAAAGTGTCATAACCTAAATTTTTTAATTAATAACAAGCATAATACAATCCTGTAATATACTTAGTTTTAATCAATGAATTTATAAACTATGTTAATAAACTCAAAAAATTATTATATTTTAATTTCATTATGATAATAGAACACATAATATCGAAAACACTTTGATATATAAATAACTCATAAAATCCATAATAATAGAGATAGTAATCTTGTCATATTATAATCAAATTTTAAAATCTCTCTGATAATCATCAGAAATTATTTTTAAATTTTCATTAATCATATTTCTTTATAAAGCCTTGACAATTTGCTACTTCTTCCAGTTTAAATTCATAATTTTAATTTGAATTAAATTATGGAATCATGAAAATCAGAGGAACGAATCTTGGGGTTTATAAAAAGGAGAAAGGTAAACTTTTCTATTCTTTTTTTTTTTTATAAAAATCATTTAGTAATTTTTGAATTCATAAACTCTATTTTAATAGTGAAAATAAATAGTTTGGGGTATAAGTCTAATTAGATGATTTTCCATAAATTTTTATTACTTAGGATAATTTATTGAGTATATAGATTGCCCTTAATCTAATAAATAGGAAATGGTAAATTTATTAAATAATTTTTGAAATTAATACTGAAGGTTTTGGAATGATATTTCTTTATTCCTATTCTCTGAAAAAAATTAGAATTTAAGTTTGATACATATAAAATAAATAATCTCAATTAATTTCCTAACTTTTTATCTATTGTAAAAATAGCAAAACATAGAAAATAATAACTTTTTTTATTCGAATGAATTATCGTTAATTTTTAATTTAAAAATTGAGATTGATTTCATTAAAATGAAAATAAATGGTATTTATTCTTTTTATATCAAACCTTTTAAATGGCAATTAAGAAATATTCGTAAATTTATTTTTAGATTATAAGAGTAATTTAGTAAAACATAGATATCAGGTTCACATGATGTTCAAATCAATAAATTTTTTAACAAAACAGTTTTTTTCTTATCAATCTAATTATTTAAGCAGATATTTTATACAAGTTCAAAATAGTTAAGTAAAAAATAAATTTTAACCAGTAATCGTAAATATAATACATTTATAATTTTGAGATATTTTAAAAAGCAAGTGTAATTCAAAAACTATATTAAGACTAATTATTATATTTTTAATAGCCTTAAACAACTTGTTTAAATGATTAAGAGAATTAAAAATTTTTTATTTTTCCAAAGATGATATTGATGCAAAAAAGGATTAATATTTGTTTAGAATATGCTGTAGTTTTCATATCTAATAAATATTGGGAGTGCTAAACAATTTTATTCTGGTTAAACCTTCAGAAAAAAATAAATTATTAAGGTTTTTATTTAAATCAAAGGTATTAAATGAGAAGAATTGATATTAACATATGAGAATTTGATCATATTATTAAACATAAGATTTATTTTTTAGCTTGTACTATAAAAGAATTAACTTGAGCTATTTAGGTGATAACTTACTAGACTTTTTTTTAAATTAATTATTACATTTTTGTTTTTATTTATGTCAGAGCAAGAAAAAATTAACCTTTAATAGGAAGTTTAGAAGAAAATTAGACAAGAAAAGTTTAAAAGAAAAATCAACTTTCTTTAATAAGTACTTTGCAACAATTAAACCATTAAGGCAGCAGCTGAATTAAGTAAAATTAACTTTGCGACAGCAAAAGTAGTTCTCAAAAAATTTCGTAAATTTGGGTTCCTAAAAAATTGTGATAAAGGTAGCGTCTAATTATATAATAAGATCATGAGAAGTAAATTGAGTTTCTTAGATAAATTGCATGTCTTAGATCTGATATCAAATAAAAGAAAATGTAAAAGCGAGATGAGGAATTTAAGAAGCTTTGTGAAAAAATAAAATCGATTCAACCTCAAAACTAAAAAAAAGAATTATAAAGTACTAAAGACATTGGATCTCAAATTAAGAATTTTTAAGAAGAACTTCATTATCAAAAAAAGATATAATATGAATTAGTGACATCAGTTCTTCTGGAATAAATAAAACTAATGAAGTCTTAATAGAGAGTTAATTGATAAAGTGATATTATTTCTTTTAAAAAGAAGCTTTAATTTAAAAAATTTTTTTTGAAGTTTATTTATACAATTATAAAGTTAATTAATATTAGTAAATTATAGAATTAGTTATTCTTTATTTGGTAAAATAGCTTGATTTTCGATTAGCCCCCATTAAATACTTTGTACACGTTATATTACAATTTTAATATAAACTAATTAAAAAATAAATTTAAAGTTGTAAATGTTAAATATGCTTTACCCAAGGTTTGCTAGAATTCAAATAATTTAGAATTGCATGTAATAATTTAATTGAAATATAAAAGACAATAATATAAATTTATATAAACTATTAAATCTACTCCTACTTATTGATAAGATTTCCATAAAGCCATTATTTATTATTTTTTCATCTTCTGATTTATTAAATAATTTTTAAAAGGAATATTCAATTCAAAACTGTTCTCATGACAACGGCATTAATTTAGTGCCTTTAAGTTTTATTTATTAACTTAATGAAAATTTAGTAAGTACNAACAATTTTATTCTGGTTAAACCTTCAGAAAAAAATAAATTATTAAGGTTTTTATTTAAATCAAAGGTATTAAATGAGAAGAATTGATATTAACATATGAGAATTTGATCATATTATTAAACATAAGATTTATTTTTTAGCTTGTACTATAAAAGAATTAACTTGAGCTATTTAGGTGATAACTTACTAGACTTTTTTTTAAATTAATTATTACATTTTTGTTTTTATTTATGTCAGAGCAAGAAAAAATTAACCTTTAATAGGAAGTTTAGAAGAAAATTAGACAAGAAAAGTTTAAAAGAAAAATCAACTTTCTTTAATAAGTACTTTGCAACAATTAAACCATTAAGGCAGCAGCTGAATTAAGTAAAATTAACTTTGCGACAGCAAAAGTAGTTCTCAAAAAATTTCGTAAATTTGGGTTCCTAAAAAATTGTGATAAAGGTAGCGTCTAATTATATAATAAGATCATGAGAAGTAAATTGAGTTTCTTAGATAAATTGCATGTCTTAGATCTGATATCAAATAAAAGAAAATGTAAAAGCGAGATGAGGAATTTAAGAAGCTTTGTGAAAAAATAAAATCGATTCAACCTCAAAACTAAAAAAAAGAATTATAAAGTACTAAAGACATTGGATCTCAAATTAAGAATTTTTAAGAAGAACTTCATTATCAAAAAAAGATATAATATGAATTAGTGACATCAGTTCTTCTGGAATAAATAAAACTAATGAAGTCTTAATAGAGAGTTAATTGATAAAGTGATATTATTTCTTTTAAAAAGAAGCTTTAATTTAAAAAATTTTTTTTGAAGTTTATTTATACAATTATAAAGTTAATTAATATTAGTAAATTATAGAATTAGTTATTCTTTATTTGGTAAAATAGCTTGATTTTCGATTAGCCCCCATTAAATACTTTGTACACGTTATATTACAATTTTAATATAAACTAATTAAAAAATAAATTTAAAGTTGTAAATGTTAAATATGCTTTACCCAAGGTTTGCTAGAATTCAAATAATTTAGAATTGCATGTAATAATTTAATTGAAATATAAAAGACAATAATATAAATTTATATAAACTATTAAATCTACTCCTACTTATTGATAAGATTTCCATAAAGCCATTATTTATTATTTTTTCATCTTCTGATTTATTAAATAATTTTTAAAAGGAATATTCAATTCAAAACTGTTCTCATGACAACGGCATTAATTTAGTGCCTTTAAGTTTTATTTATTAACTTAATGAAAATTTAGTAAGTACTTTTTGAAAGAATAAATCCTTTCTAAAAGGTAAATTAACAAATAAATAAAATATTTATGTCCATGAACTAGAGTTTTGTAGTTATAAGATTAATTGAAAATAGATATATTAATACAATAACAATGATATTAATAATAATAGATTTATCATTCATTTCTTCCTAAGTATAATTCGAAATCTCTTTATTTTTGATTTGATTGGGATATTAAATTGTTATTAAATTTAACAAGAGTACGTTTAATTTATAATTCAAGTCCTGATAATTAAGGAGTAAGGGTGATATTTTTTTATAGAAGAACTAAGGTTCCAAATTTAGATCTTTTGTCTGATAAAATAATTTTATTATCAACTAATTTAATATGAGCATGTTCTCTACTTACACTTATATCAGCAATACTTATTTCAACTTCATGATTCCTACCAATTTTAAGTTCTTTTTTGATTCCAAAATTGACAATATATAATCCATTGCTATCATTTGATTAAGGATTATCATGTTATCTTTTTTAATGAAATTCCATTAATATATAAGGTTTATCTTTAGGTTTACTTAATTCAATAAGATTGAATTTTTTTCCATTCCTATCGAAAATTGGAGGATAGACAGATTTACAGATTTCACATTCTAAAGATTTCCATATAAATCTAGTACAATATGCATTACTATTAAAATGTGAACTTTATTAAATCCTAAATAGAAATAAGAATGGATACCATCTAAGTAAACAATTAATATGAACGTATTTAGTACTACCAATACATTTGCATGGATCAATTAATGGATTTGAAGGTGATTCTCCAGTAGATAGACAAATTCGACATTATTTAGAAAATTCATTTTTATCTTCAACTGAACATATTGATGCTTCATCCAATAAATCTTATTAAGGATCACATTATAATTGAATTTCTTTAATAGTTAATTTAACTCTTCCTAATTTAATCTCATCTCCCACTTTCAATACTAAACCCTCATTTATACTGTTGATTTATATAGATCTAGTAACTAACCAAATCTTGGGGCCCTTTTCAACACAAACTAATTATCTATTAGTAGTAGTTCGTAATTTCTAAATATTGAAACTCATTTGGAAATCAGCATTAATTGTTTGGTTTTCAGATAATAGTTTATCACCATCCTATATAATTATTAATTAAGAATTTTTTACTTCTTTTTAATAATCCTCAACTAGTTCTTAAGTTTAGAGTCTTCTATTGTAACGTAAATTTTATAATTAGAATGTATCGTTTTCATACTCAAGTGATAGTAATAATGTTTCATCATTAATATCACTAAATATAAGAACAATACTTACTTGTTTCTGGAATAACTACCTTCATAAGATAAAACTTTATTAGCTTTGCAAGTAAGATAGCTAGTGCCATTTATAGGTATTTGCTGAGAATGAATAAAGTTACTATTTTCATAATCATAAAGACTATAAGAATCTTTCTACCATGTTTTTACATCTAAATTCAATAACGGAGGTTATTCTTAGGATTATTATACTTCCACTTCAGTATGATTATTAATTTAGATTTCTACTTGCTCTTGTTATTATTATAAACAGTTATGACAATTCCCCATATTTTATATATATTATATATATATTTCTTTATGTTAAATTAAGATGGATATTTGAACATTTAATCATTTCAGAATCAAATTCCTTAACCAATTAATCTAACTGATGAAAGTATAACTCTAGAGAATGATATGTTATTTGGTTGGGCACCAAAGTTTGATTATTCTAAATTGCTTACACTTAATTTTAACATTAACTTGAATGATCAAATTATTTCAGATGCTTTATAAAACAATACACTTATTTATGTTGGATTTAGACCATAAAATAATGTTTAAATGCATAAATAATATTCCAATATCTCATCTTATCCATTTAAACGAATTAATAATAATATCTAAATCAAACCTTAATTTCCATTTCTTGGAATGAATCCTAATCGTATAAGTAGAATTTAATTCAATTCCATTTTTGAGAGTGGCAATTTAGATTTAGTTACTTAGGTCTCAGAATTTGAATATGATTTATATATGAGAGTTGATTCTAATACTTAAGGACATACATCTTGGTATTATTTTGAATTAAATGGAATGAAATTAGGAGAAAAAATATAATTAAATATTTGTAACTTTAGAAAATCTCATAGTCTTTATGAAAGAGGAATGAGACCTTACATATGGCGATCAAATAATGAACAATGGTTACAAGGAGGAGATGATGTTAAATATAAAACATCAAAAAATAATAATAATAATTGTTTAAGTTTTAGTATTTATTGCAATAAAGATAATGAACTCATAAAGATTGCCTATTGTGTTCCATATACATATTCTTAATTATTAGAGTATTGCAATGATCTACAGAAAAAATGTAATCATGTAAAACGTTAATTATTTTGTGAATCTATAGGCGGGGTTTCATTGCCTATATTAACTTTTCAAAAAGGAAAGAGTACATATAAAAAATGCTTAATTATTTAAGCACGTATTCATCCTGGTGAATCAAATGGTTCATGGGTTATGCAAGGTTTAATGGATTATTTATCAAGTTAATCAGCACTCTAACTTTTTGAGAAGTATAAAAAAATAATAAAAACTAGATGTGTTATTAAAATTATACCTATGATGAATCCTGATGGAGTTATTCTAGGCAATTATAGAACTTGTCTATCAGGAAAAGATTTAAATAGAAAATTTTAATAGAATGATACAATTCTATTCCCTTCTGTTTAAGCCATGAAAATATTAGTTAAGGAATAATATAAAAAGTTTAAAAATAATTTAATTGCCTTTATAGATTTACATGGACATTCTAGTATGAATAACATATAAAACTAGTCAAAAAGAATGTGTTTTTGTATGGTCCAGAATACACTCTCTGGAATTATAATTATTATAAATGTCGAATTCTACCAAAATTACTTAGCTAAAAAACTGATATGTTTAGATTTTATTCATCAATATTCAGAATTACTTAATCTAAATAAACTACAGCTCGTGGAGTATTTGCTAATTTATATGATATAGTAAATTGTTTTACAATAGAAACATCAAATGGTAATTATTACAATTAAACCTAAACATTTGATTTTACAGTTAAAAATTGGTTGAGAATGGGTTGGATTATAGGAGAAACTTTAATTGAGATGATTGATATTCAGAGTGAAATGGATTAAATTTATAATATCAAAAATGATGATCTAAAAAGATAAAATAGATTTGCTAAAAATAATAATACTTTTCTTAAAAAAAAAACTATTCTTGATAACTGTTAAATATCATTTTAAAATACAAAATTTTAAAAGTTAATTGAAGAATTAAAAATAGATGAAGAAAAAATGGATCTATCATATAGTGAAGGAAACTCAGATTCCTCTGATGGAGATCAGTTGGAAGAAGATTTCAATTAAAATAAATCAGAAGAAATTATATAATCTAAATCTATACAATCAAAACCATTAATATTGTATTAAAGTTAAAAATCAAAATTAGAATCAAAATGTAGTTCTAGTAATTAAAAATCATTATTACGATAAACCCTATTTTTATCTGTAGAGCACAACAAAAATAAAGTCAATCAACCAGCAGCTTAAAAAAATATTTTGAAGAAGATATCATCACTTTCATAAAAAAAAAAATAAAATAAACTTACAAATTATATTAACCAATTTATGAATAAATAAAAATTTACTACGATAGATCTTCTCGATAGTTCAAATATGAATTCACTTATGCGATAGACTATTCATGCTATAATACCTCGACCGTCTTCCTCTTAATTGGAAGTGGTATAAGATGAAAAATTTACTCCAATTGAAGGACTGAATTAAAGTCTTTATGTCGATTTTTAACGTCATTAAAGATTAGAGAATAATTTGACAGCAAAATAATAAAGTCAGAAGAGATAAATCAAAAAAAACTAAAGTTAATCACCTACTCAAATCACTACAAATATTTATAATGTGATTATGAATAATACTCAAAATAATTTTGAATCTATCAAATTTAAATTAAAGGATAATCACTAATAAAAACCAACAAAATTTTAAAATTCTTATAATACTAATAGGCCTACTATTCCATCTTCATTTTATTCTGTCAGAAGATATGTGATGTAGAAACTCAAAAATTGATTATTTAATTTTATATCACTTAAAGTTAACAATTCAATAAATTTGGCTAATTTTTTAATTACTGTTCGGTAATAGATTAAACTTGCATTATTACTTATTTAAATTTAGAAGGTCCTACTAGAGTTAGCAATTCTAAAATAAAGATGAATTTTATCGATACTTTAGCAAACTTTGTAATATTTTAATTTGAAATTTGATTTAGTAAATTCATAGCAACTAACTTCTTTAATCTAGTCATCTTCGTAGGATAAATATATTTTATCATAAATGTTGTCATCATAAGTAAATCCATACCAACAAAGTAAAAAGCTATTCCCATGTTCTCCAAAGAAATTATAAATTTCTTCATTTTCTTTGATTGGTTTGGTAGTAATAAAGACTAGATTCGTTCCAATGATTTTTTATTTAGTTTGACATTTATCATGGTGATTAAGCATATCTCCAAAAGGAACTAAACATGAAGATTGAAGATGATGGTCTCCACCAAAACATCTGGTCATTACAAATTGATAGGCATATAAAAATAGATCATAAGAAAGTTCCTTTTTAAATTATTCTTTAAAAAAAGTAACAAACCTTGAAAAATTTAATTCTAAACCAATTCTCATTTTTTGTATAGTTTTCTTAAGGTTAAGATCTAATATAAGATCAACTTATTATTGATTCCAAGATAATACATTTTAAGGTTATTTGACATAATCAAAATAAGGTTTATGTAGGGAGGATTAATTATCTTTTTAGAGCAATCTTTGAAAAGATAATAATATTTATACATGTATAAAACAAGAGTGTTGAATTCAGCATCTTCATTAAGTTGGATATTGAATATATGAGGATAATATTTCTTGTATCTTGAGTAATGATTATTCAAAAGGTCATCACTGAAAATACATAGATGAAGAGGAATAGTAATGATGGTCTTAAATATAAATATTAATGTATGATACTTGATTAGGAGGGATGGATTGAGAAGCTAAGACACCATATGATGTTTATGTAATTTGTTAGATTCTTATATGTTCTGTTATAATTCCTTGAGAATGAAACCATTAAAGCAATTGAAACATATAATAAAAAAAACATTATTTAATTTAATAAAATGTAAAATTAATATGAGTTAGCAACAAGTAGGGCAAATGATGAATAAGAGAGAATAAATTATTGGTAAGGTAGAAATTAAATAAAATAAAGGCGTGAACAAAGTGAGTTCGTCGATTGGATAAAGAAGCCTGAAGAAATATTAAGAAAGAGAGATGAATATTTTTATGATTGGTTTAATGATGGTCGATTGAATTTTTGTTATAATGCATTGGATCGTCATTTAAAAGAGAGAGGAGATGAAGTTGCTTTGATTTGGGAAAGTAATATGATAAATAGAAGTATAAAATATACAAGAAAAGAATTATATGATAATGTTTCTCGTTTGAGTGGTGTATATCAATAATTTGGTAAAAAATGATAATAAATAATAAAAAGGAGTATCAAAAGGTGATAGAGTAATAATATATATGCCAATGATTCCCGAGGCAGTATTTGCAATGTTAGCATGTTCAAGAATAGGAGCAATTCATTCAGTAGTTTTTGGTGGATTTTCAGCATTAGAATTAAGTGGTCGAATAAAAGATTGTAAGCCAACTTTAATAATAACGGCATCTTGTGGTTTAGAGGTTAATAAGATAGTGGATTATAAAATTATGTTAGATGAGGCAATCTAAATAGCAGATCATCAACCAATATGTTTAATAGTACAAAGATAAACTAAATAATGCAATATGGTGATAGGCAGAGATTTCGATTATTACACTGCAATGAAGTTTGCAAATCCTGTTGATTGTATTGAAGTAGAAAGTACTCATCCTTTATATATTCTTTATACTTCTGGTACGACTGGATAACCAAAAGGGTATTATTGTTAATTAATAATATATATAATAGTATCTAAAGAGACACTGGAGGTACTTGTGTTGCTTTATTATGGACAATGAGACATATTTTAGGATTAAAGAAAGGAGATGTGTATTTTTCTATGGCAGATATAGGATGGGTTACCGGACATTCCTTCACTGTTTATGGTCCACTATTATAAGGGGCATCTATTGTTTTATATGAGGGGAAACCTGTTTAAACTCCTGATCCAGGGGCGATATGGAGAATTATTGAAAAACATAAAGTTGTAGGATTCTATACAGCTCCAACTGCTTTAAGAGCTATGAGAAAAGAAGATCCTAATGGAGATTGGATTAAGAAGTCTAATATTTCTAGTTTGAAAAGTATTTCTATGGCTGGAGAAAGATGTGATATACCTACATATAATTGGATCAGCAATAATACTGGAGTTTTAATAAATGATCATTATTGGTAAACAGAAACAGGATGGATCATTTCATGTAATTTTATGGATCTTCACACATTCCCTGCAAAACCTGGTAGTGCTACTAAACCTTCTCCTGGCTTTGTTATCAAAATTATGGATAATGAAAATAAAGAACTACCAAATGGATAAATGGGTAGAATCTGTATCAAATTACCCATGCCACCTAGTTTCATGTAGACTCTTTACAATAATGATTAAGCATTTATTCTAAAATATCTATCTGATACTCCTGGATATTATACTGCTGGAGATGCTGGATTCTTTGATCAAGATGGATATCTTCATATCATGACTAGAATTGATGATATTATCAATACTGCAGGACATAGATTGAGTACTGCTGCTATGGAAGAAGTTCTCTTAAAACATTAAGATATTGTTGAAGCTGCTGTTGTTGCTAAAATTGATGATCTTAGAGGAGAAATACCTGTTGGACTTGTTGTTATCAAATAAGATGTTAATGTTAATTCATCTACTCTAGAAAAATAACTAGTTTCCATGATTAGACGTGATATTGGACCCTTAGCTTGCTTCTAAAGTGTCATCATTGTTGATAAACTACCCAAAACTAGAAGTGGCAAAGTTCTTAGAGGTACCATTAAAGCTATTGTTAATGGATTATAATATTAAGTATCATCTCACTTTTTAAACTCTAGATGCCTGCTACCATTGAAGATGATACCGTCCTTGATAAAATCAAAATCAATTGTCTCAACTATGGAAAAGGAATGGGATAATATTGTAATTTAGATTTCGGTAATTAAGACATCTATGTCGAAGAGTGATATATTATTTATCAAAATATTTAATTTTATTATTTATTTTCTTAACTGATATATCATGAAGCACTTAATTAAAGATACTTAAAAAACTACAGAAGCTTCTAATCCACCTATAACATAAAGATTAAAAAGGGTCAACTCTCTTGGTATTTTAGAATCTCCTTTTAAAAACAATAATAACAATAAATTCACCTTCAACTAAACTTCTATTAAGAAAGATAAATATGATAAATTTAGATAATTTACTTCACAATTAACATCAATAAAATCTTAACTCTAAAAATATAATCTCGATAATCTAGATCAACAATCCTAAATTTAGTCTTGTTATATGAGCAATTTATCTAGCTAATAATCAATTAAATCATTTCAAAATTCAATTAAGCGTAAGAGTTAAACCAACCTAGACACATATTATCAATTAAATGACTCCCAATTTTATCGTAATCGTGTGAATAGTTCCAATTATTCACTTAATAAATTCAAAAAATATAATATTCAAACAGTTGAAGAAATAAAAAATGGAAGAGGCAGAAAAGTTTATGAAAATGGATTTCTTTATGAAGGCGAAATGTTAGATGGTCTAAGATCAGGAAATGGCACACTCAGAGATTCTAATTTAAATATCATTTATTAAGGAGAATGGTTTAATGATCACTTTGAAGGACGAGGAAGATTAATCAACTTAGATTATTAAGAAGACAAATTTAATTTAAACAGTTTTAAATAATTTTAATTAGTTTAACATTAATTTACTACTTATGAAGGAGAATTCAGAAATGGGTAATTCTTTGGGCAAGGTGTAATGTCATTTAAATGTGAAGGTGAATTATTCAAATTTATTGGAGGATTTTCATAAGATTTATTCCATGGTATTGGAACCCTATAATAAAATGATTAAATTATTTTGTAAGGAAAATGGATTTATGGATGCATGGTTTGACGATTAAATAATATCAATTGATTTTTAATTTGTAAAGAATCACATTAACAAACATATTATTCCGATTTTAAGAAAAAAGAAATTTTGGTTCTTCTATTTTTTCAATTATTGTTCTTTTANACGTGATATTGGACCCTTAGCTTGCTTCTAAAGTGTCATCATTGTTGATAAACTACCCAAAACTAGAAGTGGCAAAGTTCTTAGAGGTACCATTAAAGCTATTGTTAATGGATTATAATATTAAGTATCATCTCACTTTTTAAACTCTAGATGCCTGCTACCATTGAAGATGATACCGTCCTTGATAAAATCAAAATCAATTGTCTCAACTATGGAAAAGGAATGGGATAATATTGTAATTTAGATTTCGGTAATTAAGACATCTATGTCGAAGAGTGATATATTATTTATCAAAATATTTAATTTTATTATTTATTTTCTTAACTGATATATCATGAAGCACTTAATTAAAGATACTTAAAAAACTACAGAAGCTTCTAATCCACCTATAACATAAAGATTAAAAAGGGTCAACTCTCTTGGTATTTTAGAATCTCCTTTTAAAAACAATAATAACAATAAATTCACCTTCAACTAAACTTCTATTAAGAAAGATAAATATGATAAATTTAGATAATTTACTTCACAATTAACATCAATAAAATCTTAACTCTAAAAATATAATCTCGATAATCTAGATCAACAATCCTAAATTTAGTCTTGTTATATGAGCAATTTATCTAGCTAATAATCAATTAAATCATTTCAAAATTCAATTAAGCGTAAGAGTTAAACCAACCTAGACACATATTATCAATTAAATGACTCCCAATTTTATCGTAATCGTGTGAATAGTTCCAATTATTCACTTAATAAATTCAAAAAATATAATATTCAAACAGTTGAAGAAATAAAAAATGGAAGAGGCAGAAAAGTTTATGAAAATGGATTTCTTTATGAAGGCGAAATGTTAGATGGTCTAAGATCAGGAAATGGCACACTCAGAGATTCTAATTTAAATATCATTTATTAAGGAGAATGGTTTAATGATCACTTTGAAGGACGAGGAAGATTAATCAACTTAGATTATTAAGAAGACAAATTTAATTTAAACAGTTTTAAATAATTTTAATTAGTTTAACATTAATTTACTACTTATGAAGGAGAATTCAGAAATGGGTAATTCTTTGGGCAAGGTGTAATGTCATTTAAATGTGAAGGTGAATTATTCAAATTTATTGGAGGATTTTCATAAGATTTATTCCATGGTATTGGAACCCTATAATAAAATGATTAAATTATTTTGTAAGGAAAATGGATTTATGGATGCATGGTTTGACGATTAAATAATATCAATTGATTTTTAATTTGTAAAGAATCACATTAACAAACATATTATTCCGATTTTAAGAAAAAAGAAATTTTGGTTCTTCTATTTTTTCAATTATTGTTCTTTTATGTAAATTTAATAAATTTTTTTAAAATTAAATTTAATAATTTATTTAAGTTTTATTTAGATTAAGTAAGAATTAATTATTGATATGAATAAAAATCCAAAAAGAATCATATATTCTATATGGTTAATTTTAATTTATACTTTTTTTTATTAAAAAAGTGTTAATTACAAACATATTAATAAAATTAAAATTTTGTACAAGATAAATAAAACCCAATATAATTTTGAATTGAGAAAAAGATAAAAAAGGATCTCATTAAGACTTGTAAATATTGTATGTTTAATTAAATCAAAAATAATAATAATATCCTTATAAACAATTGAGAATAATCAAATAATAATTAAATGAAATCATTTTATCTCTAAAAGCCAACTTAAGTGAGGGGAAACTCAGAGCCAAAGAAATCGGAAAAAATACAAAATAACATGAAAATGTCAACGTCTTAAAAGATGCATGAAACATAGACGAAATGGAATGGATTGATAGCAAGAACAGTCACTCTTGAATAAAATCTATTAAGATTACGTGATTCTGTTAATTAAACATTAAGAGGAGGTAGTAAAGAATCAACATCTTCGAAATCTACAGCAGAATAATTACACAAACCTCCAACATTAGTGAATATGACTAGCAGAATAGCATCCCCTATGTTAAAAAAGGTTTCTCCATAGGATTGTATGACAATGTCAAAATTGTAGACTTACAAGACAGTATAATCTTGGTTTCCAAAGTCGAAGTTCCAAACATTTGAAGGGATTCCTCAATTTAGAATAGGCAAAATGTTAGGAAAGGGACAATTTTCGGATGTTCATTTGTGCATGTACTATGAGATTTAACATAAGTGATAAATTGAGTGGCACAATCTTTGCTTTAAAAGTGATAAAGAAAGAGAAAATATAGGATGAATAGTTATAGTAACAAATGATTCAGGAAATCAAAGTGTAAATGAAACTTAATCATCCAAACATAGTTAAGTTGTATAATTTTTACTCTGATGAATTGAATTTGTACTTGTTGATGGAATATTGTAATGAAGGTGAATTGTTCAAAGTTCAAAGAAAATAACCTGGATATAAGTTCCCAGAAGTAAATGTGCCTTCAATACTTAGAACAAAGCATCTTATTATATACACTAAATACTACAATGTATATAGTATATGCATTAAAACAAAGTTATGCATCGAGATCTGAAGACAGAGAATGTCATGTTATCATTTAATCAAATAAAAATTGGAGATTTTGGTTGTGTTTGTTCTAATCAAGATAGGAGAGAAACCTTTTGTGGAACTATAGAGTTCATGGCTCCTGAAGTGATTTAGATGAAGGGTTATGATTTAAGGGTTGATGCATGGCAAATAGCAGTTCTTGCTTATGAATTAGTTTATGGATAAACTCCATTTATTCTTTTAGGAAATAAAGATTAGAAAGGCATTATGGATAACATACTTAAAGTAATTAGTATTTATATCATTTATTTTAGCATCGTTTAACAATACCTCACACCTTCTCATCTGAATTAACTTACTTTATCAAAGGAGGTCTATAATAAGATCCTAATAAAAGATTGTCTATCGAATAAATGCTAAAACATCCTTGGATAACCAAACACTAATTACCTTAAACTAAATGTTAATACAATATCTGACAATATAAATAATTAATCATTTATTTCACCAATTTAAATTGAACATCATATTTTTATTTTATACAGGAATGCTAATTATATTAGTATCTTTAAAGAATGAACATTTATATCCTTATTCATTTTATTCCTCCTCTTATTATTATTACTACCAATATTAAATATTCACTGTTATTTAATCTAAACAAGTCTTTTTAAAATTCTCTCTATTAAAATAAATGGTTTTGTTACTATTTTAAAAATTCCCCAAAAGCATCAAATAAAGGCCACACTATAGCTTTTAAGAAACCTTCTTGAGATTTAGTAACACTTTGACTTCTGTCGCACATAGGTGTCACTTAAATTCCCACTTATGCTTCTAAATCTCCTTATAAAAAGAACTCCTCTATTATTCTTCGACTCCATATCTTATGCAAATTTAATTATTTTGCTCCATGTCCAATATCTAATTTATTATATATACTCCTCTATTACCTGCACATTTTATTGCTATCGATAGAATAAGTAATTTATTTTGCTCATCTTTTTAACTGTCTGAACCTAAAGCTAGAAAATTTTTAAATTTATTTAATAATGGAAAATGCTTTTGAAGGTCAGTATCCAAGATTAAATTTAAACAATATTTTCTAAATCCTTTATAATCAACATCATTTATGTTTTTTAATATATTAGCTTTATCATCTTTCAATACATGAAACATCAAAGAAGCATGATAACTTTCTAATACACTTTAATCATTATCTATTTAAATTTCTAATATATACATATTAATGCCTATTTAGATTGCGAAGCCACTAAAAAACCATTATTTAATCCTGGATGTCCTACATCATGTGATAATGATGAAATAATTAAACAACATTATTCGAATGGTGTCACTTCAAGTCCATTCTCTAGAAAAAAAGATGCAGAATTTGCCACATCCATTGCATGAATAGAATTGTGATAAGGATTTTACATATAAAATGATTCTATTCTATGGCAAAACTCAATTTATACTGACTTTTCTTTTATTTTCAATACCTAATTTATGCTTATATAGATTAAAATTCTTTACTTATATTTTTGAAATATAAATGAACTAAAATTAATAAATTTATTTTGGTCATTTGCTTCAAAAAAATCAAAATTAAAATTATTTAAGCATTCTGTCATTTAATTATGATTAGAATCTATGAAATAATTATGATCTTAAATTTAGGTTTCTTCTGATTATTACAAAAAATTAAATTCACACTCAGTAAAATGATTAAGGATAAAACTAATATATAAAATTAAATTACTTTTTGGCTTCAGGAGAAAAAGAATCAGATCCTCTGGAATCAATATTTTTATTACTTCTTAAAAATGTAGGTAACCACAAATGTTCTTTTCTTCCACTTACAATTTTAAGTAAATCATTTAAGTCTTCTAAAGTGAAAAAGTTATCATCTTCTTTAATTTCATCTCTAACTATACTATGTCCTACAGTATGAGCAAAAGATAAAGATTCATTAATAGAATTCATTCTTATAGCTCTTCTACTTGGAGATTTCTTACTAGGAGAATCTTCAATCTCTTAAATAGAACTTTTATCATCATCATCTGGCAAGTTTCTTACTGTTAAAACTTTAGAAGGAGAACTCAATTGTTTTTGTAATAACTTCTCTTCAAAGTAAAAATTCTCAGTTTTTTCTAATAGTTTTTAATATTTCAATAAACGTAATTTTTTTAATAATTCTTCTTAACGAGATTATTATTAATCTTCAATTATTATGGTTTTATATGACATCTCTGTTTCTTTCTTTAATCTAATTGCCTCTCCATCAAACTCCCTTATCTTTTTATCATAAACATCTTAAAGTTGCTACTATTTTTGAAAAAGCATCCAAATATTTGCTAATCCTGCAATCCAACACACAATTATAATATTATCGAACTTTTATGAGTCAAAATATTGTAATCCAACATAAAATGTTAGAATAAATGTAATTATTGCAATTTTAAAGTTGGATAACTTCATTTTAATTACTATAGCCATCATCTAAAAAGATAGTAATACAAAATCCATATTCAATTATTCAATATTATTTTCTGACACAAAACCCCAAAAAAATCTACATGTAATGATTTTACTTAATATAAACCATTTTATAGTGAAGATTTACAATTATTCAGGATTTGATGAGTAAATGATCTTTAGCAAATAAATCAGTATTAGTGAAGTATGTAGCATTAATGTAGTTTAAGATAATCCTTCTAAAAGAAATAAAGTAGCTATAAGAATAGCTTCACTTTTATTTAATTAAGTGTAATGAGATGGCTTGCTAAACAGTTCTTAGAACTTGGCTAACAGTCGGTCTTATTATCTTAGTTATAAATCATAAATGTTATAAGGCATTAATTAATTATCATTATTTTGTTCTATATCGTTAACCAATTTCTTATATTCTTTCCTCCAGTATATCTCTCTTTTTCAATAATCCAATTCTCCTTTAATATTGAATCAAACGAGATGACTTAATGTCAACCTATTATGGGCTGACATCTACAACTACATCTGATTGAATTTAAGGACTTGCCAATCTTGAATTATAGAACTCTTTAAATCGTACTTCAATCATATGTCTTCTACTTCCATAAATTTATTTCACTTTATTTGCAGAAAGCATGCTTTTTAATTCCTGTTAAACAGAAGGTTACTTCTTATGTTTATCCAATATACGCTTTATATTATCCATCATTGCATCTAATTTTGGATTATCTGGTAATGGTATATAGTCCAATATCATTGGAGATGATTCAGTAGTCAGATTTTTTAGACGACTTGATCTATTTGTAAGTGGTTTCTACTGTACTTTACTTTACATATCATCCTTTATTCCCTAAACTATTCTTTGACATCTACTTAGCTTTGTTGATTTTTGTAACATAATAATATTAAATACAACACCCTTTTTTTAGATCTTTTCACTCTCTTATAGACATTAATGAGACAAATATAAAATTACTTTAATTAACTTTGTTCAAAGTTCACATCAAATCAATTTTTCTGACAAAATTTTTAGGGATCAAAAATTTACATTAACAAAGTTAAAATATACATTAGAAAATTAATAAGAAAATTGCATTTTGCTTTTAATTATTCCTAAAGAAAAATCCCAGATTTATTTTATCTTTATAATTGCTCATACAATTTGAAAATAGATATCAATATTACTATTTTTATCATTATATATTGTATTATTTATTTCAACTTAATTTATTTTATCTATTTAACTCAGTCCACCATTCACGATAGAATCTTAAAAATGGACTAAGCAATAACATTAAAACAACGTAATAAAATTATATTGCTTTCACAACATCATCGTCCCTTGATAAATATTTTGACAAAGGAGTCAAAATAATGATGGCTATTATTTATATATTCTAAATTTACTTGTAATTGCTTTCAAATGCAATGTACCAGCCCAAAATTTATTTTTTGATTTCAATTTCTCTTTTCCTTTTAGTAGAAAGATGTTAACAATTCCGGCTAAAATCATTAAGAATCCTGAAATTCCTGCAAATAATGCCTAAGCTTTTGTTATCTCCCCTTAATCAGGCCATAAATAATCATATATAATACGACCTCCTAAAGCTGTTACACTTCCAATATGTAATACTCTAAATATATATTTGATCCAAAACTCAGTATTATACATTATATATTATCTGATATTTTTATTTATAAATTTGTATCATAATCAATTTCATTTTAAAGTAAAGGTATTAAATCAAAAGGTAAACATTAGGACTCTAAATCTTTCTAATATTAATAGATTTACCTTAATGAATTACAAAGTTTGATCTATATAATTTAAATTGAATACTAAATTCTACTAATCATATTTCTAGAATAATAATAGTTGATTATAAAGAATATAATATAATGCTGATTTTTAAAATATGGAAAAATCAAGAGGTAAAAGATTCCAAAAATTTTAGAGTGAAATTTTTAAGAACTTATTGTAAAAAGAACATAAAAAATTTGAATAATAACTTGAGTATAAAAATTATATACTTAGACTTCGTCCAAATAGAATAAAAAAAAGGTTTTAGTAAATGAAACTTAAACATATTTATTCATGATATTTAAATTGTTCTAAATAATAAGATGATTTCAGAAATAATAATCACTAAAATAAATTCTATGAATTAAGATATTATTCTTAATAAACCATCCTTTTTATCAAAGGAGGATCAGATTCTATAATAGAACGAGTATTAGTATATATTAAATAATGAAAAGTAATTTTTAGTTTTGAATTCGTTTTGAAATTGAAAGAACTGATTTGAGGAAAAATAAGGCTGTTTTTAACTGATGAAGTTTTCAAGAAAATTCATGTTCTTGTAATAATAGAATTAAGTGAAAATAAGGTATATGAGAAAAGATAACAATGAATAAATTTTAAATTTATACAATCAAATATGTTAATTATGCATAATATTAATTTAAAGAATTAGAAATTGCAAGAAATTGTAGATGAACGTAAATAAAATTAAATTTCTAGACCTTAAATTGAATTTTGAAATACAATATTTNATTTTTTGATTTCAATTTCTCTTTTCCTTTTAGTAGAAAGATGTTAACAATTCCGGCTAAAATCATTAAGAATCCTGAAATTCCTGCAAATAATGCCTAAGCTTTTGTTATCTCCCCTTAATCAGGCCATAAATAATCATATATAATACGACCTCCTAAAGCTGTTACACTTCCAATATGTAATACTCTAAATATATATTTGATCCAAAACTCAGTATTATACATTATATATTATCTGATATTTTTATTTATAAATTTGTATCATAATCAATTTCATTTTAAAGTAAAGGTATTAAATCAAAAGGTAAACATTAGGACTCTAAATCTTTCTAATATTAATAGATTTACCTTAATGAATTACAAAGTTTGATCTATATAATTTAAATTGAATACTAAATTCTACTAATCATATTTCTAGAATAATAATAGTTGATTATAAAGAATATAATATAATGCTGATTTTTAAAATATGGAAAAATCAAGAGGTAAAAGATTCCAAAAATTTTAGAGTGAAATTTTTAAGAACTTATTGTAAAAAGAACATAAAAAATTTGAATAATAACTTGAGTATAAAAATTATATACTTAGACTTCGTCCAAATAGAATAAAAAAAAGGTTTTAGTAAATGAAACTTAAACATATTTATTCATGATATTTAAATTGTTCTAAATAATAAGATGATTTCAGAAATAATAATCACTAAAATAAATTCTATGAATTAAGATATTATTCTTAATAAACCATCCTTTTTATCAAAGGAGGATCAGATTCTATAATAGAACGAGTATTAGTATATATTAAATAATGAAAAGTAATTTTTAGTTTTGAATTCGTTTTGAAATTGAAAGAACTGATTTGAGGAAAAATAAGGCTGTTTTTAACTGATGAAGTTTTCAAGAAAATTCATGTTCTTGTAATAATAGAATTAAGTGAAAATAAGGTATATGAGAAAAGATAACAATGAATAAATTTTAAATTTATACAATCAAATATGTTAATTATGCATAATATTAATTTAAAGAATTAGAAATTGCAAGAAATTGTAGATGAACGTAAATAAAATTAAATTTCTAGACCTTAAATTGAATTTTGAAATACAATATTTAAAATATAGTTATTTTTTAAAGGATAAATTTTATAGAAGTGCAATATTTTTGTGATTAGATAAATATCATAATTTCTATTAACTAATTCTATTAAAAAACTTATAATAAAAAATATTAAGTTATGAAATCGTTGAAAAAAATAAATGGGAAGTTGTTGTAAAAAAAATACAAGAGATTAAGTGAATTAAATAGAAAATGTTTAAAATTCTTAAGTTGCTCAGGCTGCAAACAATACAATCAAACAAAATCAATAAGAATAATGTGAGATCATAAATCCAGAAAATGATGCTATAAAAAAATAAGATAATACTGTTTTCGAAAAATAAGATAATAATGCTATCAAAAAAAGAGAATATAATGCTTGTTTACCAAATATAGAAGAAACTGCAAACAAGAGGACAAACAATTAAAATGGGGAAATAAAACAAATATAAAATAGGGAAATATAACAAATATAGCTAAATAAAAAATACTTAATGTTGCTTGGAACTGCAGGGGTAGGCAAGAGTAGACTCTTTAAATAATTGGGGTTTAGTGATGTATCTAATGAGACAACAAATTTTCTGGTAGGAAATTAAAAGGAATATTATTTTATTGACACTCCTTCATTTTAATTAGAAGATGATATAGATACAAGAGAAAAAATTATTAAATAATTTTAAGATTATTTTGATAAGTAGAAACAAATTTCAAGTTTTTGTATAGTAGTAAATTTTGAAAGAACAGATTTAATGAAGAAAAAAGTGCTATCAGTCTTAAAATATATGAGGAAATTTATTAACATTATCTCAATTATTATTGTTAATATGGAATTAAGCCAAAATCAGAAGCAAGATGAAAAACATTTAGAAGATAGTTTCAAATTTATGAATTATAACAAAATACTATTTATATAAAAGGATATGAATTCAGAAGAAATAATTAAACAGATAAAGGATATTAAATTTCAAGAAACATAAATTGATTTAACTGATACCATTTTTGAAAAGTTAACTTAAAGTGAAGAAAATAGATAACTCTAAGAAATATAAAATAAAATGCAATAACGATTTTGATTATTTATAATATTTTTCCATATTCTTATTGTTTATTTTTTTAATTAGATTAATCGGGCTTAATATTAAGATTTTAGGCTAGTTTATAAAATCTTCATTCTTTGATTAAAATAATGTAATTATAACGGAAGCACTATTTATTCTTTTAAGAATACTTATAAAATACATTAATGAAAATTAATTTTCAAATATAATGAATTGATTCAAAATTTAGTTTGAGTACACAAAATATTTTTTTTTAAAATAAACAGAGAGATGATCAAATTTTTTATTAATAATTAAAAGCAATACATATTTTAGAAAAAAATAATTAATACAATTATTTTTTATCTATTTAATGTAAATTTGATGATTACACCTCTGAATAATTATAAAGATGTTATTCTTTTTTGTAAGGAATGCAATAATTAAAAAAGTTTGCAGTTATATTTTTAGAAGAATTCATACTCAGCAATCAACAATGTATCTCTGAAAATGAAATTTAATATTTTAATGTTACATTTAAATTAGATTATTTTAAGAAATTGTATTAAAAATACTTAATTAAAATAGTTTTTTAATAAATTAGAATAAATATGGTCAATCTCTATTTATATAGAAGAACTATTAGCAATAGTTAAATTTTGTAAAATGAAAATTAAACATATTATGGGTTTGGTATATGTTAAGAATAAATTATCCAAGATAGAAATTTTTAAAAAAGAGAATTATTAAAGTATCTCAAATCCTTAAAAGATGGAGGAAAAGATAGGTAAATGATTGAAAATATATCTGATGATATTAAAGTAAAATGAAATTTTGAGATAAGCGTTGACATGAATAAAAAATGACAACTTAAGTATTTAAAATGAATATAAGAAAGTTGTTTAAAAGTAATATTAAGAAGTGGAATGGCTTGATTAGAGAATTTAAGAAAACGAAGAGACTTAGGTAATATTAAATGTTGATTAAATAATTAAATAATGTATTCAATTACAGCTCGTTTTAATTAAATCGTGTTCTTCACATCTTGGACATTAGGTATATTACTAATTTTAGAAAAGTCGTACTATCATTGCTGAATTAGGGAACAGCATATTTTTTTAAGACTGGGAAACCAACAGTAGATCTAAAGATATTGAGTGCAGATAAATTGTATTGCATATAAAATGATAATTTTGTTTAGTCATCATTATAAGGCTACTTATTACAATGGTGGTGTAACAGATTGGGATTAGGTGACATTTAAATTTTCTTTGGAAGCAGGTTTTTAATACACGTAATATAATTAGATTTCGAGCCTGTATATAATTGGAATTTGAAACAATTATTTTTGTATGTGAATGTTCATCATGAACATTAAGAGAATGGAGTAATGTGTTATTATAAATTAATAGTTTCAATCAAATTGTGTGATTTATGATAAAATTATTTCAAGACCAGATGATCCAAGTTTATGGAGTGATTCATCTAAAGTAATTTATTATATTATAAATTAGCTTGTTTTAAAAAATTAAAGAGCAGAATATCCACTAAAAGATATTCATAAATAGTTGCGTAATGCTACAGTGAATTTTGAAGTATGGATAGAGGTTATGCCTTATGTTGGTTATATAAGAAGAGAGAAACTTGGAGATTTCTAATATAAAATGCCTTAATAGTATAATTGAGATGTGTAATTTATATTTTTAACAATCACATTTTTTTGAATGTCTTGTATTGATTAAAGCTTTGCACAATTTTAACAAACAGCTTAGTTCTTTAATCCAGATATTGGGAGCAATGGAACTTTAAGAATGCCATAAAAAATAAAAAAAAGAGAGATCTCAATGCCATCTTATTACTTTGATGATTTTAAGGGATTTCTTAAATAACCAATAAAAATAACTTCGAATATCACATAAAGACGTAATACACATACAACTACAACTCAAGATAGTAGTCAAATGAGTCAATCTATTAAATAAACAAATAAAAGCTTAAAATAATTGACATAGACAAATGCTTAAGATTATTCAAAAATAATCAATATTATTAGTTAATTCAACAATGCTAATAAATTAAAGCATGTTTAGAGTGCGAATTCTATGCAATATAAATTGATTATTCCTTTAAAGGAGAAATCTATAAATATGACAAGAGATAGTAGGACTAATTCAAGATGCAGTGTAGTATCTGCTTAAGGAGAAAGAAAACGTAGTATAAAAGTAAATGATCCATATGGACTAATTAATAATAAAATTATGAGCAAAACAAACTCGAAATAATTCTTAAAATAAAAAGCTTAAGATAAATTAGTAGATAAGTTATTCTCATAAAGATCAGATAGCGTTTAATGATTATTTATCTATAGATGCATATTATCAGTCTTTTTTTTTATTAGTTATTTAAAATTAAAAATGTTTAGAAGATTATTTCGACGATTCACATTTTCAACAGAGAAATAAGTTGATTACTATAAATTGACAGATTAAATTATGAATGCTTAAGTTGAGAATGAGGAGTTGAAATTAGCAATATAGAAAATCATTTTTGATATGAAATCAGTTACTGAAAGAGCATACCAATTTCCATTGGTTGAATAAGTATTATCTTCAGTAAAATCACATTACTTATGTGTTGCAGCAGTAGAATAATTTGTAGGATCTATGTGTATAAATATGAGTTTAATATTAGTTAGACACTCCAAAGAATGAACAAATTACATAATTATTTTTATCTCATGCAAAAAAGAATGCAATTGATGAACATGAATAATTAAATACTGAATACTATTTAGCCTATTTAAAGAAATTAGATGCATCTCAAAAAGGAGATCAAACTAAATTTGATGAATCATAACATTAATTGCTTGAATTAGCAAATAAAGGAAATAAAACAGCATAACATTTAGTGGCTAAAGAAATGTATAAAGTAGCAATGAATATGATGTAATCTAAATAAAGAAAAGACAGAGAGAAGTTATTAAAAGAAGCATATAAATTATTTTATGATTGTGCAGAAAATGAATTCCCACATTCATATTATTATATAGGAGAAATGGCAGAAAGAGGAGATACTCCTGGAGGAATAGATCTTAAATTTGCTTTAGAATGTTATTTGATAGCAGCTGCTTACGAAAATCCTTAAGCATTCTTCAAATTAGCAAAATTGTAATTTATATATTATTAATATTATAGTCATCGAGATGGTATAGTTTGTGAAAGAGATCCTCATTTAGAATTTCATTACACTAAAAAAGCAGCTGAAATGGGACTTCTAGATGCTTAACATAATTTAGGTGTTATTTATAGAGAAGGTAGAATAACTAAAAAAGATGATTTCAAAGCATTAGCTTGGTTTACTCATGCTGGAAATTTAGGATTTCCTTTATCTTAGGTATAAGTCTATTTTATAATTTAAGTTTAACGCTGGAATGATGTATTGGGAAGGAGGAGATAAGATTAAAAGAAATAAAAAAGCAGCTTTGGTTTGGTTTGAAAAAATCTAAAAATCAGGAATGATAGATGTTTCATAATAAATTAGATAATTAGCAAAAGAAATAGAAAAAGAGATAGAAGAAGAATGATGACTATAAATATTATAAATGTTTCATTCACATAGGAGATAAACATGTTTAATTTAAAATTAATCTTTACATCTAACTATGNTTCTCATAAAGATCAGATAGCGTTTAATGATTATTTATCTATAGATGCATATTATCAGTCTTTTTTTTTATTAGTTATTTAAAATTAAAAATGTTTAGAAGATTATTTCGACGATTCACATTTTCAACAGAGAAATAAGTTGATTACTATAAATTGACAGATTAAATTATGAATGCTTAAGTTGAGAATGAGGAGTTGAAATTAGCAATATAGAAAATCATTTTTGATATGAAATCAGTTACTGAAAGAGCATACCAATTTCCATTGGTTGAATAAGTATTATCTTCAGTAAAATCACATTACTTATGTGTTGCAGCAGTAGAATAATTTGTAGGATCTATGTGTATAAATATGAGTTTAATATTAGTTAGACACTCCAAAGAATGAACAAATTACATAATTATTTTTATCTCATGCAAAAAAGAATGCAATTGATGAACATGAATAATTAAATACTGAATACTATTTAGCCTATTTAAAGAAATTAGATGCATCTCAAAAAGGAGATCAAACTAAATTTGATGAATCATAACATTAATTGCTTGAATTAGCAAATAAAGGAAATAAAACAGCATAACATTTAGTGGCTAAAGAAATGTATAAAGTAGCAATGAATATGATGTAATCTAAATAAAGAAAAGACAGAGAGAAGTTATTAAAAGAAGCATATAAATTATTTTATGATTGTGCAGAAAATGAATTCCCACATTCATATTATTATATAGGAGAAATGGCAGAAAGAGGAGATACTCCTGGAGGAATAGATCTTAAATTTGCTTTAGAATGTTATTTGATAGCAGCTGCTTACGAAAATCCTTAAGCATTCTTCAAATTAGCAAAATTGTAATTTATATATTATTAATATTATAGTCATCGAGATGGTATAGTTTGTGAAAGAGATCCTCATTTAGAATTTCATTACACTAAAAAAGCAGCTGAAATGGGACTTCTAGATGCTTAACATAATTTAGGTGTTATTTATAGAGAAGGTAGAATAACTAAAAAAGATGATTTCAAAGCATTAGCTTGGTTTACTCATGCTGGAAATTTAGGATTTCCTTTATCTTAGGTATAAGTCTATTTTATAATTTAAGTTTAACGCTGGAATGATGTATTGGGAAGGAGGAGATAAGATTAAAAGAAATAAAAAAGCAGCTTTGGTTTGGTTTGAAAAAATCTAAAAATCAGGAATGATAGATGTTTCATAATAAATTAGATAATTAGCAAAAGAAATAGAAAAAGAGATAGAAGAAGAATGATGACTATAAATATTATAAATGTTTCATTCACATAGGAGATAAACATGTTTAATTTAAAATTAATCTTTACATCTAACTATGTTAATTTGGCAAGAAAGTTGAGTAAATTTCTTTTGCTCTCAAATGACATTTGCTAGCCTTTTCACCATCTCCTTATGCTTGATAAATTACAGCTATATTATTCAAAATCTAAGCTCTCTAGATACAGTTATATCTATATATAAAACACTAATAATTACTGAAAGCATTATAATGCCTATAATAGATAATTTAGTGATTATTGTACATTAGGAACTAATCCATATGATAATCCTAAAAGATTAAACACTTCCACAAATTTAATATGTTTATAATCCTTATATATTTTGTATTTGATGCTAACTGCTTTGTTTAAAAACTCAATAGCTTCTTCTGAATTTTTAGAAATATAGTTGCATTCTCCTAAAACAACATATGCTTCAGCTATTTATTCATGATCCTCAGGAAGAAATTCTTTTAGAATAGCTATTGAACCAAAAATTAATTTTTTAGCGAGATCAACATTTTCTTGAAATAAATTAAATAAATTTACTAGTCCAAGCATGTAATTTTGCCATCAAAATTAAAATGTAAGCAATTTCAGATTTCCATTGAAGTTTTTCATAATGTAAAAGAGCTGCATGGAAAGTAGATTGAGCTTTCTGAAATGATTAATTGAGAAAATGTAACTTTCCTAATTCAATGAGAATTTTTCCAACTAAATTTGGTTCTAAGATCTTGAACTATTTTTAAATAGCTCTCAACTATTAGATTGCATTTTTGTAACAACCTACCTATTTATATAATTTTGTTAATAAACATAGAGTTCTAACCATCAATATTGCCTAACTGAACAAATGGTTGCAATTGTTTTCATTCTTTTTGATAGACTGTTAGAGCTTGGAAAGAATTGACTTTAAAATTTATATATAATTCTGACAATCTCCCGAATCTGCCTTCTTTTCTATTTCATCTAATTATAAGGGAATTTAATTTGTAGTTAAAGGATCCTCTTTACAAGGCAGAGATAGAGAAGTTTAATCAGGGGATAACTAAGCATTTTATACAATTGGCTTAACAATTTGGCACTTAACTTTGGGAGGTTAAGAACTTATAGGTTTGTTAAGCTTTTGCATTTGTGATTGATCTCGTTATGATGCAATCACAATTTCATCTAAATCTTTATGTTAATCATTTTATTAAATCATAGGTTGTTTAACAATGGAATTACTCATGGATGATAATCTAGAACTTTATTTAGAATTGTTGTCTAACTAATTTGATTAACTTATTTACTTGATTTTGTGAATTGGCTCTAGTTTTCACTTCTACAACATATCCTTTCATTACATCTTCCCTTATTCTCTATAATAATCCATTAAGTTAATCATCTCTTCTGAGAGTATCTTGATCAATTCGTTCGTAGCCTGTTGACATTAAAAATAATTATTATTATACTATTTTCTGATTTGACATGTTTAAATATACATTGATAATAAAACAGAATTCACAAAATCAAGATATGATTCCTTATAAATTTGTGAAATTTCCTATAGAAATATTGTAGCGTCCTCCAAATTACTTATAATGTTTTCTTTCTGTACTTTAGTTATGCTCAGTCTTAAGAACCTACTTAATATTGTAAGTTTTAGTCATAAGTGTTCTTGGAGTGATACTACCTCCACTTTTAAGACTTTCTGGTAAATTGATATTTTATAAACTTAAATGAGTTTTGATGTTAATTCTTTTTAACCAGATATGTTATTTAATCATTGCTAACGAATAGCGATTATCTGGTCTTAATTCTAACATTTTCTTTAATAAATTCAATCCTTCAGCTTTAAGATGGAGATTCTGAAAGTTAATCTCTCCTTTTTCATTTAATTAAAAAATCTGATCAGTGTTCTTCCCTTGAAATGGTCTCCTACCTGTTATAAGAGTATAGAATACTATTCCTAAACTATAAACATCCACCTTATAATCATAAGACTGACCAATTAAAATTTCTGGAGCTGCATATCCTGGCGTTCCACATTATTTATATAAGTAATTACCATCTAAATTATAAAAATCTGCTAATCCAAAATCACAAATAACCAGATCTTCTACATTGTCTTAACTTCTCAAAATTAAATTCTCTGGTTTAATATCTCTATGTATTACTCCTTAAGAATGAATAAAATATAGTCCATTCACTAATTGAGATATTACAGAATGAACCTTTTTCTCTGACAATTAACCTACTTTTGCTATATAATCATGTAAGTCTCCTCCTCTTAAATATTCTTGTACTACAAAAACATAACTCACTGTCTCGAATGTCTCAATTAAACTCATTACTTGTTTATGTTTCATCAATCTAAGAATCTTTAGTTCCTTTTACAAAGATTATAAAGTTTTTGAACTCTTCAATATTTAATTCTTATCAAAACACTTTATTGCAAATAGTTCATTTGTCTTTGTGTTTTCTGCTAAAAAAACCTAATAATAATTAATACAGTATTTTACATTTGCAAAGGTACCTTTGGCCATCAATTTCTTTACCTTATATTTTAATACAAAGTCTATTTAAATACATTACTTCTTTAACACGTTAAACAGTTCTTTTACTTCTCCATAAAGTTCTAACCACACTATTCCCTTTAGTATTTTTACTCCCACATCATTACAACCATCTCTTATCATGTAAATTATAGCATTCTCTATATTTGCTATTAGTTATTTCTGTCTCATAATTAAATTTGTACATCTCCCTATATCATTATCAAGTATGAGTATTTCACCTTTATATATACATTGATAGTTTATTCTCCCATTTTTGCTTAAAAGATTCCTTCCAAACTCACATTACTAAAGTGCTCCATTTTACAGTCATCCCAAAAGGAAGTTTAGGGACTCTGAAATAATGATTTGAATTATGAGGTTTTATTCATCATTTTATTAATTATACATCAATATTAATTAATCTCATCTTAACATATCATACTAATCTACATTATTAGATATTGATGTTTAAGTTCATAGAAATTAGCTTTTTATTAATGGATTTTATTAATAAGCTATTCATTAGAATCTCTATTAATAAACTATTTACAATGATTTGACTATATCGTTTATATAAATTAAAATCAAAGTTTTATCAATTCTATCTAAAAATAAGAACTAAACTCTCTTTCTCATTAAACTACTTAATTATTTTAATAGGCCTTTAAATAATTAATATAGTTGTCTGTATTTTAGAACTTTAAAAAATGAGATTGCTTTCAGCTAAAATATACGTTTTAAAATTCTTAAATTCAACGTATAAAATTTAATTCTCTAGTATAAAATAGAAGTGTATTGAAATTGAGTTTTTATTAACAAATATTCAGGTAATAATTTTCAATTCTATTTAATCTAATTTTACAAATTCAGGAGAATGAATTAAATTAATTTTAAATTTTCATGACTCTTAAATCTAATTTTTTATCTTAATTTTAATAATTTATTACAAAAAAGCAATATCTTTATAAAGTCTAATTATATTTTAATCTTTAAATTATTATACATCTAATCTATTATGATAACTCATTTAAGAGAAAATAGATTCTTTTATACTAT